CGCTGGACTGGCTATAAACTGTGACATGATGAAGCGATTTTATTTCCGCCATTTTGGCGCTGACAGCACAAGTGCACGTTCACGGAACTAATAATAGGAATAAGACAGTGTATCAAATTTTATCGATAAAAATTCTATACCCTACCTATATCTAAATAAATAGAATGGACTCTATGGATAGATGGACTCTACCCATAACGTCTATTCTATTTATGTATCATATTAATATAATGCCATTATCATTCATCATCATTAAAACCCTTCACAAGTCCACTGCTGAAAATAGACCTCCCCCAAGGAATGCCACAAAGCACGGTCCTGAGCTACTGAATCCATCAACTTCCTGGATGTCTTACCAGGTTTTGACTCCATCTAGTGGGGGAACGTCCTACACTTCACCTGCCGGTACGGGGCTGCCACTCGATAACCTTTTTTCCCCATCGGTATTCGGTTTTTCGAGCTATATGGCCGGTCAATTTCCACTTCAGCGTACTAATCCATTGATCGATGTCGGTCACTCTGGTTCTGCTGCAGATATCTTCATTCCTAAGTTTGAACCCCAATGCATAGCCCTCTTCATAGCTCGCTGAGCGACTTCGAGCTTTCTCATACGGCCAGCAGTGAAAGACCTCGTCTCAGATCCATAGGTCATCACTGGCAACACAGACTGGTTGTACAATCTAGTTTTGAGGTATTCTTGACGAGAAGATGTGTTGTAATCTCACGAATGCTGCCCAGCCGAGTTGAATCCGTCGATTGACCTGTCGGTCGAAGTTGAATTTACCTAGTCGGACTATTTGTACCAAGTAAAAATACTCGTCAACAACTTCAGCTAAGTGCTCCCAAAAACCAGCTGCATAGGTGTGACATGGACATTACACATGAATTTTGCTTTGTCCATGTTTATCTTAAAACCTATCCGTTGGGCGACACTACTGAGGATATTTAACATAGTGTGTAGGTCCTTCAGCATTTCTGCCATAAGGACTATATTGTCGACAAATTGAAGGAGAGTGACGTACACGCCATTGACGTAAATACCGTATCTATGGAGTGTAGCAGTACGGAGTACAGACTGTGTATTAAAAAGTGTCCATAAAAACCATTAAATAAGTGTGACACCAAACTACGGGGTAAATTTAAAAGAACGCACCGAAAAATAGACGACTTTTTCGAGGTTATATTTACTAAATAAAATTATTTTAGATATTAGAGCTACTGAGCAGTTTTACCACACTTAAACCATCCCAGTAGCTACTCCAGCGCTGTTGTGGAGAGTACTTGAGCTGTTATTTACTGCTTACAGATGGCCACTTTTTCAAATGTTCTACTATGGGGGTTGGTACTCCTTAATTCTACACTCCATAACCGTATTATTTCCAGTGCAGTAGCTCGAAGACGTCTTCCAATGCAGCGGCAAATTATTTCGGGGATATTACGTCACCCTGTATTAGACATCTCTACAGTTGGATTAGTTTTGTACTCTGGTTCTGTACTCGGATAGCCATCGTAACCCTTAGACCATTCAACTAAAAAAATATTAAGATTAAACTATCTACACAAAATAAAAATAAAAAACATAATTTCTAAAATAATTTATTGTCAACCGTTCATTTAGTTCTAGTATTATAAAGAAAAACAAATCAGCTGCTATAATAACGCTTATTTTAATCAACTACAGGTCTGTCTATAAACAGTAAAATATTTTCTACTATATAAAAATTTATGTTTGTTCGTACTTTCTACGATGCCATACCGTTTATCAGATTGCGTTAAAACTTAGTCAACTTATTGGTTGCACTTGTGCGATTGACCTTCATTGATTGCACCTTGTGCGATGGTGCGAGGTTATACGCATGGTACAATTAACTGACACTAAGTGGCGTACGTATTATACTTACTATTTATTTGAAGTTTTAGAAAGTTATTTATCATTATATTTCAATGATTGTATGATCATACCTAATTATACAATATAACTGTTTCACATTTTAACGATATTTCCACAATTATTTATTCTGCGGCAGCAATGCGCCGGATACGAGCTAGCAAGATAATTTAAAAAAAATTGAATTACATAGTTATCAGTTATTTACGTCATTTTCGAAATTAAAATTACAATATTAAAAAAATAACTGATCATCATACAGTCCTACTTTCCGTGGTATCGTCCCAAGAATCTTGGCTACGTATCCTCTCTGAATGGCTATACTTAGCCTTCAAGCGAGGAAGCAACAAACTAAACAACTTCTTATTACCAGCAGTGATTATTAGGTGCAGATACAGATTTGTAGGAACTACACCACACGTGCACGCTACGGACCAGTAGTCTCTACAGAAAATAACACAAATATGTACTCATACTATTACATGCCTTCAATTGAGAGAGAATTAAATCTCTAGATCGCACTTACTAAAACCCCATGGTGTTCTACCTCCGCCGCAAATTCGCAGGGCCACGAAAACGCTTTCATGCACATCCGCGGCCCCTCTGGCGCCAGCCGCCCAATGGCAGCCCCTCCTTAGTTGCTGACTTCTCCGCCCCGTTTTCTTTCTCAGATAAGGCGCACCAGAAATACAAGCCACAATGCCCTTCGCGGCTTTTAACTCCACCTGCACTACGGACTCCACGAGCCCGATATATGAATGGAGCCAGGGAAAAACGAGCACTTGGAAACATCAAGTGATGCAGCCTCACCAAAGTCGCGAAAGATAGTCCAGTGGCACATCGCCAATCGCCATACCAACACTCCTCCTCCCTTCCTCCTCCACTTCAACTACAGTGGTACATTGAGAGGAATCTCCTCTAGCCGCAGCCCACTAACACACATCCAACGTGGCTCGACATCAACAGGCGACCTTTCGACACTTGGCTATGGCCCTTGAGTTTGCTGGATAATGAGGATAGAAGAAATAAAAAAATATTCCAAATAATAATCTAATACTTTTATACTTACTGGTACTGATTCTACCAGAAAATATTGTCGGTATACTGCATTTTTTTTTTCAAAGTGGTGCAGTTCTCATGTCTAATAAAACAATCGTCTGTGAAATGTTTGGAACAAATATGGTAATTTTGTTTCGAACGCCAATTCACAATATTTATGCTTTTAATCCATAATTTTAGTCTAGGTTTTGTTTGAAACCTTAATAAACATTTGATAATCATCTGTTGTTGGCGACTTGGTTTGTTAACAGATATGGGTAGGAAAGAACATCGATAAGTATTATGGACAAGGAACTCGACAACCCTATTGAATGTTATTGTTTATCAAAATTCAGTAATATACAGCCAAACATGTTGGTATATATGATATTAAGATTAGTAACAAAATTTTAAGTACTTATTAAATAGTTTTAATTTATTACATATTAGCTGCAAATTCACTTACTTGTGAAATGTTATACCTTACCCTTTTGGTAACGAATTTTACGGATTACGCTCACTCTCGTTATTATTAAAAATATTTTTAATATGTAACTAATATTATACACAATCAAACAACGTAAAATACTTTCATTTTTCAGTTTAAAAGCTCAAAATACAGACTTTTTAAATATGACAATATAAATAAGACAACAGACTTTGACATATTATGTCAATTTTATTTTTCAAGACATCCTTTAGCGGCGCTTCAAATTGGCACAGTCATTTTGTATGGTATAGCCAGTCCAGCGTACTTGTATATTTAGAGGTCAGTGGATGTATGGAGTGTAAAAGTAAGGAGTACCAACTCCAATAGTAGAACAATTGAAAAAGTAGCCATCTGTAAGCAGTAAATAACAGCTCAAAAACTCTCCACAACAGCACTGGAGTAGCTACTGGGATGAAATGAACTTAGAAGTTGTCGACGGTTTAAGTGTCGTGCTAAACTGCTCAGTAGCTCTAAAATCTAAAATAATTTTATTTAGTGAAAATAACCTCGAAAAAGTCGTCTATCCCACTAATATTTTGCGTTCTTTAAAATTTACCCCGTAGTTGTAGTGGCGCCACCCTTATTTAATTACTTCCTTCTTTTCTTTAAATTACTTCTACAATCCATAGTTCGGTCATATTACTTATATATATTTACTATACTCTTTGATGTTACTCTACTCATAGAGAAAAGTAATATATACTCTACTTTTTGATTGACATCAAGCCACTTGTTTACGAATATTCTTATTTCTTAAATTAAATGCCGATATTTAAAGAATATTTGTGCAAGTAAATTTTACGTGGATAGTTTAATATGGGTTTGCCTTCAAAAAAATTTTTTCGAAATAAAATTGAAAATTATCAATAAACTAAAAATCCTATTCATGAGTCCAAATGTGTATCTTTTTCTTTATAATCTGTATTCCACAGAGTACTTTTTGTTTTTGACTTTTTGTATATCTGTATTCTATATTCGATTTGTTGTTTGAAGAGTTGAAGACTGAAGATGTGGTAATACAACGTAATAGTTAATTAGTTTATCTTTGTATTCAGTGTAATTTGTTTTTGCTTAGCTCTAATAAGGTCATTTTCTTAAACAGTCAATTTCATCAGATCAGATCTAGAAATACCATTGACGATGTCCGAAACACGTAATACTTAAAATGTCTGAAGAGAAGTCGGAAGAAATCAATACAATCGAATTTGATCCTATTCTTCCTGATTCTGGTATTCTCTTCTATGAAGAATGTCCTGCTGATTACGAAATACAGCGCCCGATTTTATTACCTTTGAAATCTGCAACACAAATTCGTTTTGAACAACTCCAACACGAAGCAGCAAGAGTCTGGAAAGAGAAAAATAAAACTGCAAAACAAAACTAATGTATCTTCTCCCTTGTTCAATTTAGTTTGTATTGTGTAATCTACGCAAATATAAAATGGCTTACACGCTGTTTGTGATAGAAATAATATCAGCGTTTATTCTAGCTGCAACTTTACTGTATAGATATGGAGACTGCTATAGGAATCACATAATTGTTACAGTATCTGTACTTACTGCATGGTACTTTTCCTTTGTTATTATGTTTATATTGCCCCTGGATGTATCTTCTGTAAGTATTTAATTATAGAACAATTAGTAATATGAGCTGTGGCTCAAGTGTTAAGTGCTAGTTGTAAATTTCACAGTATACAGGCATCCTGGGTTTGATACCCACCTGCACTAATGTAATAGCAAATTATAATTTTCAGTGCTGATTTACCACATGCTTAGCGATTAGATATTTATTGTGAGAAAGCCTGCATATCTGAGGAATATTTTTTTTAATCTGTCACACCACTGTCACTGTCTGTCATGTCACAAATAAAGCAGCACTGTCCACATTTTATAGAGGTCTAAGCTTGTTTTTGTTAGTCTAATCTGCATTTATACATTATTAAAGTAAATATATCAGCCCATGGGTGTCGCATAAAGTGACAGAGGGAAACTGAAATATGACATGAGCAGCAGTATCTTCCTGATAACAGCTGAATTAAAAAAAACTGTGGTTGCCAAGTGTGGCAGCTATGGAAAAATGGGGGTAGCCTGTGTTCAACAAGGACTTTTATAGGCTGTAATACATATATAGATACAAAATCAAAATAACCATTTTTCTCTAGATAGATATATAGTAAAATAAATTATGAGTTATGTGAAAAATGCTGTATCTCCAAAATTTGGTCTTTCTTGTGTCAAATCTTTGTGGATACTCTTTTGGTGACGACTTTGGCTATCTACGGCACTTTGGCTCTTTGTGATTGGATATTGTTAAACAATGCCGGCACACTACACTCCAGTTCAATATGCCAACATGCATTTTATTTATGGTGAATGCCGTGGTAATGCTGGAGCTGCAGCTAGACTCTACCGTGAGAGGTACCTCGACGAGGAGCGATATCCTGGCTATCGTGTATTTATGAATGTGCATCGGAGGCTATCTGAAGGTTGTTTTGCTGGAGCCGTAGTACCTGCATGTGGTAGAGAAGACTTTGACATTGAAGACGAAGTTTTGGAGCATTTTTGAAATGATACGCGAACTTCTGTTCGTAACCATTACATTATTGAGAGGAATGCCTTAGACAACTGTACATATGATGCTCCAACACAATAGGTACCTTACTACTAATTAATTATTACACTCACATGTATGTGCAAGTACAAGAATTAATCTATGCCTAATAGCAACTAAAGTTGAGAACCTAAAACTAAAGATGACGCATAGGAACATATTTTATTATATTTTTGAATGTGTTTTATTCAATATCAAAATTGGATAAAAAATGAACAACTTCTACTTTTCCATGGATATTAGGTCTGAAATCGGCCAAACCATTTCAATCAAGCGTAAAAACGAATTATTTTTCCTTACATTAATCGAATGGACGAATTATTTACAAAAAATATCTAATTGAATTATTTGCACAAAATCTACCCTCTTTGAGAAAATAAATTATAGCACAAAAAAGTGAAGTAAAAGTACCAAGTAATATACTGCTTTAAAATCTACGTGAGTTGAGCCAACTTTTGAATATAGTTGCCTGGTCCATGTGGGTACATTTTTTTTACAGGGTGAAGCGTTGAACTTGCAAAAACTTAAATGTAACATTTTTACAATTACGAATTTCTATGTATTTATTTCTACCAAACCTAATAGGTATTCAAAAATAAAATAGTAGGTATAGCAGGCATATTATTAGGCTATAATATAAAACAGAAAAAAAATTCAAATTGGTCCTCATTTGCAGCAAATTGGTCCTCATTTGCAGCAAATCAAAAATATTTACGCAAAAGGTGATTTTCTGTAAAATGTATAAATCAGTCTATATTTTAAAGCACGCAACTTGGGTATAAGACTTAATTTTTTTTTTGACCAGTCCTTCCATGGTCTACAACCCTCTTTCGTTTGATCGTTATGTTCTGGGACACCTTATATACACTTTTATTTCTTTTTTTGTAGACTGTTTATCGCCAATGCCTTCAAGATAATACTACTAATCCAGCTCCAGTAGTACAAAGTAATAACTCAAGTACAGACATACCAAATCATTGCCAAAAGCCATGGAGTTATGTACCAGATACAGTATTTCCTAACCTTTGGAGAGTTGTTTATTGGACTTCACAATGTTTGACTTGGTAAGTTAGAATATTGGTAGAAAAAGTGTTAACAATTAGTTTTATGCAACATTGTAATTAGAAGTACTTTGCTTGTTAAGTGTTAAATTTATGGCAGTTTCTCCCTTCTACTACTATTTAATAATGATTAAAAGACTGTTATTGGACCAATAAAGAAGAATATGAAAGTGAGTGAAGTGAAGTGAGAAATAAAATTATATTTCAAATGCAGTCAAACAACCTGCACAAAAGAGATTAATGGAAAAGAGTGTCCAAGTACTGAGACACTAACTGTACTATCACATTTAGAGCACTTAACTTTAATGGAATTCCTCGTTCAAAAACATTGGAGTCAGACTTTCATAAAATATCTTGAAACTGAAACAATCGTACACAACCATTCAGTAGGCTATTTGTGTTGTTGTCTCTTTTGCTTCCATCATCATCCTCTTGCTTGAAGGTAGTTGCAATTTTTTTATATAGAAGAGGGGGCAAACGAGCATGCGGCTCACCTGATGTTAAGTGACTACCGCCGCCCATGATCAACCGCAACACCAGAAGAATTGCAAGTGCGTTGCCGGCCCTTTAGAAAGGAGTAAACTCTTTTCTTGAAGGTCCCCAAGTCGTATTGGTCCGGAAAAATGGCGGGTGGTAAACTATTCCACAGAGAGGTCGTACGCGGAAGAAAACTCCTTGTGAAACGTACAGTCGTGGACCCCCAGGCATCCAGATGGTGTGGATGGTATCGGGACGTTTGCCGCGTAGTGCGTTCAGAATTTGGCGGCTGGGATTAATCCGAACAATTCCTCAGAGCACTCCCCATGGTATATGCGAAAGAAAATGCAAAGAGACGCAACATCTCTTCGCAGCGCCATTGAATTGAGCCGATCGGAAAGCACTCGGTCGTCGACGATTCGAGCCGCTCTGCAGCTGGTACTGGGGAGCTCCAACCCAGAGATGGGAACAGTATTCCGTGTGCAACCGAACCTGCATCTTGTAAGGTTGCAGGCGGTGTCCCGGCATGAAATACTATCCCGCTCTGCTGAGCATGCCAAGCTTTTTAGTGGCCAATTTGGCCTTCTCTTCCAAGTGACCACGAAACTGCACGTCACTCGATATGTCGACGTCGAGGATTCCGATACTGCAAGAGGCAACAAAGGGAGTGCCTTGAAACTGAGGAGATACGACAAAGGGGTTCTTTTTAGCGGTTAACGCGCAAATTTGTGTCTTCTGGGGGTTAAACTGGACTAGATTTAGTCGCCCCCAATCCGAGACTGTTCAGCAAAGACTCGACTTCAGACACAAGTTTGTCCCGGCACTCGTAGACGTTTTCCCGAGAAATATTGGCTTGGCCGGTGTAAAGAGCATCACTAGTGTTGTCATCTGCATAGCAATGAATGTTACGGATTTGCAACATATCATTGATATACAGAAGAAACAGCGTTGGCAATAGCACGCAGCCTTGTGGAACTCCGGCATTAATAGGCTTATAATCGGAGCTTGCACCGTCTACAACGACCTTGATGCTCCGATCTGCAAGAAAGCTGGTGATCCAATCGCACAATTTCTCGGGAAGTCCATAGGAAGTGAACTTCGAAAGAAGCGCTTTGTGCCAAACCCGATCGAAGGCCTTCGCAATGTCCAAACTAACGGCCAACGCCTCCCCCTTGGACTCTACTGCCTCCGCCCATCTGTGAGTTAGGTAGACCAGAAGATCACCAGCTGACCGATCACGGCGGTAACCGTATTGGCGGTCACTAATCAGCTGGTGATCCTCAAGGTACCTCATGAGCTGGCAGTTAACAATAGACTCCATTGTTTTGGAGAACAAGGAGGTGATGGCGATAGGCCGGTAGTTGGACGGGTCTGAGCGGTCGCCGTTTTTAGGGATCGGGTGGACGAAAGCCGTCTTTCATGATTTTGGGACTACGCCTAGGGAGTAGGAGCACCGCAAAAGACGCGTTAAAACCGGTGCCAACTCTGGAGCACACGTCCTCGGCACAATTGGGGGGATTCCGTCAGGCCCACTCCACTTGTGGATGTCCAGGGAGGTGAGTGCATTGCGAACCGAGCGCTGTGTGAACTGCACTTCCGGCATGGAGCACTCACACCGCGGGATGGTCGGGGGCGTACTCCCCCGTCATCGAGAGTCGAGTTGGACGCAAAGAAAGACCTTAGCAGATCGGCTTTCTCCTTTACGGTATGGGCCATTGAGTCGTCCTCCCTGTGCAGAGATGGAAGAGATGGCTGACAGAAATTTCCCTGGACAGCCTTGGCGAGAGACTAGAATGCACGGGTTTTATAAGGAAGGCGAACTAGTTTCTCGCCAATTCTGCCTATGTGCTTTGACTTTGCCTTGGCAGAGACTCTTTTGAAGGACCTAGAGGCGGAATTATACTTCTTTTTTAGAGCGCTGGTGTTTACGTCCCGGGACGTTGATGCGTCAGCCCAGGCTTGGTTGCACTCCTGCTTATGGCATGATGCTATTTTACAGGAGCGACCAAACCATGGCTGAGATTTGCCTCCAATGGGCACTACAGAGAAAGGAATAAAAAGTTCCATACCCTGAAGCACCACATCAGCGACAGAATCCGCAACAACATTGGGATCGTCCGGCGAGAAGCAAACCCGCCCCCAAGTGTAGGATGCAAAGAAATACCGCACCCCATCCCAATCGGCTGACCTATAGTGCCAAACACGGCGGCAGCCTGCAGAATGCAACTGCGATTTCAGCGTGAGTGACACCACACTCCGGACAAGACAATGGTCCGAGGAGCCTAAAGGGGCGTCGGCGGAAATCTGATATCCGTCCGGGTGAGAGGTCAGCAGAAGGTCCAACAGGGAAGGTGCATGATCCTCCTGATCTGGAATCCGCGTAGGCGAAGTAACCAGTTGTGTCAGACCATATGCCAAGGCAAAATCATGAACAGATCTTCCCGCATGATCGGTTAAACGTAAACCAAGCCATTCGGCGTGATGGGCGTTAAAGTCGCCGAGGATCACGGTCTCTGAGGAGGGGATCTGCTGTAGCAACGAATCTGTAGGACGTGGTCGAAGAGTCGGTTTGTTTCGGCATTACCACTATGGGACCTATAGAGGCACCCGTAGACGCGCGGATGGTCGTCGCTGTCTACGCGTAGCCAAAGGATGGACAGATCCGAACCTTCAAGTCTGCCGAGGCGTTGAGAACAGATTTCCTCTCTGTCATACACACAAACTCCAGCCCGAGGCACAAAGGTGTGTTCGAGTTTGTACCCCGGGTAGGAGAGATACGAAACATCAGCCAGAGAGAACACCCGCGTCTCGGTCAGAAAGAGCAGAGCCGGCCTCGCCATCTCGAGATGGTAGTGGACGGCGTTTAGGTTAGAGATGCAATGTCCCCTGATATTGCAGAAATTCACGGATAGCGTGGCAGGGGTCGCCTTGATCTTGTTGCTCCGTTTGTCCCGAGCAGTTGTAGTCTTGAGCGGAATTTTGTCCCCCCCCCCCCCGAATACGCGGGACAGCCTGAGCACCCACGCTTAGGAGTGAAGAAACATGGTCGTAGATGCTCAGCGAGGGATTTTTCGGGGGTGCTGGTACCCTCCTAGGGTAGGTTATCATCGTTTAATTCCGCTACCATGTTGAAGGGGGAGGGGGGGGGGTTGGGCCTCTGCCACCTACACTCACCAGACGAAACGTGGAAGCAGAGCTTCCACTTCACGCCGGTATTCTGTGAGGTCGTGGTACCACCCCGGTTTGAGCCGGCCCATACATGCAACAGCAAAGCTGCCGCGTGGCTCTACCACTGTTAATCAATGCAATACGTACATACCACCATTACAGCTGATTAGTCTTTACAATGTAATATATCATATTAATATTTTTTATCTTCTACTAAATAGAAGCTATTATATTTTTATCAAATTGATAATGCAAACATACTTTTATAATTAATTCTTTTATTAGGATAATCATGTATTTTATATGATGGCAGTAAACAGATAACAACAAAATTATATTTGTATAATAAAAATTCAGTTCAATTTTTATATGAGCATTTACTGAGGATAATTATATACATGTTAGTCATTAGTATGTACATATCTATACAAATCAATAATATTGAAGTATCTTTTTGTAATGTCAAAATAACAGCTTTTTGTTAAATGCATATGAAAGTATATACAGTACTATGTGGTAGAGCCATGCTGCAGCTATATCATAGTAGTAGCACGAATGGGTCGGCTCAACTCGGGCAAGACCACGTTCTCACAGAATAGCACTGTAATGCTGCTATGTTTTGTGTGGTGAGTGTACAATACCAGAGACCCTTTTTACTGGAATCAAGGCATTCCATCGTAGTCCTCAGGGGTGACGCTTTTGCATTTTGATTAATTAAGGATAAATATGGATGTCTACGGGCCACAGTATCCACTTACCATCAAGTTAACAGTGTGCTCGTTGGTCACCCAATACTATTAAAAAAACTGATAATAAAAACACAAGTTTTAAAATTTTTGTCTCGCTGACTGTCTGTTCCGGCTAATCTCTGCAATGTCTGGACCTATTTTGACGAGACTTTCACTGGCAGATAGCTGATATTATAAAGAGTGACTTAGGGTACTTTTATTTTACAAAAAGAATTGGGATTCCATGCAAAAAAAAAATTAAAGCACATGAAATCCAATTATAATGAATTACGAGGGGCACACTGAAATGATCGGGAATAGAATTTTTTGGTTGGAGTCACAATAAAACCTTTTTTAGAATTTGAATACTGGCCTCTTAGAATCTTAACGACATTCAAACAATTTTAAAAAAATGTTAAAAAAAAAAGTATGTTGGTTTAAAGTTGACACGTCGTTAACAGAAATGGAGCTCACGCGTGAACATTTCCGTGCCATAACTTATCACAATTTTCGTCGCGGCTTATCTCAAGATAAAATGTCTCAGCGTACTTGTTTCGATTTATGATGTTGAAGCACCGAGTCAAACGACAATATACCGCTGGTATGCCGAGTTCCATGGCGGTCGTGTGTCGCTCAGCACTGTTTCTTCTGCAAGTCGACCAAGAACAGCGGTCACTTCCGAAAACATTGCAGCTGTGTGAACATGTGATATTAGATGACCGTCATGTGACATACGCGGAGATTCGGGCTGTTATTAAGTCGGTATTACATAATGAGCTGTGTGTAAGAAAGCTGGTTTCCCCACAATTTGTCCGAAGAGCAAAAGGCGGCTCGTATAGATTGGTGCCGGAATACTTTGCAACGCTTCAACGGAGGGAAGTCAAATGCCGTTTATAATATCGTCTCAGGTGACGAACCATGGATTTGTTCATACGAACCTGAAAGAAAACATCAGTCAGCAGTTTGGATCTTCGACGACGAGGTCAAACCAACGAAAGTGGTTCGCTCCCGCAGCGTGGCAAACAAAATGGTCGTTACGTTTGTCTCCAAAAAGGAGCATGTTGCTACAATTCCTTTACAGGAATGCAGAACGATTACCGCTGAGTGGTATATCACGATTTGTTTGCCAGAAATGATAGCCGAACTCGAACAAGTAACCCGAAACGTCGCATCATCTTACATCGCAATAATGCGAGCTCCCATACGGCTCGGAAGACAAATGATTTTTTGAGGCAGGAAAACGTTGAGCTGATGAGCCATCCTCCGTACAGTCCTGACTTAAGCCCAAACGATTTCTTTACCTTCCCTAGAATGAAAGATTTATTACGCGGTCAACGGTTTGAAGACCCCGAAGGAGCTGTGGAAGCGTACAAATCAGCCATTTTGGGAACATCAACTTCAGACTGGAATTACTGTTTTAATCATTAGTTTGCACGAATGGAAAAGTGCATTAAGTTGAACGGAGAATACTTCGAAAAACAATAAAATACAATTTAGCTATACCGTGCATGTGGTATTTCTTATTCCCGATCATTTCAATGTGCCCCTCGTACATGCGGGAAAAGTCACATAAGAGAAATCCATCACCCTATTTCATTGTTTATGGGTATTGTAAGATTGTAAGACATCTATGCTGCTGTATTTCGTATGGTGAGTGTAAAGAACCAGAGACCCTTTTTGAACAGAGACTGGAAACGTGGCATTCCATATTAGTCCTCACGGATGACAACGCATCTGCATTTTGATTCATAATCGAGAATAGATGTAGATCTCTATGAGCCACAGCAACCATTTACCTTCAGGTGGACTATGTGCTTGTTTGTCACCCTATCTATATATATTATGACTTCCGATAAATGGCGCTATAATCATCTCTTTAGTGTCCAGCTTAAAATACCCAGACGGGCAATGGGAAGTAGCATGAAAGTTGTTTCAAAATATCTGGTACTTTAATCGTCAACCCAACTGCCGGCAATGATTATTAAAATAAATCCTCCTTACAATGCGTAAGGCCCATGACCTGCTGTGGACTTCTGGTAAGGAAGAAGAATAGTTCATGTATGGACATGGAAAAGTATGTTACGGAACAGCCTAACAACTTTTAATGACACAAAATTTAATTTTAGTTTATAATTTAGCTGATTATCCCTTAAATTATCATATGAACAAGTACACAGTTCAAACGTCAAATCTATGTGTATAAACATCAATTGCTGTTTGTTAAAACTCGGAACTAGCTCGACTGATTCTGATGAAATATTTGTGTGTTTGAGTGGGTCCTTGGATTGTTTAGATGTACAATTAGAGCCCTATCTCATTAGGATGCCATGGCATCGACGCCGGCAGTGCTTCCATGGCTACCGTTGGCGTCCATGAGACGCCAAAACTAGTCGCTAAAGCCGATGTCAGGCGAAATTAGTATCGCTTGTTCATGCAACCACAATGGACGTCGAATAGATCGCGATCCTCATTCTTTATCGCCGTAGGCAAATAAAACGAAAAAATGAAAAGAAACTATGGGTACAATTTTTTATTTCCGATCGAATGATAAGTGGCATTTTTTACAAATTATACGAAGACTTACGAAAATATCATAACAAATTTTTTAATTACTTGAGGATGTCTGTGCTATCATTTGATGAATTACTCACTACACACGCACGCACTACACAGCGTGGCGCCGCTGCCAAGACAAGCAAGCGGGCGGGTTCGAGCTGGCGTCGACGCCATTTTGGCGGCGTCGCCACGTGAGGTAAGGTTAAGTACGATCTAATAGAATTTAATATGTTATAATTGGCGACGCTGCCGGCGTCGATGCCATGGCATCCTAATGAGATAGGGCTCTTAGACCAGGTAGATGGAACAGTTGTTGCTAGTAAAATATAGTTATACCAATTTATCTTTGATTATTCCAGCATAGATTTTTTTAGAATTAAGCCAGTCCATTTTGATTTCCCTTTGCATTTGTTATTACTAGCAAAACATAAATGGAAGTAGAAAGTAAAATTAATACAAATGGTAAAATTAATAATTTTGTACAATCATTTTCAATACGACCTATATAAATGGAAGTAGAAAGTAAAATTAATACAAATGGTAACATTGAAAATTTTGTACAATCATTTTCAATACGACCTAATCACCGTAATCAAAGTCAATTCATCATCATCATCATCATCATTACAGCCCTTCACAAGTCCACTGCTGAACATAGACCTCCCCCAAGTAATGCCACACAAAGCACGGTCCTGAGCCACCTGCATCCATCGACTTCCTGCATATCTTACCAGGTCGTCACTCCATCTAGTGGGGGGTCGCCCTACACTACGCCTACCGGTACGAGGCTGCCACTCGAGAACCTATCTTCCCCATCGGTTATCGGTTATTCGAGCTATATGGCCGGCCCATTGCCGCTTCATCTTACTAATCCCCGTTGGGCTATGTCGGTCACTCTGGTTTTACTGCGGATATCCTCATTTCTGAGTCTATCACGCAGAGAAACTCCGAGCATAGCCCTCTCCATAGCTCGCAGAGCGACGTTGAGGGTCCTCATACGGCCAGCAGTGAAGGACCACGTCTCAGATCCGTAAGTCATCACTGGCAACACGCAATGGTTGTACAATCTAGTTTTTAGAGATTGAAGTATACCTGACGAGAAGATATGTCGTAATTTCCCGAACGCTGCCCAGCCGAGTTGAATCCGTCGATTGACCTCTCGGTCGAAGTTGGACTTACCTAGTCGGACTATTTGTCCTAGGTAAACGTACTCGTCAACAACTTCGAGCATAGTGCTCCCAACAACTACCGGCATAGGTGTGACATGGACATTAAACATAATCTTTGTTTTGTCCATGTTCATCTTAAGACCTATCCGTTGGGAGGCACTATTGAGGTCATTGAGCATAGTGCTTAAGTCCTCCAGCGATACTGCCATAAGGACTATATCGTCGGCAAATCGAAGGTGAGTGATGTACTCGCCATTGATGTTAATACCGTATCCTTTCCAGTCCAGTAGCTTGAAAACGTCTTCCAATGCAGCGGTGAAGAGTTTCGGGGATATTACGTCACCCTGTCTTACACCTCTCTGCAGTTGGATAGGTTTCGTACTCTGGTTCTGTACTCGGATAGCCATCGTAGCCCTACTGTACAAACACTTCAGCACTTCGATATACCGACAGTCAACTTAATATGTAAAAGTCAATTAAATATGTATTATTAAAGATATAGCCGTGGTAGCTCAGGTGGTTAGCGCTCGCTGTAAATTTCACAGTACGCGAACAAACCGGGCTCGATCCCCACCGGCACCAATGAAATTGTTAATTGCAATTTTAAGTGCTGATTTACCACGTGCTTGACGGTGAAGGAAAACATCGTGACGAAACCTACATGTCTGAGAAATAAGAAAAAAAAATTCGAAGACATTTGAAGTTCGCCAACACGCATTGGGGCAGCGCGGCGAACACTTCCTTGCCCTAAAACCCTTTCAGAAATGAGGGGAGGCCTGTGCTCAGCAGTGGGACGTATATAGGCTGTAACTTTAACTAACTATTAAAGATAACTCAAAAACTACTGGTCAGATCTTGATTAAATTTATATGGGACCACACGAGAAGCACCAGCTTTCAGATAAAAAAAGAATCATCAAACTGGGTTCACCCAGAGAAAAACTATGAGGTAACACACATAAAAAACATACAGTCGAATTGAACACCTCCTCCTTTTTGAAGTCGGTAAAAATGTGATAGTTATTAAACATATTTTAAAGTATCTGTACAGTGTTTTTTTAATGTAATAATATCATCATGATGTTATATTTTTTAAATAATTCAATATAGCATATTCATATATACAGTTCATAATATATTTTTATTTCAGGCTCATCATGCCAATGATGCAGTCATATAGCAAAGCTGGTGACTTCACAGTCAAAGGCAAACTAAAATCTGCTTTAGTAGATAATGCCATCTATTATGGATCATACTTACTCATATGTGGTATATTACTTATATACATAGCCCTAAAACCAGGCGTTTATTTAGATGGATCTAAAATTAAAGCTATAGCATCTTCTGCCAGCAACACATGGGGACTGTTTTTATTAATTCTATTACTTGGATATGCATTGGTGGAAGTACCACGAAATTTGTGGAACAACTCAAAGAAGAACTACACTCTCACTTATTGTTATTTTAAAATAGCCAAATTAAGTACAGATAAATGTGAAGCAGAGGAAACAGTGGATGATATTTTGCATGTAAGTTTCTTGGCATGCAGTAGTTGAAAAATTACTTTTGTTGCCCCTTAATATCTTTATGTTAATACTTCGTAGATCTAGTGGTTGCAAGCGCGGCTGCCGGTCATAGGTTCGAATCCCGGGTCGAGCTAAATTCAGTTACTGGGAATTTCTGTCAAGAAATTCTTGCTTCGTAAAGCACCGTTAAAACCGTTGGTCCTGCACCTGATCTCTCTCCGGTCGTGTCGGATTACCATCCCATCGGACTATAAGGGTGAGGGAATAGAGAGTGCACTTGGGCACTATAATTCTTTCCTGCGCAATTAGACCGGCCACCGAAAGTTGGTCTAGAACACATTATTATTATTTAGTATAATGATGATGTGATGGCTATTCTCCATTTAGACCGGCCACCGAAAGTTGGTCTAGAAGACATTATTATTATTTAGTATAATGATGATGTGATTTGATATTTATTATTTATCTATTTACTTGAAAGTTATGCTTTAGTTATTCACATTTATAATAATGATGTAATTTCCTCCAAAACAAATTACGTTCATGGAGGCCAAGCTCAACACAGATCCTAGCCAGCTACACAGGACAGAATAATTATGGCTAATGATTGTGTGCGCAAGCACAGGTGCACTATCTAATCCATCTCTATCATAGTCCGATAGGATGGCAATTCAACACAACTGGAAAAAGAACCGACGTAAGACCAACGGCATTATGTACTTTCCAATGCATAGACGAGGGCGGAACTGCCACTTCGTAAGACTGATATTAAGAATTCCATGACCAATTAACAGATTTTTGGCCAGACCCGGGATTCGAAGGCAGTCATTGATAATAATTAAAGTATTTAAAGTAACGACCTAAACATGTTCCACTGCTGGGCACAGACCCTCTCTCATTTCTAAAGGGGTTTTAATACAGTTAAAAGCGTCGGCTCTTTTCATAATATATCCTTGAAATATTCTTAGACATGCTGGTTTCCTGAACTTACTATTTTTCAGTCGAATAAATTATTCATCTTGCTCCATCATTCGCCTTGGGTGAAAGTGTTTTGGCGATATAGGCTAGACTAAGAGCACCTTCATCCCACATGCTTGTATACGTTGGAGGTTTGTAAGGATCACGGCAAATGTAAGTCCGTAGTCTGCTTACCCATCAGAGTGACGGGAATGAGCTTATGATTATAATAAATGAAAAATATAGTAGATATTACATCTCCAATTCTATACGATCTTTATATGGAAACACTGCTGAACAATTTATAGAGAAAATTGGTTTATTCCAGAAATATTGTAGCTGTCATAGTAACAAGTGATAAATTAAAAATGTATCCAACCAACTATATATTTATATAAATAAAATGAGAACATCATCAATGTACTCGGAGTCATTAAATACGCGTTATTAAGGATAACTCAAAAGCTACCGGTTAGATCTTGATCAAATTTATATAGGATCAGATGAAAAGCACCAGCTTTCAAATAAAAAAGAATCATCAAAATATAACCTAGAAAAAGTTCTGAAGTAACACATAATAAAAATACATTGAATAAAAAAATCCGTAAATTTAGTTTTAATTAATGTGTAGTGTTCGCGTAAATTTAAGAAATCATAAAAAATACAGTTTAATTGAATATCTCCTTCTTTTTGAAGTTGGTTAAAAACTAGTAAAAATCACGCATGAAAAATCATGATAGTGAATGATAGAAAGTGAAGAAGAAGAAGTGTTTTCTGCTTGTTTATAGAGCTTAAACTCAGTTATGGCAGCCGTTGGTCCCGGCCATCCATTACATCGTCATGTTGAGACAATCGTTCAGAAGTTACCGATTCAGCTGCGAGATCGACTCAGTTCCCTCGTGCCTCCTGAGAGATCTACACCTCCATCTTTCAAGTCGCTTGTTAATTTGCATAAGAAGGTATGAAAGTTAAATCATTGATATGATCATTAATAAATTACTAGTTACTAGAGACTAACTTCTCCGTTATTTGTTTTAAGTAAAAATTATTATTATTATATTTTCTTATTAAACTTAACTAACAAATCAACGTATAGTCCATCCAATGGTAAGTTACTTCTGCAGCCTATAGACAGACACCTGCAAAGAACTTCAAATGAAGCTACAGATGCATTGTCACCTCTGAGAACTAAGATAGAATAGCTCACAGACTGTTACTATACTACCTCTCTATTATACCCTTCAGACCAGAACATAGCACTATTTTTATAGAATAAGGGTGACAAACGAGCGCACAGTCCATCTGATGGTAAGTGGATTCTGTGGTCCATGGACATATACATTTATCCTCGATTAAGAATCAAAACGCAGATGCGTTGTCACCCTTGAGGGCTAAGATGGAATGCCTCGTTTCCAGTAAAAAAATAGTCTTATGATCTCTACACTCACCATACGAAACACTGCAGTATTAAGCTGGTATTCTGTGAGAGCGTGGTCCTTCCCCGGTCGAGCCGACCGATTCGTGCTACAACCATATGGGTTGACTGGTAGAGAATGTCTTTAGGCATTAAGTCCTCCCTTTGTATCCTTTTTTTTCTAAGGAGACGCAATAAAGTTTTTATAATAAAAATAAAATTAATAAATAATATAGCTGCAGCGTGACTTTACCACTTATAATAGAAATATAGATTTAGATGTCTGTTATAAAGAATCAAAATGCGGATGTATTGTCACCCTTGAGGATATAGATGGAGTGCCCTATTGCTATTAATAAGGGTATCCGGTTCTCTGCACTCGCCACACGAAACACAGCTGTATTAAGCAGCTATTTTATACTGTTGTATTCTCCAAGAGAGTGTTCCATCCTCAGTTAAGCTTCCTTTCATACTACAACCATAATATAGCTGTAGCATGACTCTACCACGTATGAAATTAAGAAAGATCATTTTCGCACCACGCGTAAAATAAAGCATTAGTTTTGTGAATGACCACCCATCAAATAAGAGAGTAGTACCTAGATACGGACTTCTAGACAAAAAGGAGTCCCTCCGCCTAGCAAGTTAATAAAGATATATTATTTTGTGATTGTTGTCACTAGGCGAAACTCCAGCACTATTAATAATGGAACTGTGACTTGTTTCATTGTATCCTTATGCCATCCAAGAGTACCACGGCGTGGAATTAGTAAATAAATAATATAACCATCGAGGTCTAAGAGAATAGTCGTAAAAAGTAAAATAAAGAAAAATGCAACAAAGATTTTTTAACTTATCGTAGATAGTAGTCAAAGCATTTCGTATTTATAGCAAATGTTAAATGGCATTAAGGTGATGCATTGCAAATATTTTTTAAAGTTTTATAGATTACAAATCAAAATTTTGTTATATGATTTTTCACTATATGACCTTGGATTGCATAAAAAGAAAACACGATATCATGAAATTTTCTCGATAGAAAAAAATTCCAAAGTAGGCTCTAATTAGTTACATTTTTCCATGACACCACAATAATTTTACTAAGTTCTCATAAAGCATTTTTTTATCCATAACGTAATTTTGTTAAAAAAAAATAAAAATGTTGTTTGGCGCTTACTTAGTTTTTTTCCGAGCGCGTGCTCGGTATAGCTATCTCATAATTTGCGTATTATGATGTCATTGCCTCACTTTCATTTTGACACTCCCTCAGTCGTCCGTGAGCTTCACGACAAAGGAATAAACCTCGCCCCCAAAATTACGATTCATTTTCAAGGTATCCTCTTAAATCCGACCTTTGTAACCTTTATGGTTAAAAAACAATAAAGTTTTGAAATAAATAAATAAAATACCCAGATCTGTAACAGGAAACAGTATAACAAAATCTTGTTTTGGTACTGTGATCGTTTATCCACCTGCCATGATTCTATCGTGCTCACGATGTTCACATTGAACGCTGAACTGTTCAGGTCTGCTGAGAAGTCTGAAGGAAAAATTAAGAGTTCATTTGAGTATATTATGAATATTTGCTATGCTACTTAGTGGCCAAACCGAACCATGCCGAGACGGACGGACAGACAAGGAGACGAACAACAGCGTCGTCGTGGTAACGACTCAAAATAATAAAAAAAAAACTACGCGTGCCAACGTGCCTGCCAAGCATGGCAAGTATGGCCCTCGTAATTGAGAAATAAAACACGTCGTTGCCTAACGGCGTTTATTACAGTCAAACATGGCAGATGCAACTGCCTACCTACATAAAAAATATATACAACATGTAACAAAAACCCTGTGGTCCCCGTCAAGTGCGTTATCAGAATCGGTATTCAAGCGTATAGATTTTTTTTTTCAAAAAAACCCTTAAAACATTAATTTTAATGAAAAAAAAATCATTTGCAAATTGTATGTGGTTTTATTATCTCTGCATTGACCGAGGAGTAAGAGGATTGTCAAAGACCTCGCATTCCCGATGCTCGTGTGAGTTAGGGGAAATAAAACCACATACAATTTGCAAGTTAATTTTTTTTCATTAATTTTTTTAATGTGTTTTTTTGAAAAACAATATTTCTATATGCTTGGATACTGATTCTGATAACACACTTAACTGGAACCACAGGGTTTTGTTACATGGTATATATATATACAACATGTAACAGTAAAAATTTGAGAAAGTAGTTTGTTCAGAATCGTTCACTGAATCGATTCCTATCATTTTTAATATAGGTAATTTTTTATCCCAAAAATAATTAAAACTACGTAAATTACAGTCACACTAAATCTGTACAGTCAAAACAAACTGAAATGGACCGTAACTGAAGGCAGTAAGACTTGAGTGCGGTTTTATTTGTATCATTACTAATTCTGTCATTCAATAAAAATAAAGAAAAATGAACTTCATTTCAAGCACGTTAACCCAGTAATGCCCGAATTTTTTTATTTTTTATTTTTTTAAGTTTGGATATATAATATTGTTCAATGATGGGTTCTTATCAACTTAGCATAAATTTTATTTTTCCAAATATATTAGAAGTTGAAGAAAATTCACGTGTCCAAATGGACACACTAAGCGCTTACAATAGCTAAGGATTTGAGAAATTTATCTTGAAGTATGCAGTTAGATAAAAAGAAACAAAAACATTATAACGGTAGGTGTTTATTACTTCTGGTGATACATTGCAAAACATGGTATACATAGGCCAACGTCACACTTCATACATTCTGTTCTTACAGAAGAACTCTTTGATTTGCAGTACGGGCCGACGCATCTTCTTTTTTTACACACTTTCGAACGTAATGATTTATGATGTCAAACCGCGCTGTATCAGCCAGTTTGGACGTAGAAGGTCTGCCTGCACCTTTAGCAGCTATGCCGTAAGTTTTTAGGTAGGTAAGAACAATTTCTCTTCGAAATTCCAGCTGTGGCATCTTATCTTTCTTTCTCTGAAGTTGCCAAGCATTATGCACGCATGCATCTAGCATCCAAGTAAATAGCGACCAGTACCACTTCTTTCCTCTGATGTGTATCCTATACATGTTTATATTTTCATCCATCCTGTCAACTCCACCCATATATTTATTATACTCACCCAGAAAAAATGGTCGTGGCACTTGAACAAATGATTTATCTTTTTGGGAATACCGTTTCACGGTAGTCAGCGGTTGTACGCCCAAATTGTTAGATGCGATGCAAACGATTGAATTATCCATCCATTTTGCTACAAGGACACCATCTTCTTTGCTAATCGCAGATTCATAATAACCTCTTGGCTTTTTCTTCAACATTTTATTCGAAGTCAATTTTTGACACTTCTGCAGGCGGTTTTCCCGCACTGTGCCTGTAGCTCCATATCCTTGCTGTCTAAAGTAGTTCAGAAGATTCAAGCTTGTAAAAAGATTGTCAAAGAAAAAATGATAAGGCATTTTCTTTTTTTCATCGGTAAACTCGTCGATAAATGTTAGAAGAGGAGTGGCACATTTTCCAAAGTGCTGTTCATAAAATGGATTGGCATTTGGAACCTTGCCTTGATAAACTTCTGGATCTGGAGTACACAGGCTCCATATCTTGTAGCCGAACCGGATGGGTTTTCCTCTGATAAATTGCTTACAGGAATGCTGGCCATAATATTTGACCATAGTTTCGTCGAATGACAGATTTTGTTCAGGGACAAAATGTTTCATAAAATTAGCCTTTATTTTATCTCTTCAAATCTGTTGCGCTGCATAGAGTTGCAAATAAGCTCATTGCGGGTATCTATCTCCGTGCTCCAATAGAGCCGTCTGTTAGCATTGGGCGAATACCCACTCAAAATGAGAATAGCAATAAAGCATCGCATTTCAGCAGCTGTGATCTTAGGATCAGGGCAGTTTTTCCATAAAGCATAGCGATTTGATTGCAGAATAAACATGTCAATAATGTCGTGATCAATAAAAAGCTCAAACAAATCGACGGCTGATTGACTAGCGATGTCAGTTGCAATCTCTGGAAATGATCCCAAAAATGGTTCTAAGGTTCCATCGATCCATGTTCTCGCTTTTCTGCCACAAAGATCGTCAAAATGAAGAGTGTCTCTGTAAGTTTGGTATCGTTGCTCAAACCTTACCTCCGCACCAGCTGTTAATTGCCGAGCATTCAAGTTCTCGGCTCTTCCACCACTATCTTCGTCACCTGAATCCTCGTCCGTCAAAATACTAGATCAGGAGGAGCTATAAAAATTGATTCTGGTATCGGAGATTCACCAGAACCTTCTTCATCTTCGCACAATATATCAAGAATTTCATTTAGGGAGCCGTTACCCAGAAATTGGTTGAAATCGAAGAATCTGAAAATAATACATTACTTTTTGTAATGCAATGCTTAGTGCCTAGCGTGTCCTTATGGACACGGCAACTTCAGTGTTATAAATATTATGCTAAATCAAATCTAAGCAATATTTTACCATTTTGTAGACATAACTCAATTATATCTTAGTAATTAAGCACAAAAATAACATAAATAAAACCAATATTTTGAAAATAATATTACTTACTCTCTTCTCGGATCCATATTTCACCGTAACTGAGATTAGCGGCAATTAAATGATTAAACCCGCGAATCAACATTATATTATGACAGTGACAGTGACATGTAATGAAACTTTGACATTTAGTGGTATAGTATAAACAATGAAATGTTTAAAATTAAATAAAGTGTAGCCATATTAAGCATTTAAATTTACCCATATTTTTGTGTCCATATGGACGTGCTAGGCATTACTGGGTTAAAGTCTTTACGTTCGTGGATTTGTACTGTGACCACAACAATCTTCCGGAATTAGTATAACTAATTTGATAAATAATCATGTATATAAATAATATTTAACTAACCAAATTAGTGTATATTATGATTATAACATAATACATACCTTAAATTTTTGGTGCGAGTGGTGGTGCGTCACAGTACAAATCCACGAACGTATATATATATATATATATATATATATATATATATATATATATATATATATATATATATATATATATATATATATATTGTACGATGTACCTACATACATCACAGTAATATATTGGGGAGGCCTATGTTCAGCAGTGGACTATTGATATGCTGTTAATGAATAAATGAAAAACTAACTGTTTACTATTTTAACAGACAATCAAAGCTCTTCATGTCCTGCAACGCACGGAGACCCAGTGGGGTATAATGTTGGAGCGTATATACCATCTAGAAGATGTCGCTTCGAACTCGAGGTCTCCGGATCACCGCTTTCAACATACCTTCCACACGCCGCGCCCTCGACTGCAGAGGATACTGTACCCGCCTATGATTGGTTAGTAAAAACATTGTCACTTATATAATAATAATGTCATTTATACGTGGTAGAGCCATGCTGCAGTTATATTAGTAGTATAGTTGTAGCACGAATGGGTCGGCTCGACCGGGGAAGGACCACGCTATCACAGAATACCAGCGTCAAATAGTAGCTTAGTGCTGCTGTGTTTCGTATGGTGAGTGTAGAGAACCGGAGACCCTTTTTACTGGCAACGAGGCATTCCATCTTAGTTCTCATGGGTGACAACGCATCTGCATTTTGATTCGTAATCGAGGACAGATGTAGATGTCTATGGGTCACAGCAACCACTTACCATCAGGTGGACTGTGTGCTCGTTTATCACCCTATCCTATAAAAAAAATCGAAAGCATATAGTCGTCTTTATATTATTCTCAAAATTATTGGAAAAAAATAAACAAATATTTCTCGGTTACCTACCAAAACGTTTAAAACGTTCACGGAACACGGTAAGTATTGTGAAATAAATACAAGATTAGTAAGTAGATCAGAAGCCGTCGTAGCTCAGATGGTTAGCGCTCGTAAATTTCACAGTACGCGAGCAACCCGGGTTCGTTATCCCTGCCGGTACCAATGACATTGCAATTTTGAGTGCTGATTCACCACGTGCTCGGCGGTGAAGGTAAATATTGTGAGGAAACCGGCATATCTGAGAAATAAGAAAAAAAATTCTAGGACATGTGAAGTTCGCCAACATGCATTGGGGCAGCGCGGCGTACATTTATTTGCCCTAACACCCTCTCAGAAAAGAGAGGAGGCCTGTGCCCAGCTGTGGGACGTATATAGGCTGTAACTTTTTATAATTAATTTGAAACATGTGACATTTGATAAATTGCATAAAAACAACGATCTCCATTAATATACTACTACATATTTTGTTTTTAATTGCACAGAATGGTACTGGGAGTGTTTCCTCAAACCATACTTTCTGAAGACAATGGCGGTCGTGACCTGCATACTGTCCGTGGCTGTGGTGTGGTCAGAAGTTACTTTCTTTTGTAAGAACCCCGTCCTGTCCATATTTGCCAACATTGTGATAGCTGCTAAAGACAGTTATAATTATGCAGCTATTGTGGTAAGTATTACAGTTTAAATTGGAATTTGCTTTTTTATCTTCATTTTTCATAACAAATACTGAATTTGGACTAGGAAAACTATCATCATCATTCATCATTACAGCCCTTCACAAGTCCACTGCTGAACATAGGCCTCCCCCAAGTAATGCCACATAGCACGGTCCTGAGCCACCTGCATCCATCGACTTCCTGCATGTCTTACCAGGTCGTCACTCCATCTAGTGGGGGTCGCCCTACACTACGGCTACCGGTACGAGGCTGCCACTCGAGAACCTTTCTTCCCCATCGGTTATCGGTTCTTCGAGCTATATGGCCGGCCCATTGCCACTTCAGCTTACTAATCCGTTGGGCTATGTCGGTAACTCTGGTTTTACTGCGGATATCCTCATTTCTGAGTCTATCACGCAGAGAAACTCCAAGCATAGCCCTCTCCATAGCTCGCTGAGCGACCTTAAGCGTCCTCATACGGCCAGCAGTGAAGGACCACGTCTCAGATCCGTAAGTCATCACTGGCAACACGCACTGGTTGTACAATCTAGTTTTTAGAGATTGAGGTATACCTGACGAAAAGATATGTCGTAATTTCCCGAACGCTAATCAATTATGTTTTCATTCTAAATGTCAAATTTTAATTTGAAAATACGATGAAGTTTCGAGGTTAACTAAGAGAAACGCTAAAAAAAATTAGAGCAAATTGGCTCAGAATTTCCCCTAATGTACAACGATCGTCAATTTACCTGCTTGTTATCCGTTCTAATTAATAAGGAAAAATACCTAAATTACTGAGGATAATAACAGAGGATGATGACTGTGGTGCTTATTGGTCGAATACATGGTTGCTAATACTCTGTGAAATTTGCTCTGAGTATCTTCACGTCAGGTTGACAATAATGTCTGATTACTAAAACACATATTATATGATAAAAAAAATCTATTATTGACTACATGTTTATCAAATTAATTATCCATGTTAGAGCTGGGAATTCTTTTAATTAAAGGCTAGCAAGTCAATATTGGCTATGTCATAATGATGATGAAGTCAATATTGTATAAGTATAATAATTTAATAAGTCAATAAGCAGTTTTTTATTGTCTGCTAGCTGGTACCCAACGCGTTGATACCACAAAAGGAACAGTGATGGAAATATAGTTTTCAAAATAGTTATATTGTTTAATTAGAAATGATAATACAGTCATTGAAGTGTATACGCACACCACCTACTGTAGTAATAATGTCCTCCAGACCTTATTTCGCTGACGGCGGCCAGACTTAACAGGCTTAACAGTGCCCAAGTGCTTGCGCAAACACAGGTGCACTCTCTATTCCCTCACTCTCATTATCCGATGGGACGGTAAATCAACACGACCGGAGAGAGATCAGGCGCAGGACCAACGGTTTTACGTGCTATCCGAGGCACGGGAGAGAGACACCGCCTACTTCCTGACTCCAAACAGCTACTGAGAATTTCTTGACGGAAAAACTGAATAATCAATTTTTTGGCCCGGTACCCGGGATTCGAACCCAGGACCTCATGATCAGCAGTCGCAATACTAGACCACCACTAGACCAACTAGGCAGTCAGATGGAATAATAACAATAATGAATAATGAGTTCGTTACGATAATCTTGTTAACAACATATTGCAACAATTGTTCGCAGTGAGTTATCAGAAGATATTCGTGTTGGGAATGCCTCAGCCTGTTGCAATACCGTGCCTTATAGCAGTTTAGTACCTTACATACCTTATCTTCAGACTAGAGTAGACTTCAGATAGTATAGTTACGCTGCAGTTGTATAATAGCTATAGGTTTTTTGTGAAAGAACTGCGATCTCATTGAATACCAAAGTATAATAGCATTATAATGCATCAGATCAGATCAGCAGTCGTACTACTACAACCACTAGACCCACGAAGCAACACGTACTGTAATTTAATTGTATCTATGCCTGTAACCTTCGTGCAGGTGCCAGCAATAAGTTGACAAAGTTTTACCGCACACTGATGAATGGTATGGCAGTGCATAAAATACGAACAAACAAACATTAATGTTTGTATATTATGTGTCTATGCTGAATGCCTAAATGTATTCAGATCAACTTGCGATATTATCACACAAGCGTTACATTGGGCAGAGACACAGGTTAGGCTAGGGCGAGTGATTTTGCCGCGTACTATTGTGGTACTGTTACTATTGGGTAGACTCTTTTTGCCTAGAAGCCTTCTGGTTCCCTTACTTATTTCTTACGCCGAAGAGCAGAGTGCGCACTGCTATATTCCAGTCTGAAGCACTTGGAGACCCAGTATAATAACAGGGCATGTCACATTCCGTCTTAGTCCTCAGAGGTAACAAATATGTAGCATATACACCACGCTACAGTTATATTATCGTTGTAGCACGAATGGGTCGGCTCGACCGGGGAAGGACCACTCACAGAATACCAGCGTAAGATAGCAGCTTAATACTGCTGTGTTTTGTATGGTGAGTGTAGAGATCCGGAGACCCTTTTTTACTGGAAACAAGGCATTCTATCTTAGTCCTCAGGGGTGACAACGCATCTGCGTTTTGATTCTTAATCGAGGATAAATGTAAATGTCTATGGGCCACAGCATCCATTTACCATCAGGTGGACTGTGTACTCGTTTGTCACCCTTATTCTATTTAAAAAAAAACTATTTGAAGTTGGCTGCAGGTATCTGACTAATTGACGTAATTATTCAAACGCTTAACCCTCTAGCCTACCACTGTTCATATTTATAGTATATATTATTAGTAACTAATTAGTATATTTTTTCCAGTCAATATCAACACTAATAATTGCCTACATGTTCTACTGTGCGTACTCCACGGTGCTAAAGATCCGGCTGCTCAACTTGTATTACTTGGCCCCGCATCATCAGACCAACGAGTACAGTTTGATATTCTCCGGAATGATGGTCTGTCGCCTCACGCCGGCCATGTGCCTCAATTTCCTCAGTCTTATACACATGGACTCGCACGTCATCAAGGAGAGGATCATGGAGACCTATTATACACAGGTGATCTCTTAATTCCACATAAAACTCGTGTAACTTGCATTTGTATTTTTGAGCTATAATTACATTATTTACTTTATTAAATCTATTACATATTATATACAAAATTAAATCTATTGTACTTGGAAAAATTTATCTATGTATCCTTCACCACTAAGTATGTGTTAATTCAACACTAAAAATTGCAATCAACAATTTCATTTGGTGCTGGGGGGTTCGAATCCGGGTTACTGGCATACAGCGAGCGCTTAGCCTCAGATTACCATGGCTCTTTTCAACTTGCTTGTCAGTGAAGGAAAACATCACAGAGTTTTACTCACGATGTTTTCCGTGCACAACCATTCAATTATCGTCAAATTATTTAAAAATACCGCCAACACACATTGGCGCAAGAGAGTTGACATGTCCTTGCTGTAAAACCCTCTTAAAAATGAGGGAGACCCCTGTGCCCGGCTGTCGGACTTGTTTAGGCTGTAACTTTACTATGCATGCATATTAATCGCAATAAATATACGATTTATAAAACTTGCAATCCATCATTGTGTGTAGGGTAGGTAAATTATTTAGGAAACATTAGCTGAAGTATTTTTGCAAAGGCCCCTGTAAATCCTAGCCATGGATGACTTACATCATAATAATAAAAGCATGTTTCCAGATAATGGGTCACATGGACGTGCTAGGCATCATAGCAGAGGGCTTCAACATTTACTTCCCGATGCTGGTGGTACTTCTGTGCCTGGCCACCTACCTGTCGCTTGGCAGCCGACTGCTCTCCCTCTGCGGCTTCCAGCAGTTCGTCGGCGACGATGAGCTCACCACCGACCTCGTGGACGAGGGTCGGGAGATTGTTAAACGAGGTTGGTACCAGTCCTCGGTACTAATTGTTTGATGTAAAAATTAAAACTATTACAAGACCACTATTCACTAACCTAGCACTATCCATTACAGCTTATAAGTCCATTGTTGAACCTAGGCCGCTCCCATAGATTGTCTCATATATATGATTCAACCATAGTTGCCAACTTGGCAGGCGGGCTGAGAACTGCAGTTTTTATCATTTTCAGTCATCAGGAAGATGTTGCTGCCCATCTTCTGCTTTAGTTTGTCTCTATCGTCTCTTACGATACCCACGGAACGATGTGGGAGAATGGATATCCTTACGCTTCGCATACACCAAGTCGTCGGCCGAAGTTTGCTCGGGCGACAACGGCCGAACTCGGACGATCGAATCAAAGGGTGCGTTTGGCAGAAAAAAGCGCTAGCAAGCGCTTGTAAACAAAATGGCGAAACTAAACAGTTTTCGGCCAGGACACGTTTGCTAACTTCGGTAGCGCTGACACAATCCGCCATTTTGCTTATTTAATTTGTTTGTTTTGAAGTAGAGTTTATAAGTTGTTTTGTGCAATATTAGTTTTAAATAATATAATGACATGAATAAACATTAAAAAATTCATGATTGGTAAGTTTTTAATATGAATACTTTACAAACATATATTTAAATTAGGTTAGGTTCCCCGGTTAAAACTAACTTCGTGTCCTAGAGGAAAATAGCTACTTACGATTTGAGCGCTTACCGCTTACGATCGCCATTTTGCTTACAAGCGCTTTTTTCTGCCAAACGCACCAAACACTTGTAAAACAAAGAGAGCGCGTACACATATACGACCGTCATCGTCCGATAACGCACGAAAACGGCCGACCAACCGTCGAGTCCGAACTTGTTGGGATTTCTCGCTCGACTGCCGGCGTCTACAGTGCAAATTGAGTGTATTTATAGTTTAATTTAATCATTTTGTCTTTATTCTGTTATTTCTGTCAGTGTTGTTATCTACCTAAGCGACTATGGATATTGAAAATAGAAAAATAGAAAAGAATACCGCCAACGTCCAATGTCGGCACAAGTTGCAGTGTAAGCACATATACGTCCCGAGTTACTCGTCCGGGTAGTTCTGTCCGCCATCGGCCGATAAAATCGATTTTGGTGTACACGTACCGTTTCTCTATCCTTACATGGTTACTAGCTTCATTGACATCAAAATGATAATCACAAAGCACTCACTCCACAGTTTCTGAAGTGGATCCTGCGGCCTATACGCATCTATATCTATCCTCGAACAAAAACCAAAACGTAGATGCGTTCTCATCTCTGAGGGTTAAGATGGAATGCCTCGTTTCCAGTAAAAAGGGTGGTCTCCAGATCTCTACACTCACCATAAGTATTCACGCTGGTATTCTATGCGAGCGTGGTCCTTCCCAGGTCGAGTCGACTCGTTCATGCTACAACCATAATACACTGCTCGCTCATAATGCCTTTCTATGTATCTTTTGTGTTCTGTGAGCTAGAACTAATTCTAGCTACAATGAATTCACCAGAGAAACGCAAACGGCAACGCGCCGAGGAATCGATGACGCGCCGCCGCGACTACAGCGAAAGGTTCAGCAACTACCGTAGCGCGAGGGACAACCAAGATGGAGGTAATTCCATTCTACATCGTTTCCGTTTAAAGAATCTTATTTCTCATACATATCTTCTTCTATAGATACACATAAAAGAGGATGTTTGTATATATGAAATCGTTTAACTCAAAATCTATTTGATCGATCACCATGAAAATTGTTATATGGAGAAGGATATGGATGCATAATGGAGAAGGTTTATATTTATAAACTAAAAAAAAATTAGAAACTTTAAAATTATAAATTTATTTAAAATTAAAATTATTAAATGAAATTGCATGCGCTGAAATAAAAAACGTTGTTAAATACAAACTATGATATTAACTGGCAGGACAAAATATCTGCCGGGTTCAACTTGTATATTATATAGTTCACTTATAATAAGATGCATTAAGGTGGCTCAAGTCGCGGGCTCGAACTCATTGGTGGGCGCGGCCAAAAAGCACGTTGTCTCACCTGGCATCGTGCCCGACAGAGATAGTACCAGTGAAGAGCAGTTAGAACGCACGTCTTGTTCGTACGGCGTTCCGAACCGTTAGAACAAAAACGAAGTTACACGAACACGATGCACACATACATACCACCCTATTCTGTGCCGCTCGACGCTTGGTGTTATATAAATCAATGACGCTTGCTAAGAAATCAGCAGTACCTACCTACAAACTCGTACTAAATTATTAGGCACTGCGCTACGTTATCGCTTTATACTATACCTCTATGGCTCTATAGATGCCTAATATAGATTGCTTATTTTATTATGTTTTGTTTTCCCCGGGTGGTCATGCAGCGATCACTCAAGAGTTCACGACGCCGAAGCATGAACTGGAACAGTCATCGCAATTTATATCCGTACTAGCTGTTGCCAGCGGCTTCAAACGCGTGAACTCGAAAATTATCCCACAGGAACGAAATACCTGAATAAACGGTATAAAAAAATGTGTTATTCCAGACCAGGTATAACCTATCTCTGAGCTAAATATCATCGAGATCGCTTCAGCTGTTCTGGCGTGATTGAGTAACATACATCTATCCATCCAAACTTTCGCATTTATAATTTTTAGATAATAATTGTAATTAGTTCTGCCTACCTATAAATTGTTTTCAAAAATACTTACCTGTCATCTTACTTTTTTTATATACAAACAATATCACTAGATGTAAACACATGTTTTTATCAAGACAAGTGACCCGTCAAGACTGTTTCCTTAGTACCGACGTACTTAGGCAGGTAGTAGTAGGTAGGCAAAAACGATTACTACTGAAAAACTAAATAGGTACCTACCTAACATTCAACTAAAAATATTCTCAAAAAGCTCAACCAATTCAGAATTTAATTTTGTTACAAGAAATTTGGTCAAATAAAAAATAAAGGATGAAAATAAAGCATATGGGAATATAAAACTAAATCGTATTTATTTGTTATTTCGAGTTTTACAAGAAAAGCATATTATTTACTGGAGAGAATTATTTTATTATTATAATAGTGCATGATATTCCCTTTAAAATGACACCAATATGAATAATATCTTATATCTATATCTACAAATAAATAAAATTAAGGTGTCTGTTTGTAATGTCAAATAACAGCTTTTTATTAAATGCATATGAAAGTACTAGTAACAAAAACACATTTTTTTAAAATTTCAAACACCACAATCTCTAATTTTTTACTCTGCTATCTTCAGCGCTGTACACGAACGGAACGATGTCGTTGAGAGCCGTGGTAGCTCACATGGTTAGCGCTCGTTATAGGTATCACAGTACGGGAGCAACCCGGGTTCGATCCCCACTGGCACCAATAAAATTGTTGCGTGCTGATTTAGCTATCAGTTGGAAAGTCTGTTTTTCTGGGCCGTTTTGTTTTGTTACACTGACATCTCGCAAGTCACCTAGGGACCTAGGAGGTTCTCGGTTGCTTATTTTTTATTTTTCTTTAAAATTTTCGTCGGTAAAATAACATATTTATAAAAGTAAAAAAAAGTAAAGTTACAGCCTATATACGTCCCACTGCTGGGCACAGGCCTCCTCTAATTTCTGAGAGGGTTTTAAGGCAAGGAAATGTCCGCCACGCTGCCTCAATGCGTGTTGACGAACTTCACATTTCTTCGAAATATATATTTTTTAATTTCTCAGACATGCAGACCCGAGTTCGATCCCCGCCGGTATCAATGAAATTTTTAATTGCAATTGTGCTGATTTACCACGTGCTCGGCGGTGAAGGAAAACATATTGAGGAAACCTGCACGTCTGAGAATATAATTATAATCGAATGTAAATCAAATTGACATAGGTAAGTACAGATAAAATTAGCGGAACATTAATAAAATTTTGAGATCGTTTTTTTTTTTCAAAATTTTATTTATATATTCCTCTATTTTTGTCTGTGCTTATATCAATTTGATTTAATCCAAAGTTCAAGCAGGGGTCAATGTAGCGTAATAATAGAGCGCAGGTATAGCTATAATCATACGAACGTCACAGGCCGCAGCTGACAATGACGTCGAATAAAACTAGAATAAGCGCGCGTCACCGCGCATGCATGTGTGTGTAAGTGTCGTCCTCCCGCACCGCACCGAGGGAAAAATTATTCAGTGAGATGCACGATAATTCATATAAACACGCGCGCGTAAAAAAATACGAAAAGGCCTTAAGAAGGAGGGGTTTTATAAAAAACCCACTGCATGAATCAATTACCAATAAAATTTATTGAATTCTTCGATAATTGAGCTGTGTCGGTACCGACTTTGTTTTGGAAATTTTACACTGCTTTTATTACTAATTTACGCCCAAAGTTGTGTTAAAATTGGCAATAAAAACGAATCTTTGGTAGCTCGTAACTTTTTACTGACTTTTTATTTTACTATTCTGTTTCGGTACAGACAAAATTAATAATGAGACAAAACGATATCATGTTTAACTTTGGATGTACACTGTCAAACAGCGGAGTAAAACCCCTCCGAAATTTCTATGGAAATAATGTCGACTAGAGTCACCTTAAGGTATTACATCTACCTCTATACTGTTGGAAGCTATACAGTCATTCATTATTTACTATGCATATTTTGCACACTATTATTGTTATATTACTGGACGTTCGTCCATGTGAACTAAACCTAATCCTCTTCTAAATAGGGTTGTAGGCAGTCAAATTAATTGAAAATGCTTTTCATGCGTTACCGAAAAAAATAATTGTTTTAAATTGCGTGGGAATACCAGCAAACGATGTTATAATTTCTTAAAATTATCGATTTTTGTAATAATTTTATCTTTTATCATTTAATACATATGCTTAACATAATAGTACATAATATTTATTACAATAAAGAACCAGAACTTAATAGTGTGGAATCGTGCCAAGAAATCTAGCTGAGTTTCCTCGACAAATGGCTATTAATTTAACTTCAAACAAAAAGCCGACCAAGTTTTGTGACGCTACTAAAATAACATATTTAAATGATATGTTATAATCACCATATCACGACCCATGGATGTCGTAAAAGAAGATCCTTTGTGTTCCACTAGACGGCGGTATAACCATCTCGTATGTGTCATATTTCCGTTTTATTTCATATATTATATCCCATATCTTCCCGTGGGTGTCATAAAAGGCGACAGAGAGAAACTAAGACAGAAGATGGCAGCATCTTTCTGATAACAGCAAAAATCTATAAAAAACTGCGGTTGCCAACCAGCCAAGTCGCCAAGCGTAGCAACTATGGCAATATACCCCCCCCCCCCCCCATGAGAAACGACACAAAAAAACGGCCCTCAGTCCCAGGCGGCCACGGTAACAGCGGGACAGGGGGTGCTAAGAATCTCCGGTGGAGGTTCGGCTGCCACCTACGACGACTCGACCTGGCAACATATAACGCCCGCACCCTGAGGACTGACGGGAAGATCCTGGAGCTGGAAGAAAAGATAGACAAGTTGCGCTGGGGTATTATAGGATTATCTGAGGTCCGAAGAGAGGGGGAGGACACGGTAATCCTCGAATGCGGCAACTTTGTTCTATCACCGGGAGGACGACCATCTGTCCCAAGGAGGTGTCGGTTTTATCGTCCACAAGTCTCTCGTTAACAACATTGTAAAGATTGACAGTGTATCGATGAGGGTTTCGTCAGTTCGTTACTCAGAATAACCAAACGGTATTCGCTGAAGGTCATACAGGTTCACCAACTTTGGCACATCCCGATGAGGAGGTATGAAAAAAATGAGATTGACTTCATTATGACGACCAGACGACAACTGTTCAGTGATGTCTCAGTGATCGCAAGGATGAAAACTGGCAGCGATCACCAAATGGTGAGAGGCACACTGAACCTGAACGTAAAGTTGGAGAGGTCACGTCTAATGAAGTCAACGCTCCGTCCTCCTCGTGTTCTAATCCAAAGCCCCAAAAACTTTCAGCTCGAGTTACAAAATCGTTTTCAGTGCCTAGAGAAACTGCAATGCAGTGAACGATATAAATGACAAGCTCGTGGAAACTGTCCATGCGGTCGGAGCTAAGTTTTGTAAGACCCGTCGCAAGAGAACAAAAAACCCTTCGATCACATTCTTAATCTCATGGCGATGAAGCTGCAGTCGTCAGCAGACAGCATACAGGCAACTGAACAGACAGATCTCCAAATGCATCCGGCGAGACTTACGCAACTTTAATACTGCTCGTATTAAAGAAGCGAGTAAGCGGAACCAGGGCTCCAAAGTCTTTGCCAGAGATCTGTCTGTCAGAAAGAGCCAACTTTCGAAGCTGAATACCGAATGTTGCAGCATCGTTTCCGGGACACCTGAGATTCTGAGTTAGATTGAGAGGTTCTATGGGCAGATGTACACGTCGAGCCACACGCAAGTGTGAGTAACGATGCAAGAGCAAGTCTTATCTGACACTATTACGATGATATCCCGGACGTCAGTCTAAGCTAGATTAGAATGGCTCTCCAGCACCTTAAAAACGGCAGGGCCCCAAGCGAGGATGGAATAACAGCGGAGCTTCTGAAAGCGGGTGGAAAACCGATACTTAGTACTTCAGAAGCTCTTCAATTCTGTCCTTCATGGTGGCACGGTTACGGAGGCGTGGAGCAAAAGTGCGGTGGTCTTATTCTTCAAAAAAGGCGACAACGCTCTCTTGAAGAACTACAGACCGATATCCCTTCTGAGCCGCGTCTACGTACTGTTTTCTAGTCATTACGAATCGTCTCGCACGCAGACTCGACGACTTCCAGCCTCCCGAACAAGCCGGTTTCCGAAAAGGCTTCATTACTATAGACCACATATGTATCTTGCGGCAGATTGTACAGAAGTCCGAAGAGTACAATCTGCCACTTTGTCTTGCGTGTGTGAACTATGAGAAAGCCTTTGATGCCGTCGAAATTTGAGCGGTGCTGCAGTCCCTTCAGAGGTGCCAAGTTGAAGTTGGCTACTATAGCTATCCGAGTACAGAACCAGAGTACGAAACCTATCGAACTGCAGAGAGGTGTAAGACAGGGTGACATAATATTCCCGAAACTCTTCACTGCTGCATTTGGAAGACGTTTTCAAGCTATTGGACTGGAGAGGATACGGTATTAACGTCAATGGTGAGTACATCACTCACCTTCGATTTGCCGACAATATAGTCCTTATGGCAGAATCGCTGAAGGACATAAGCACTATGCTCAATGACCTCAATAGTGTCTCCCAACGGATAGTTCTTAAGATGAACATGGACAAAACGAAAGTCATGTGTAATGTCCATGTCACATCTATGCCGGTAGTTGTTGACGAATATGTTTACCTGGGACAAGTAGTCCTAGGTAAGTCCAACTTCGACCGAGAGGTCAATCGACGGATTCAACTCAGCTGGGCAGCGTTCGGGAAATTGCGACACATCTTCTTGTCAGGCATACCTCAAAATCTCAAAACTCGTGTTGCCAGTGATGACCTATGGATCTACGACGTGATCCTTCATTGCTGGCCGTATGAGGAAGCTCTTTTTTACTTATTGTAAGCCAGTGTGCGACCCCACTGGTATAATAAAAGTCCACAATTCTTGCCTTGAAGTCACAAGCATTCTGATCTGATAGCAATTCCACCAGCAAAATATACTAAAATAAATGTTATATTACTCTGTTAATAAATATCAACATCTATCACATTAGCCCATCATTATGAACAAAAGAAATAAAAAAATGTATACTTCTGTCAATTCCCCATGTTTTACTTCCTTCTTTAATTTTCACAGTCCTCCATTTTATTTTCACCACCGTACTATCAGTTATTGTGCATGTACGTCACGTTTCAGCCCACACCGGGCTCCTCAATGACGTGGATTCAGACTACTATGTGACTCAGAGTCCAGAAAGAACACACAATGTAAGCAGTTACCAGCGCGCAGAAGTCCCGTACCAGGATGATTTAGACAAACGTTTCGGAGAAAGCACTCTACCATCAATCAAAACAGAGTTTGAAGACCGACGGAGGGACAAAATGACGATGCCTCCCAGAGGACTCTTTGATGATGTTTAGTGAATTTGTATGCGAGATGTGCAATTTTTTTATTTATAATAGACATTATATTTATTAGTAAATTATTAGACTATAATATGGCAATGTTTGTATGTATAAAATAAATATGTTATTGTATTACGTTGTGTTTTCATAACTGAGAGTTAGGAAAACATATTTAATAGTACATTCGAAAATGTTTGCGTTAGACTTTTTAGAAGACATTTAAATGACATACAATTTGTAAACATTCATAATATACGTAATAATATTTGTCATAATAAATTTTCTTTTGTTGTTAGGAACACATTGGCGTCCAACCATATTTTTAAAAATTCCACCCAAAATATCTCTGTCATGGTAATCTTATCACCCAATTCCAGACTTGATTATCTCCGCCATTGATTTGTCAATATAATACATAATGTCATTTAGCATAATGCGTTTCGTCAACCTGGTTTGTTATACAAAAATATTTAACTTTTTATAACAACACATACTATTATTTGGGAAAACAGACAATTACACAATGTGTCTTACATTATACATTAACTCCTAAATTAATAGGTAATTGCGTAACCAACACAGTTACAGTTATACCTAAACATATATTTAAATTAAGAGTCAGATACAAATATAGAATTACTTGTAGAGAAAACGGCTGTTGTCGGCTGAAATCTTAGACATACATCGGCTTCCAGGTAAGAAACTGTAGGAAGAGGAACTGGTTGTGATGTATGAACGTAATTATAAAAAGAGCTTAATAGAATTCGACTTATAAAAGTAATTCATACAATTTATCTAAAAACGCACGAACATGTGCTTTTAACAAGTGTATCAATGTTATTATCTTCTTTTCTTACTCTTTTGTAATCCACTACTGGATATAGGTTTTTTCAAGAGTGCATCAACTAACATAATTTATTGTTTTATAGAATTTAAGTAACCAACGAATATACAGTCTAACTAATGGTAAGTTGCTTCTACTGCCTCTGAACACGTACAACGGACTTTTAACCTCGGACTTAAAAAAGAAAGAGAGCCGGAGTGCTGCATAAATTTCAATTGACTCAAAAACCAAATCAAAACCATGCTCCACCTCGGGACAGTTTTTTTCCGTCCATAAGAGGACTGATTTTAGATACACAATGTGTACGTGAGTGCGTGTTCTCTTACAATAAGTTAGCATGATTTTGGCTTGGTTTTTCATTAATTAAAATTTACACAGTGCTCCGGATTTCTTTTTTTGTTGCTCTGAGAACTATGATTGAATGCCTTACAAATTTGTAATTATACTGTCTCTCTATTCTCTTCAGACGGAAACACAGTAGTGCTTATGCCTCGTTTCTTCCCAAACAGTCTCATATCTATCGGGTTAACGAATTTGTCCGAGTTGTGAAGGGGATTCGTAATTTTGTTCGAAGTTACTTATGATTAAAATTTTATTCCATTCGGCGTATTCTTTGGCAAATCTATTTATTGTTACAATTGTCACCAACCATCCTCAAGTTGTTGACGCCACCTTTGATGCCCATTAACGCCGCAGCGGCAAAAAAGGGACAAAATTTTGTCTTGATTCAGTTGTATCAAAAGGGCTATCTTTTGCCCCGCCAAATTCTTGCAATGTTAACGCGCCCCATACGTGTCATTGCGATTTGACTGAAAGGTTACGTATTTAGTTGAATGTCGACGTTTAAATAACAGCACATGCGTCTAATTTACCTGATTGTAACATTGGGCTACGAGAGACATATTGGACAATTTATTCTTCTCCGTAAAATCAAATTTATTTAAATGCATTACTACATAATTTATTCTGAATATATCTGAAAATCATTTAATAGGTTGCTTAAAAAGAACAAAAGTGATGCTCTACTTTTCAAACGGATTAAAGCCGCGCTGACACGATCAGAATATGCTCGGACCGAATGGACTCGTATGAGTAGGAGTAGCTTCATACGAATGTACTAAGATAGTTGTTGATATTAACATAGTGTCATACGGATAATTTTCTTCACTTTTGCAATTATTATTCAGTCAATATCAAAAAATTTCGGATTTTGTGCAAAATAGTACCGGAAGACTTGTTAACAGAAGACCTAAAACGGGAAAAACATAAGGCATCTCTTTGAAGATTTCATACAAGACACTTGGTTGTTGTTATTAGCCGCCATTTTTTTTTCACACGATAACTCGGAGCAGTAACACGCGATCCGAGTCTACACAGATCGGACACTGTTGTCCGAGTACGCTCCGATTATGGTTTTCCTTAATAAGAGTTACGTCCAAGTAGGTATCCGAGTCCACTTGGTCCGAGCAGACTCTGATCGTGTCAACGTGGCTAAAGATTCTAAGGGTCGCTTTAGATTTATATAACTGTGCAAAATAAAAAATAAAATATTATTTTTTGACCCAAACATTATATTATGCCATGTACTGCTTGCCGTAATACAATTTAAAATAAATAATAATTTAGTAATTGTACGCAGAGGCAATAAGAAAGTAATTTTTTTCATGTACAAATTTTAATATTAGTTGACCTTGTCAATTTGTGTAAATTAGTTAAGGATTATATATTGCGAAAATAAATTTATATTTAGCTCGGGCTCGATTATTCTTGTCAAATTATGTTATACGGAGCTTTTTGTTGCATGGTTTAAACAGTATATAATAATTAAATTGGCTTTATTAATATTTATTTTGTATGAATATATTATATTATTGTTTGTTAACGTTTTGTTCCATTCCATAGGTTTATATGATGCAAGAGCATTAAATTTTTATGTGATACATTGTGTTTAATTTATTAGTTATGCCTAAAGATATATTTTGATGTTTTACTTGTATAAGAGCATGAAGAGTAAAATTTTCGCATTCAACGGAAATCGTGAGCATAAAGTAACGACCTAAATACTCTTTGGTAATGAAATTTCGACAGTATCAAGTTCGCCATTTTGCCATCAAAGAAAATTGTCTTCACTTATAAATTTGTGACGCATGTTAAATAATATTTTGGAAAAATTATCGATTTTATAGTTTGTAACAATATTTATTGATGCTGCAGTCAGGATTGTCTTCGCATAAGAGATTTTTTTTTAATTTGGTGTAAGCTTTGAGATTGGATAGGAAAACGTAGATCATGTTTATGGTAGTACTGTATGTGATAGAGGCATGCTGCAACTATATTATGGTTGTAGGATGGGTTGGCTCAACCGGGGAGGACCACTCACACAATACCAGCATGAAATAGCAGCTTAATGCTAATTATGTAAGTATATTATCAGCTAATGATAAACTATCTGAAATAGCGAGAGGATACTGGTGGCTTAAAGATTATTTATCACAGAGTAACTCCTACTAAATATTAGCATAAAATTGAGGATATCATCGGAGAGCATTATGGCTTGAAGGTATCTTGTTTAAATTAAGTCCAATGGCAAATTGTAAACTAGTTTTCTCTGAAGTTAAGATATAAGACAGCAATTTAACCTTTTAGGCGCCAAAGTCGCCTATACTTGACCAGCACTAGCGGGCCCTGAGCGCCAACGACGTCTACAGTTGACAAAAAACCCGGCCCACAAAAATATGAGATAGATATTGGAAAATCATTACTGGTATTTTAATTCTATACTCCTCAAAAAAGAATAACCCAGCAACATATGAGTATAAAAAACAAGTCTCCTAGAGCCACAAGTACTAAGAAACATTGAACTAAAAAAAATGGATTTTTATCTAAGCAAATACTATGTCCAGCACGCCAAAGTCGTCTATGGTTAACCCCTAGTGTCGCACGCGGGAGGCATGGATTCTTTAAAACGATCCAAAATTCAGCTCAAACGTGTTATTTTTTCTATTATTATTGATATTTGAATAAAACAAGGTTAGAAATATAAAACTATAAATATCTCAACTCTGGCGCATTCTTAGCGCGTCATCGAAAATCAAGTAACTGGGCGCCGTGGTCAGGGATAGACGACACCCTGATGACGTCATAAATGATTAGCGGGAAAAGTAGTGCAGTGCAACATGAACGATTCCTCAGAACTCTTTCGCATTTGGAAAAGCGTCGATGATGATGATTTTTTTTTATTTTAATAATATCAAAGTACAAATAATAAATGTGTTTTTTTACTTAAGGTATGAAGAGCAATTTTTCATTTTGTGTTGTGCGATTTTCTTTCTCAATCCCAAAATCATCTGGCAGTATCAGCATCATATGAAACCCCCATTGTCCTAAGAGCGTAAAACTTTTCTTCTGTGCTTCACTTGACCTACGCCTCCCCCGACACATAAAATACTTTGGATCGATCTCTGTATATTTTGGTTAGATAATAGATAAATCGATACAAACGTGTGACACGGCTACATCTCTAAGAAAGTTTCAAAAAGGAAGGTCAGTCGTGACAGTGACGTCATCACGATGGGGAGTAGTTCTGTGGTTTACTACTATTTTATTGTTATTTTTTGTTTTTAGTACATATATAAAAAGAGTGGAATACAGAACAAGATTAAATAAAACATACCAGATTATAAAGTCATTTATTGCATAAAAAACCAACAAAAACAAGTTATTTTGTGTTATCGATATATCAACTCTTGGCAACACTATTTTTTCGTAGGTATTTTTGTTTACTTTTCGCTATGGCGTACAGGACACGGCAATGCGTTTTTTGCGTGGCGCCCATAAGGTTCATGTTGCCGTTTCATATGTTGAGTGCAGAGAATCTGAGACCCTTTTTACTAGAAGCGAGACATTCCATTTCAGTCCTCAGGGGTGACAACGCACCTGCAATTATCGAGGATGGGTGTAGATGTCTATGGACCACGGCATTGCCATCGGGTCAACTGTGTGCTCGTTTGTCATCATGTTTCCATAATAAAAATTGAATGCAATTTTTATGTCACTGTTTATATTCCCAATTTCCACTTGTATCATTCCTACCGAAAATTTCCAGTAGCGAATAGGTGTGTGTAACTCTTTACGGAACCGACTCACTGATCCTAATCACTGAAGTGATTCAAAAGATTGGTTCAGCAACGTTTCAAATGCGTCATTTGGATCTGGAACATTACTTTGCTCTGTGCTCATTTATTATAGCGCGACGCGTCTCTCTCGCGAGGCGACTGAGCCGCGAGCGTAAGAGTGGCGAGTGAGCGGGTGAAATAATTACAATCTATACAAGTCGGAAAGAGGTAACAAATGAGAAGTGTATCACTCAACTATAATTACGTACGGATTATCGTATAATTATTCATGCACGTAAAAATGACCACTAAGCCGCTTTCATATAAAACACTATACGGTCGTTTTGTGCATATTATAATGTTTGCATTAACAAGTTGTCATTATATGTTGATCCGGCACTTGTCACATTGTTTATGTTCGTTCGCGCCTGCTTACGAAAACATACTGAGTTCTGTTTAAGATTTCTTTGCGTAATTATTATTGTGACTTACTTTCTTCCCTTTTATCGTAAATAATACGCCAGCTGGCCATAAATTAAGGACCAGCCGCCAATCCTAAGCCTAAGTATGAAGGAGAATCGTTTTAATGCAATCTTATTACGGTAGGTACACAATAAATAACAATAAAAATAACTATATAATATATAATAAAAATACTCTAAGCACTTATATCATTCCGCATTGTTTCCACATAACATTTCACTGAATCAGTCAGTAATAAACGCCCGCGACGCACCTTAATGTATTCGTAACATTTTTTGTTATCTTTTGAGTCGATGATGCAAATGGGCCAAATGAAACATATCAGTGTGTCGGAACATTTTAGTGATCGAGATGCAAATATTCCAATCGCAAAAATGATACACTTGTATCATTCCTACCGAAAATCCAGTAGCGAACTGTTTGAGGGCTGATGAGGAAAACTACAATGCTTATCTCTTCAACATTTTAAAACCCTTTTACTAGAAGGATACATGCAAATAATTTAAGAGCATACTTGGTTCAAGATTAGATGAAAAATAACAGGTTTCAAAATAAAATACACAGATAGTTAATTGATTATTTATTACTTTGCACCTCATTATAAATAACGAGCCCCCATACTTTACTTAAGGTACCCTTTAATACTTTCTACTTTGGTTCTTAATTCGTGTGATGAATCTTTCGCCAAGGCTGGGGCGTATGTCTGGAAGACGTTCTTTAGCGTGTTTAATTCTTCTGTCTTATTCAATTCTGGAAATAATACAGTAAAATTATAGCTTAGTAATATACTTTAAAAAACTAGTTAAGAATCGTGCTTCATCCTACTCCTTCAAAGTAAAAAAAAAACGCTCTATATGTCTAAAAAATCAAAACTATTACAAAAGTATGTACCTTTCAACTGCTTAATTAATATCTCCATAACATTAAGCGCGTCTCTCCTGTGCCTTACTTGGTTGCTATTTTCTGAAAAATCAAAATAAATTTCAATACAATGTAAGAAAATTTTACTAGTACTAGACGTCTTCCACAGCGTCTTAATTATTACAATAGCTAATGTAGATATTGAATATATAAATAAAATCTGTTATTGGGTTTTACAGTCATTAAATCATCAGTAGCAACCTGGAGTCAGGAAGTTGGTGGATTTTCATCCCAGTGCTTTTTAAAGCTCGTAAAGCCGTTGGCGCCGCGTCTGATATCTCTCGGGTCGTGTGATTGATTTACGTATGTGGGTGATTTACGTCTCATCGTATTAAGAGACTGAGGGAACAGAATGCATTTGGACTTAACGTGCTAGCTTACTTGGGATTTTCTACTGCGTAACCTAGCATTCTGTAATCCAGCATTTAACAACGATAAACAGTTTTTGCGGTGCCTAGTCAAAATCTATAATAGATAAACAATAGTGCAAACGCCCAATTCCTAAGCCATTAATAAGTTATATTAATATATTAAACCCTATCTTTTAATAGCTATTGGAAGTTGTCAAATGCATTAAATTTAGAGCATATATATAATAATATATATATGACTGCCTCGTTGGTCTAGTGGTTGTAGTAGTGCGACTGCTCATCATGAGGTCCTGGGTTCGAATCCCGGGTCGGGCCAAAAAATCAATTATTGAGTTTTTCCATCAAGAAATTCTCAGTAGTTGCCCGGAGTCAGGAAGTTGGCGGTGTCTCACCCCCGTGCGTAAAGCCATTGGTTGGTCCTGCGCCTGCTCTCTCTCTGTCGTTACCCCCTCATTATAGAGTGAGGGAATAAGAGTGCACCTGTGCTTGCGCATACACTTGGGCACTATAGTCCCGTCCTGCGCCGACGGCTAGTCGTCTATTATGTATATATATATATATATATATATAATTATATACGATGACGATAAAAATTTCTAACCATGATCATGAGTCACTTGCATGTCCTCTATCGAGTGGCCGCCACTTGAAAACCTATCTTTCCCATCGGTTGATGGTTTTTAGAGCTATTTGGTCGGCCTGTTGCCACTGCAGCTTACTGATACTTTGGGCTTTATTATAGTGGCTCTACTGCGATCATTTTCATCACTCAGAGAAACTTCAAACATAGCTCACTGAATGACCTGAATGTTCCTCTAAAAAGTATACAATAAAAATACTTACTGAGCGTATATTCGACGACAGTCACAACGTGCGGTATAACCGTAGCAAGAGCATTGTCTCTGTTCGTCGTGGACACGTTATCGGTTTCCATCGGCTCGCCGTCGTTGCGCAGTACGGCGAGTCTCTCCAACACCCGCGCAATCGACGTCAATATCGCGAGCTGCGTCGATCGAGTGGACGACGCGTATGATTTCGCACAATGCTCGAAAAACACCTCTTGGTATTTATCTGTAAGAGAATGAGAAACATATGCCTAAGAGAAAATGAGATAATTCATTTATTTTTTCTTGGATAACACAGAGACACACATAAACAATAATACCAATGTTTTCTTAATGGAAATCAAAATAAACAAGAAACAGAAATCGATATGTGGTAGTGACATTTGCACCACAACTAGTGACATGAGTGAGAGTGAAGAAATAAATAAAAATATATCCTCGGCTAAAAGTTCTAAGTTGCTAACTCCATTTTAGGCTAAATTGACTTTTTGGTATCAAACAAAAGAGAAAAAAATAGCGCATAATCGTCAAATATGCTTAATACGCAAACTAAACCCAGGTTATAGATTTCGCGCGTCAATCTTTTATGCTAACTCCACGCCTGTCAAATCACGCGGGAAATCATGTTAACTCCCGCCATTCGACGCCATCTTCTAGCAGTGTGAGCAGTACTATCAGTGTTTCCGAGAGTTTAATTCTAAAAAATAAGGTTTTTTTGAAGATTTACACATGACTGTATTTTTTTTGTAAAATGTAAGTATTATTCTATAATTTATTTATAGTTCTGATACACATATCTAAGCAAAATTGATACGAAAGTACAAATGAAATGTAAACTTGTATGATAAGGGAGTTAGCATAATTCATTTCTTACTATTTCATATATTGTTTAGGAGTTGGATATTTTTATTTTTTACATAAGAGTTTTGTAACTTTGTTTTAGTATTTTAACGCTTTATTTTAAAATTAGTTTTTGGTTTTGTAATGATGTTCGACGGCACAATAGTAACGATAAAGATATTTAAACAATAGGTTTTGGGTTCAATTTTCGCATGGATCAATTATTTATGTGCTATGCTTGATGTGGTGGCTTATTTTGCTTTTGTTTTATCCACAGATGGCTTCAGATAGGGCTAGGAAGCTTATCAGTTTAGCTCTTAATACAGAACAACATGGCGATTCTCTTACTACGCGTCAAGAAATATTGCTTAATAAGGGAAATACCATTATTAACAATAATTTTGATCCTGATCAGAATAGTAGATACACGAATACATTAAACAATGTTATCAATATGTTGGACAATCCTACTGAATCTAGTTTAAATGTACCGTTGGAAGATTACATTGAACATTACTCGCTAGTAGAAAATGCACAGATTGAAATAGTTGATGTTCCTGATTTTTTTACTACATTTGACGTACCTAGTGAAAATGCAAACATAATTAGCAATACACATTCTTTAAAAATTTGTGATACTGTTAGGGTTTACGATCCATCGATGCGAGAAAATTTTAATGATACTTATATAGAAAACTGCGATTTAATATCCAATTTTAGTGATAATTTTGGCGATCCTAAATTAGTTCCATACTCATCAAGTTCAGAAAACGATAGCGATACTTCCTTGCCTGAGAAGAGTAAATTCAGAAAAAGACGAACTCAAGTAAATAAAAATACCTGGTTTGCAGAAAAAAATAAAAAATTGCGCGAAAAAGGCTCTCAATATTATGGCAAAATTAAAAAAAAAATTCTAAATGGGTCTATGAAAGTTTAAGAGAACCAAAGCGTTTAAAAGACAGATGCAAATGTAGCAGAAAAACGGGCATAATCAAGTGTGGCATTATAAAAGATGAAGAAAGAATGAAACTATTCAACCAATTTTGGAAAATATATACATGGGGAGAGAAGAAAATATTTGTTAATGATACTGTTCAATCAGCTCCAACAAAACGTCATAGGGATCGAAAACTGTCTGATAGTTCTCGACGAGCTCAGTCATTCAAGTATAATTTAAAAACAGCTGATGGTAGTTATGTAAGAGTTTGCAAAACTATGTATTTAAATACTTTGGGCGTTGGAAGAATGACTGTTATTGCTTGGAAAGATAGAATTAAAGATAATACTTGCATTCCTAGTCAACTTAGAGTTAACAGAGATAGAGTTAACCTTTTTGTAAACAGGCAAAAATCAATGACCGATTTTTTCGACTCTCTACCAACAATGGAATCTCATTACTGTCGGGCTTCATCTTCCAAAAAATATCTGCAAACTGATTGGAAAACAAAAATGGATTTATATAAGTTTTACGTATCTGACTGGTGCAAATCGCACCTCATACAACCGCTATCTAAAACTACTTTCTGTGAGTTTATGTCATCGAGAAATCTTTGTCTGTTTAGACCCAAAAAGGACGAATGTGAAATATGTGCAAGATATAAGGCTGGGACAATGGAAGAACATGATTATCAATTACATGTATTGAAAAAATAAGAAGCTAGGAAAGAAAAACAAACAGATAAAGCGAATAATAGTCTTGTATTCACAGTAGATCTTCATGCAGTTTTAATGGCACCTAAGTCAAATGTCAGCACATTGTACTACAAAACAAAGCTTCAAGTGCATAATCTGTGCTTTTATAATAATATCAGCAAAGATGGCTATTGTTTTGTATGGAATGAAACGGAAGGGGGGGCTTAATGCAGATGAGTTTGCTTCTATTTGGACATATTTTATTGAGAAAAAGATTCTACCTAAAGTGGAAAACAAAACAGATATACGTATTATTATTTATTCGGATGGCTGTGGTTATCAAAATCGCAATGTGACTATGTCAAATGCGCTATTAAATATGGCAGTTAAAAACAAAATAACCATCGAGCAGAAATATTTAGAAGTCGGCCATACACAAATGGAAGTGGATGCTATGCATTCTTTAATAGAACGGAGAATGCGTAATAGAATCGTAAATGTTCCTGCGGACTATGTTCAAATTATTGAGTCTGCGCGCAATAATCCATTTGATGTCAAGTATTTGGAACATACTTTTTTCAAAGATTTCCGTAATATTTCGAGCTACAAAAGCATTCGCCCTGGACGATCATCGGGAGACCCTAAAGTCACCGATATTCGCGCACTCATGTATTCTTCATCAGGAGAAATTTCATATAAGTTGCGGTTTGAAGAGCCATGGATGCTGCTGCCCCAAAGAAAAAGCCCTTTTTCAGCAAAAAGTTTTGAGGAAATGCAAAATTTGCACCAAACTAGACTGAAAATTAAAGCTCGAAAATATGATGACCTTCAACAAATTAAAGAAGTCCTGCCAGCAGATTTCAGAGAATTTTACAACAATTTACCGCATGATTAAAAATCCATATTGTTTGTGTTAATAATGTTCAATTTATTTTTGTGAGTTTGTTTCGGTATTAAAAACTATATTACATATTTTTTACTCGGTTTTTAATAAGAATACTTTATGATATTTTATATTTACGTGAACACTACACATTTATTAAAACTACTTTTACGGATTTTATAGCGTTTAATTTACTTAATTTTAAAAATCAAGTAAATTAAACGCGATAAAATCCGTAAAAGTAGTTTTAATCAAATAATCAAATCTGATAACTCCCAAACTAATCGCCATAAAAAAATATTTACAATTGTAAAATATGCTAACTCCAATTTAAGGCCGCAAAGTGTAATTAAATTGAAATAAATTCAAAAATGTTGATATAATAATAAGAAACAAATAAAATTTTACCAAACTAGATTTTGTTTATTGCACTTATTTGAGTATTTTATTTATAAATCAGTTTTTTATTTTTCCTCGAAAGCAGTATGGTTGGGAGTTAGCAATTTAGCATATTTAGTCGACGATATTTATTTGTGGGTAAGCACAATTATGTAAGTAGTGTACAAAACCACGAATACAAGTGTGCATAGAGTAATGAATAAAATAGAATAATATAAAAAAAAAAAACAAAATTACAAATTATAACTTAGAAAACAGCTACAGAATTAAACTTATTATAGAAGTTACAACCTATATACGTCCCAATGCTGGGCACAGGCCTCCTCTCATTTCTGAGAGGATTTTAGCGCAAGGAAATGTCCCACGCCGCGCTGCCCCAACGCGTGTTGGCGAACTTCACATGTTTTCGAACTATTACTTTGTTCTTATTTCTCAGACATATACAGGTTTCCTCACGATATTTTCCTTCACCGCCGAGCACGTCGTAAATCAACACTTGAAATTGAAATTAATATTTTCACAGGGATCGAACCCAGGTTGTTTGCGTAAAATTGCTCTCCAGAGTTACCATGATGCTTATTAACTTATTATAATAAAATTAAATAATTATTCTTTAAGCGTAACCACGAAATACGGACCATTTCGTTAGTATGCACTGATATTCAGCCTGGCCTATAATTCGCTCAGCCAGCTCGGACACAATATAATGCTTGTAAATATTTAAAAGTAATTGTTATAACTTAAAAAAAAAGTAAAAATCAACTATAGTAGAGTAGTAGAACCGACAAAATGTTGAACCGTTTGGCAAACTACAATCTAAGAAATATAAGATTTTTTGTTAAAAATGTAAACAAACAAAAAAAATGTCATAGTCAGTTTGTTTATATTACAACTATCGCTGCAATTAGTGTTCTGTAAAATCTGGAGCGTTATAAATCATACTAGCAAGCAACGTAGTGCAAATTTTCAATTTCGACGTGCTTGCAAATGTAACACGGTGCGACCAGGGTGATCACAGGCTTAGTAGAACTGAGCATGTGATAATACTTCTATGTACTATTTACTTAGATTTCTGTAGTTAAATTGCTGTCGAGATCTGTTACATATATCAAACTATATTAAAAAACGTACAGTTTACTATTGGGTTCAAAATACAAATACAAATATGCAAGATTATTGATTATTGGATTTTCTAGTTTACTCAGACTAACTGATCAAAACTGAAGGAACAATAATTTTAATTACAATAATTAGAAAAGCTTATTGTTACAGTGAAAAAGAATTACTACCTTGCGTTTGAGGTTCTTTGGGCCACGCCTTTCCGAGCAACTCGTAAGCGGCTTCCTTTAATGCTGTCAACTGTTCCTTTCTGTGGCGGGCTCCTTCGTTATCTTCTTCGTCGGAGTCTTTACTTACGGAGAACTCATCCTGTTGAAACGATTGATCGCAAGGTTAGTCAAGAAAATTAATCGCTTAAAACGCTTATCGTCATATTATGACTTTCATTATCATCATTGCAGCCTATTCTACTTCACCCAGTCCCCAATATGAACATGAACAAAAGTGGACTCCAAAAAAGTTCACCCATCCGCCACTGAATAACTCCGTGCATGTTTCATCAGTTTACCATAACATCTAGTAGTTCACATTTAGTGGTCAGGACATAGTACCACAGTTTAGACTCAGAAGAGAAACGAATGTACCATTGCAGAACAACGGTGGAGGCACTGCTGGGCAGGGGCTGGCCGACCTTGTGTTTTCGCACTTCACCGAGTCGGACAGACAATACATGCGGTTGACGCGAGCGTGTTTTATAGTACTTATTTAATTAATTTTAAATGCAGTTTTCAAAAAATATATGAATTTATGTTATAGTAATACGAGTCTATGTCTAGGTAAAATTTAATTCAAATGAGTCATGCTTATGTACCCAAATTTTTTTTGATAAATGCGAATGCGAATATCATACACATATATATATGTATATATATATATATATATATATATATGTATATATATAATCATCCTTTCTCATCTCATCTTTCTCATCTTTCTTTTTTTGAGTACGTATGTGTGCAGCAGTGTGCGTGTGTTTGTGCAGTAGTCTGCTTGTGTATGTTTGTGTGTGTACGTGTGTGTGTATGTGTGTGTGTGTGTTTTTGTGTGTGCGTACGAGTGTGTGCCGATGATGCGTGTGGGTGTATGTGTCTGTTCGCGTGTGTGTTTGCGTGCATGTATCCACTGTTGTGTGTGTGTGTGTGTGTGTGTGTGTGTGGGTGTGTGTGTGTGTGTGTGTTTTTCGTGCGTGTATGTGTGTGTTCGTACGTGCGCACACGTGTGTGTGACTGTATGTGCGGGTTTAAGTGTGTGTGTGCGAGCGCGCGCGCTTATGTGTGTGTGTGTGCGTGCGCGCGCGTGTATTTTTGTGTGCGCGTGCGTGTGTTTGTATGCGTGTGTGTGTTGTATGAGTCAGTGTGTGTGTGTGTGTGTGTAGGTGTGCGTGTGTGTGTGTGTGCTTGTGTTTAGGTGAGTGCGCGCAAGCACGCGTGTGTGTATGCGCGTGCGTGTTCGTGCGTGCGGGTGTTTGTGCGTGCGTGTGTATTCGCATGTATGTGAGCGGAATTTATTGTTGAGGCGGAGGGAGCAGAGTTTATGTTGGAGGCAGAGGTAGCGGGGGTGGAGAACGAAGGCTTGAGGGTTGCGGTGGTAGATGTGGAGGCGTAGGTGGCAGAGTTGGTGGTGGGTGCACGTGAGTGCAGTAAAGTAGGTACCGGTACCGCGTACCGTACCGTAGGTACCGGTATAGGTACCGCGTGAGGGCAAGTGAGGCTCACACAAAGGACAGTTGGTTACAGTGAAAAACAATGTGGCTGGTAAGTGGATATCGATACTGCCCATAAAGATGTTATCCATTTTTCCGAATACCAGCTTGGCTACCTATTGGTACTAGAGACAAAGTGAAAAGAACTTTTGTTTTGTGACGGTTTCATCATAATTAACAAAACAAACCCAAACTCGGCATACCTAGTTCAACTAGTTCAGGTGTAACAGTATTAGTTACCGAAGTACACCTTCAGGTCACTTCAGCAAGTCCGAAGGTAAGGACTCATCATAACTAACAAAACGAGACCAAACTCGGCAGACCCAGTTCTACTAGTCCAAGAGTTCCAGTAGTAATCCCGAATTACATTTTGAGGTCACTCCATCAAGACCGGAGGTAAGGTCTCATATATATATATATCATGTAATATTCATTCTATACCTATCAATTTTATAACGCGTCCTTAAAAATCTTGATTATGAAGATGTAGACAACATGTTAACTGGTTTATGGTAAAAACACACACACACATACACAAACACGCAAGCGCGCGCAAACATGCACACACTTACACACGCACACTGCCGCACACACACAAACACAACAGTGCACACACGCACACATGCATACACGCACACATGCGCACACGCACATGCATACACACACACGTACACATACGCACACGCATACACACACACACGTACACATACGCACACGCATACACACACACGTACACATACGCACACATGCACACGCACGCACACAAACACACACACATACACACACATACACATACACACACACACACACATGCGCGCGCAAACACAAGCAGACAACCGCACAAACACACACACACACACTGCCGCACACACACGTACTCAAAAGTGCACACACGCACACATACACTCACAGACACGCGCACGCACATGCGTTCACATGAACACACCTGAACGCACATACACCTACACGCACGCGTACACACAAACTCACACACCGACGTGCGCAAGCACACGCTCACACCCACGCGCGAACACACACACACACACACACACACACACACACACACACTAACGCGCGCGCGCGCGCTCACACACATACACACACGAACACTTATGTCGCCGTTGCCGCCACTTCCGCTACAGGATGGGGCGTTGTCGAGTTATTCGTTAAAAAAAAGTCGTTTATTTCGACCACAAGGATCATAGATGTTAGTAATAATACAAATCTTAAAACTAATTTTAGTAAAACTTAAAACTATTTACTTAATTTTAAAACTATATCTAAGACAGGCCCGATTAGTCAGCACGTGCACCATATGACAATGGTTCAGGTACTGACCTCAAACCTGTCAGAAAATGCCCTCAGATTACCATTGGAACTGGCCCGCACCCTGCGCACCAGGGATGTGCATCGTTTATGCATGGTGGTGTAGAAACAATCCACACGCGCATCCGCGAACATACCCGGCGCATTACAAAAACGAGGCAGACCCAACAGGACCCAGAATGCATTATTGTATCGAATACGCATTAAATCTGTAGCTTGTACCGCCAAAGATACGAAACGGCAACGTCGCGGCTGCTTTCAGCCAATACGATCGTTTATCTTATCCTTTGCTGTGCTCTGATTGGCTCATTTAAATCAGATCAACATTTTCCGTAACCATCGCAAGGTGGATTTGTATATCGGATCAACTTCGGCAAACGCTAGCAAACAGTCTCGTGAGTGCAAATGTTAATCGGGTCGGAGCCACATTAGTTACCATGCATATTGGATCAACAAAAGGCGCCGGATCAACATGCGTTTTCGGATCAACAAAGTGCTCGCGTGAAGTCGCGTCTGATCAACATTTACCGTAAAGAGATCTATATATATATATATATATATATATATATATATATATATATATATATACACGTACTACATAATTAAACTTAACAATCGAAAACTGAAAACATCTATAAAAAGACAATGTCACGAAAATATTTGAAAGTGCAACAAATGTTCGATAAATGTTTTTAACTTACAAGTATATACATAATGTTATTAAACGATAATAAGTATTATAATATCCAAAATCATTTTATTTGCATTTTTGTGACATTCCCTAGCATACACATTGCCGCATAAATACCTACACGGGCGGCGGCATTGCCTGACAGCAAAGGCGTTTCACAATTATAACGTCTAAACTGTTATAGTAGATAGTAATGGTACATAGCCTACTCATTACAGTTTTAGCTTACTGATCCGATAGGCCTGCATATATGAGTAATATATTATGTCAGTTGCCCCGATTCTTCCCGAGTCTACTGCTGAACATAGGCCTCCCTCATAAATTGCTTCATAGGGGAAATTTTGCCATGGTTGCCATATTTGGCAAGCGGGTTGGCAACCGCAGTTTTTATAATTTTGAATTATTTTCGGGAAGCTGCTGCATCTCCTGTTTTAGTTTCCCTTTGTCGCCTCTTATGACACCGACAAGACTATATGGGGTAGCAGATATTCTTACATGGTCAAAAGTACCCTCACCTTAGATAAGATAACTTTGACGATATCGTAGACCTGGTTGAAGCAATCGCAGTTAATTTCGGCGAGCGCTCGACCCAGCGCGTTGATGGCGTGCTTCTTGTACACCATCTCTTGTTTGCGACTCTCCACTAGAAGAGCGTTCACGCACTCGTTTGCTAAAGAAACATTTATTGGCGTTTCACCATCTTTCACTCTGGAATAAAGTTTAATATTTTAAGAATAAGATAGTTCCTTTCTCCTTTTCCATCATATCAGGCCTTTGACAGATCAATGGTAAACATGTGTCTCTCCCAACGGGAGAATTAGTCATAAATGAATTTTTTGCACTTGAAAGTAAAAAATCACAAACTGATCAACCCAACAACGCAAGCAATCATCATCATTATTTCAGCTCATCACAAGTCCACTGCTGAACAAAGGCGTTTTCCAAAAAATGCCACGAAGCACGGTCCTGAGTCACCTGCATCCTCATCTCTGATAGACTTCCTGCATCTCTTACCATTTAAGCAATGTGTAGGATGTAGACCCAACTATTATTTCATGCTCCGGCATCGTATAGTATACAGCGTGGATGGCATTACGCGGTATCGTGACGAGATTGGTTGCTTTCCGCTACTTACCTAGGACAACGACTTCTAGTAGTTACGTAGCGATTGCTATGGGCAGAATCCAAGTCTAAAAATCGGTCAATCAATATCTGGGAACTGGCTAAAGAAGGTAGACTGGAAGTTCTTTGCATAATTCATTATTCATTACTTAGTAAACTTACGTGCACAACTCGGCTAGGGCGTCAAGCATATGTTCTTTTCCATCAAACGTCTTTCCGTGCATCGCGGCCAACAAAGCGCGTATGAATGGCTCACGTTGATCGCCCAAGCCGCTGGACAACTCCTTACATATCGTCTTAATAGCATTCGCAGCCTTAAATCAAAACAAATAAAATTGTTTATTTATTTTTGTTCTATTGTTATCACCTAAAATCAAGTACGGATTTTTTTAATAGTATAAGGGTAGCAAATGAGCTCACAGTCCACCTAATGGTAAGTGGTTGATGTGGCCCATAGACATCTACATCTATCCTCGATAACGAATCAAAATGCAGCGTTGTCACCTGTGAGGACTAAGATGGAATGCCTCGTTTCCAGTAAAAAGGGTCTCCGGTTCTCTACACTCACCAAACGAAACACAGCAGCATTAAGCTACTATTTCACGCTGGTATTCTGTGAGAGCGTGGTACTTCCCCGGTCGAGCCGACCCATTCGTGCTACAACTATACCAATAATATAACGGCAGCACGGCTCTACCACGTAAATGTAAAGAACATAATGCCTTTTGGCATTCTATGATAGTGTGATTCATTATATGATGGTTGGCGCAAAAAGGTATAAATAAACATTAATATGTTATATTTATATATACAATACAACTATGTTGTGCTTTATTGTGTACGTATGTTAGATCTTACTATTTTACGTATTTAATAAATGACAAATTAATTATCCTTTGAACATTGTTTTTAGGCATTTTTAATTAACAATGTACAAAGCGTTTTTGTACCTTCAGTAAGTGTATGAAAACTTGTCACTTAAATTTTTTGTGATCATTTGTAGGCATCATTCTCTTTAGAATAGCATCTATTGCAAAAGATGATAGAAAACGCACATGAGTGTCCTTCGTTTCTGCGAACACTTACTTTCGTACAATATTGTAACGTGCGGGGCGACTAAAAATGCGGATTAGAATAAGAATTGGATGTATTTTCTACACACATCTTCATCATCATCATCATCATCAATATTACAGTCCTTCACAAGTCCACTGCTAAACAAAGGCGTTTTCCAAAAAATGCCACGAAGCACGGTCCTGAGCAACCTGCTTCCATTGGCTTCCTTCATGTCTATGTCGTCACTCCATCTAGTGGCCTTCCGATACGAGAACCTTTCTTCCCCATCAGTCATCATTGTCTATATGGCCGGCCCATTGCCACTTCAGTTTACTAAACCGTTGGACTATGTCAGTTACTCTGGTTCTTCTGCGGATACCCTTATTTTCAAGTCTATCACGAAGAGAAACTCCAAGCATAGCCCTTTCCATAGCTAGCTGACCGATCTTGGGCTTCCTCATATGGCTAGTAGTGAATGACCACGTCTCAGATCCATAAGTCATTACTAGCAACACGGAGGCGGGGAGCAGAAGTGTGGTGGTATTGTTCTTCAAGAAAGGCGACAACGCTCTTTTGAAGAGCTACAGACCGATTTCCGTTCTGTGCCGTGTCTACGTGATGTTTTTAAGAGTCACTACGAATCGTCTCGCACGCAGACTCGACGACTTCCAGCCTCCCGAACAAGCCGGTTTCCGAAAAGGCTTTACCACCATAGACCACATGCATACCCTTCGGCAAATTGTACAGAAGACCGAAGAGTACAATCTGCCACTTTGTCTTACGTATGTGGACTATGAGAAAGGCTTTGATTTCGCCGAAATTTGGGCGGTGCTGCAGTCCCTCCAGCGGTGCCAACTTGACTGTCGGTATATCGAAGTGCTGAAGTGTTTGTACAGTAGGGCTACGATGGCTATCCGAGTACAGAACCAGAGCTCGAAACCTATCCAACTGCAGAGAGGTGTAAGACAGGGTGACGTAATATCCCCGAAACTCTTCACCGTTGCGTTTGGAAGACGTTTTCAAGCTACTGGACTGTCAATCAATGGCGAGTACATCACTCACCTTCGATTTGCCGACGATATAGTCCTTATGGCAGAATCGCTGGAGGACCTAAGCACTATGCTCAATGACCTCAATAGTGTCTCCCAACGGATAGGTCTTAAGATGAACATGGACAAAACGAAAGTCATGTGTAATGTCCATGTCACATCTATGCCGGTGGTTGTTGGGAGCACTGAGCTCGAAGTTGTTGGCGATTATGTTTACGTGGAACAAATAAAGTAATAGTTACTGGTAATGAGTTAATCAATAGTAATCTTCAGGGGTGTTGAGTGATTTTTGGGGTCCACGGCATTTACTTACAATCAGGTAAAATGTGTACTTGTTTGTCACCGTTAATAAAATTAAAGCGTAGTTTTTAGTTAGACCCATGATAGCTCAGGAGTTAAAAGCTCACTGTAAATTCCAAGATACTCGAACAACTCTGTTTCGATGCCAGCCGGCACCAATGAAATTTTTAATTACAATTTTACTGGTGATTTACTAAGTGCTTGGCATAGAACACAAACGTCGTGAAGAAACTGTCCGAGAAATTAATAATATAAATATTTCAAATGTCCACCAACACACATTGAGGCATCGCGGCTGCCAGAATTGAGAGGAGACCTGTATCTAGGAGTTGGATGTATGTAGGCTGTAACTTGTTAGGATTGTTTATTCTGAAATATTATGCAGTTAATCTGTAGTGCTGTGTTGACGGGAGTTTTGGCGGGAACTTGGCCGTAGACGGCTTGTCGCTCCTGTTTTGTCGCTTGAATAATGGTTTGAAGTGGATTTTGATTCGTAAAAGTGATGCCATTTTGTGAATTAAGTGTCCGCGCGTGTGAACTATTAAAGAAAACGACGAAAGAAGTGCTTTGATGTCGATATAAACCTCAAGTTATTTTGATCGCTTGGGCGCCTCATGAACTTGAGCGGCTGTTGTCATCAACTGTCCGTTGGGTTGAGCTGTCGTCAAAATCCCCGAAGACCTTCGCAATGTGACGCTTCAGCATATTGTGAAGAAAAATAATATAAAAATGAAGATTCCGAAAGAAATATAGGCTCAGAAATGCTAGAACCCAGAGCCGTAAAGCCAGTTAATAAAAAAAATGTGTTGACATGTGTTGTCCTCGTATTATTTAATTTCGCAGGTATCACGGTTTTCTCATGATGTTTTTTTTTGTTTCCACCGCCGAGCAATAGTAAATTAGCATTTAATATTGCCGTTTACATCGTTGGTGACGCGGCTCGTCAACTTGTAACCGGCACGGTATATCACGACTGGTGGTACGAAGAGCTGACCTGTATGTTCTTTTTTTTTTTAATTTAACCCCTCAATTGTAATAAAAATCAAATGCAGTCGCATGTGCCCGCAATCTTATACTTTTCTATGAAGAAGTTTGACGTTATAAAATCTATACAAAATTCTCTATATAAAAGTCAGGTTTTACTTCATTGAAAATAGACTATTGTATTTTGATAACCAAAACAAAACATACCAAGCGAATGTCGGCAGCGTGAAAATTACAATTATTTCAATATATATTACTCGAAATTATTTACGTAAAAAGATAAATTATATTCACACAAAAAATTTCATTACAATTTTATGATAAAACACTACTAAAACACTAGAGAAATCCAAAAATCAACACAATAACATTCACGCGAAAATGGCGAAATGAACGTAGATTATAAATAAATATCCATAGGATAACTTGACTTTTTAATGCACTAGAGGATAGAAAATTTCATATTGATTCTATAATGTCAAACTTCTTCATAGAAAAGTCGTCTCTAAATATATTTATTTATTTTATTCTTTATTGCATCCTTAACAAAAGAATACAAAGGGCGGAACTTAATGCCTTGAGGCATTCTCTACCAGTCAACAGTGTGGTGAGAATTTGACGTAGGTGTTGCAATACAGAATAAGATAACACAATACAAATGATAATTAATTACATAATATATACAAACTACTAATAAATAAACTATACATATATGATCTATCCTTACATATATACAAATATATAAATAAATGGATATACATACAAGTAAACATATTTAAATACATACATAATTAGTATATACAAATGATTATGAATATATACGTCTGTTTGGCAATACATATTAAATAGATGAGTTATGTAGAATGCGTCGTCTTTAATAAATGATCACGGACCAACTTTTTAAAAGCGTACTTATTGGGAGCTTTTCTGATGTCATCGGGCAAGGAGTTCCAAAGGCGTGTAGCCTGAACTGTGAAGGAGTTACCATAGAACTCGGTGAAGTGAACTGGAGTACAGATTTTGTTGTTAGAAGAAGAGCGTAGGACCCTATCATGAGATGAGGAAAAAATAAGTGGTTTAAAGTGCTGTAAGCGTGTGCGGTCGAATCCGACCGCTTGAATTTTGACGGAATAGCGCCGCGGTCAGATTCGAACGCTTGGGGGCTGCGAGACAGGTGTCCGTGTCTGTGCGCACCTGTATCTTCTTGGCCCAGCTGCTGGCGGCCAGCGCGCGCTCGGCGTGCGCACGCAGCGCGGGCAGGTGGCGCCGCACGCCGCTCTCCCGCGACGGACTCATCTCCGCCCACAACTCCTCGAACATCTCCACCGTCTGACTCTCTGATTCAACCAATAAAACATTACGTTACACCCTATTAGTAGACCACTGCTGAATATACCTCCCACATAAATCACTTTCTTTGGGAGTTATATGCCATAGCTGCCACGCCTTGCAGACGGGCTGGCAACCGAAATTTATTTTATTAGTCAACCAAATCTAAGAAATACATTTTGACAGCTGTCAGACTTATTGCACCAGGCATGCCAACCAAAAAATGGGAACATATAATATTCGATTCTTAAAAAAATCGATATCGATTATTTAGAGTTGGTAATCATTTACGGTTTGGTTTGAATAATACCAGAATAAATTAAAAAGGGGTAATTTAAAACACAATATTTATCAGTTTCTACGTATTTGTTATTACTGCTTATTTCTAGAGGCACAGTTATAAAAATTTAAGATTAAAACTAGATTAGAAAAATGCAATCACTTTGAGTACAATTAATTGAGCCGGCGTTGTTTAGATTAATTATTATTTTATTTTCAATAACAAAAGTCATGCAAAAAAATGTTTTTTCTACCACGTTTGCCCAATGATTCTTTGTGACATGGGTTCATGCTTCAACGAATACATATAGAAGAAACAGTCCAAAAAGTTAAAGCCGAGTCACAAAATAAGAAGAAAAACACAAAATCACAAAATTACGCACAGTAAGCTTGTGAAATGGCGGGATATTGAAATTACGTAGTGGTTTTTTCAGCGCGGCTCTGTATATGAGTTTTTTGCCTACACAAATTTACGTTGACAAATTAAAAAGAATAAACTTGTTTTATTCATGATTCATGTAATTTAAGGAATTTTAAAAGAAAATATTAAAACAAATAATACATTAAAAATAAATGATTCGATTATTTAAATATTAGTAACGATTATTTGAATATTTTCGCCGATTATTCGCATAACAATGAATTTTAATCATCCAAACACTACGGTAATGTACATAGCGACATATCATTGAAACGACGTCAAGTCAAAAAGTTGATACTGGTTATTTTTCAATATTTTGTTATGTTTGAAAGATTCAAATTTAAATTAGCAATAAAAAACTATACACGTTGTAATGAAATATAGATAACTTCATAATTCTTCGGATTTACGTAAAAGGTTATTTTAAATAATGTGAGTACGCTTGTACAAAGTTATTGCGGAATGATTAATGTGAAACTTCAAAAGGTATTTCTTAGATTTGGTTAACTATAGATGTTGCGAAGATGCTACTATTCATCTGGTTTATTTTCCTTTGTCGCCTCTTACGGCATCCTCGTGTTATATAATGATATAGGGTAGTGATTATTCTTGCACCGCCACTCAACGTCAAAATAAAACATATTCCGTCTTATACCTTAACCAGTGAATATTTTGCTTAAAAATTTTTATCTTAATCTCTTAATATTTATAATACATAAACTTTTTCGCTTTAATATATGGTATATATGTAAACTGGGTTTTGTTCATATCATTTATTTATAAATCTAAAAGTGGAAAATTGTAAATAGCTTAAGGTGGATGCGTCGACCGTCCGTCCATACATTTTTTAACCAAAATGTACACTAAACACAGACACTCTTTCTTTAAAACGAATCATTTTATCACTTCTCTACGATGAAATGTGTACGCCTCTGACCTTTATAGGCAATAACTTACATTATATACCGAGAAAAACAATGTGAAATCCCGAAAAAATTTGACACTTCTTTAGTAGTGTGCGTGACTTTTGACAAGCAAACAAAAGGCGACGTTTAAACATTGGCACGCTAGATAGCATCGAAGTGATCTTAAATAATTCTGATAAATCAATATCTTAAGTTCAATAATTGGTTAATTTCATATCCAACCGTTAAAAAAACAGTATAAAATAACATAAAACTTGAACTTGAAAATAATGACCTTAGACACCTATGTTTTTTTTGTAAACAATTTTATTACTTATTATCGTTGTGTGGCATACCAAAAGTCGTAGGTAAAGCGACGTTGCCGTCCTTCCTGACAACAAACTGCCGTAGACAGAGAAGTCTACGGTAGTAACGTATTCCTGACCTTGAATTGACGAAACAAAAGCGTTGCCAAACTTACGTACGTTCACTTGTTTGACTTGTATAAAATATATTCTGTTTTCGGTTGTCACGCGCTATGATTTGCGCGCGGAATTTCTTGTGTATTATACATATTTTGTATGTATGTTTTCATTGATTCGAATTGCAATATTTCTCTAGTATATATGTGAGACTGTATTGTAATTTATCGTAGTTATCTTGTATGTATATATATATACAACAATTGCTCGTAGGTATAGGATTTATATTTTTTTTTTACTAAAAGCTTTTGTTGAGTGCTTCGAAATTATGAAATATTATTTTCAAACTTCCTGGTTTGAAAATAATATTTCATAATGTCAACCTGGTTCACAAGTCCACTGCTGAACATAGGCCTAACCAAGGCCTACGTTCAGCAGTGGACAGCAGTTCAACAGTGTGAAGGGCTGTAATGATGATGATGATGAATGATGATTATTAAACTTCCTGGTCACAAATCACAAAATAAATCGTGTTATAGATTTGTTGTTATCTCTTGTTTGTGAATTATAGTTTCTTACGTGTTGGTTATGAAATGTCTAATTATTGTAATAATTGGTACTGTTACAAAACTGCGTTATATTGTAATCAATGTTGACATAATTTATTTCCCAAAGTTATAAATCAATAAATAGTTTACGCCAACAAATATAAATTTTATTTTTATAACAATCGTACATAGCGTTTTGTAGTTCTGCCTACCTATAATCTACACATACACAAAAATTAAAAACTTGTTTTTTTACATACACGCCATCTAGTGTTCTAGCTTTGTAAACGTAGGGATACGTCTGTGTGTGTAAGCGACCCTATATTCAATGACAGATGTTATAATCAAAATTAATGTCCAATAAAATGTAATATCCGATAACCGCTAAGTCTACTCCTACGACTTAATAATTTTCCAATTACACAAAACTCCAAATAAACTAAAAATGTTGACTTCAGCGCCATCTTGCCGGAGAATGGCTGGGAACAGTCCGTAGGTTTCACCTTAATAGTACATTATTATACTTTTCTTTTTATTTAAAAATAAACAATTGCTGTAAGTTTTCCGAATAAAATAAAATAAAATAAAAAAATATTACAAAACGTATCTTATTGATAGTATCGGGTTTTAACTATGAGTTAAGTGTAGAATTTCTAACTAAAAAAATCCCTTAGCCACTACGCCCACTTTACGTTTTAGTCCGTATATTTCCGCGAGACTTCTTTCACGAAACAAATTCTAGCTACAGTCCTCTTATTTACGCTATCTAGCCTTAAGTACTTATCAGGCGCTGTCCTATTGTCATCGCTCGTACGATCGTGCGTTGCGTCTGACGAAAATGATCGTGCGTTGCGACTGAAGAAATCGTGCATGCGGATTCATCGGACGATGAAATCGCATCACATCATCGTGCGAGCGATGACAATAGGACAGCGCCTATATCTTCTCTCAATCTTGTCATTCGTTTATAAGACTGGAAACATATTATAAGTCGCGACAGCTGTCACTCGCGTCTTATAATGTGTACATGTGTGTATGATATGAGCCACATTAGAGGCGACTCTCGAACACAATGTTGTCCATATAGTTCGAACTTAAAAGTCCCATACAAAACACGTATTATCACGGATCTTTAAACCAATTTACGATAAACAGACTAAATCTGATACAGACTTTTATTTAGCAGATGAAGAACACACACCTTCAAAAAGGGGTTTAAACCCCTTTATGAAGTTTTATTCCTTCACATAATATTAATATAATTACAAATTTATTTGTTATTATACCTTCATCCTTCGGAGCATGCATTGCTAGAAACACTACAGGCGCAAGTATTTCCTCATTGTCCTTTATGTGGTCAATTTTTGCTTTGGCAATGGATTTCAATGTTAAGGCAATGGCTGAACGCGATATGTCGTCCTCCTTCGTCTCGTACAGGTTTATAAGTTTCTTTATTAACTTCTCTATTGACTGACTCTGAAAAGCAAGATAATAAGTAAGTAGTCTGACCACAATTTTTATATTCAAATGTAATCATATATTAAGCCATTTTAAAATTAAGTCTTTGTACATATTACTTTTTTATTTTTTATTTAATGTATGTTTCTATCTTTAAGGTTCTGGTGTACCGTGCATTGTAGTATACAAAGGTTGGTCTACGCTAGACGAGCCGAGCACAAATTCGTGTAGTGTGGACCGACTTACAAGCCTCGAACGAGCACGCTTCGAGCGTTTGATTCATGCTCGACTGTATTCGGTTTTTTGACGAACACAAAGGGTTTTACATCGCATGCATCGATTTGCATGTTATAGGCTCGTTGTACGTGTACACAACACCGCGAGTAGAGCGGCTCAGCTTGTGCTCAGCTCCTCTAGCGTAGACCCCCCTCAAAGATTTTAATAACAAAAAATTAAGATAATACTCTTTCGAACAGTGTATTGGCCTGTAAGGGTGTCCACTACCCCATATCGTCCCGTGGGTATCATAACAGCGACAAGGCGAAACAAACCAGGAGATCAACAGCGTCTTCTTAGTACCATCAAGAAAATAAACAAACTGCGGTTACTACCTGGGACATCCCCAGATTATGAGATCCCCCTATGAAACAGGCTATCGGGGAGGCCTATGTTCAGAAGTGGTCTTTTGATAAGCTGTAGGCATGAGTCGGATATATCAAAACGAATCTAAAATCCGATTTCAAACACAAATCGATTCGTATAGATTGCTCAAACTAGAAAATCCGATTTCAAAAATCGACCGAACTAGCTAAACTCCTACGATCTGTACAACCAAACCAATCCAAATCGAAAATAAAATCGACAGTAGCCAAATCTAAACGCAAACAGTTGCGTAGAAATCCAAAACAGTTTTTTCAGTGTCTCTCTCGATGACGTGAAGTTTAAGATTCAGATTTCGGTTTGTCGGCTATGGAATATCGAAATCTATTACACATTGAGATATGGGATCAATATTATCCTTACTGCTTAGTACGTAAAGTCTATATTTATATTGGCTTTGCGAGATTATGCGTTGCTGAATTTTTGGTTCAGTGTGCGATCCATATCATTCTTATTGTTAAGTCGTTTAAGGCTATATTTGCAAGATTGTGTGATGATTTATTTTTGTTGTTAGTTAAGTGTTTGCTTACTTAAAATATTTCTTTGTTTTCATGTTTTTATGTTTTAGACTTAAGACGTAAATTTATTCCTGGTGACAACTGCTCGCATGCCGGTCAGTCGTAACAGTCTAATGTATTATATATTATTTACTGATATTTATTGCCTTAATACCTTTTTGTTTAGTAAATATATGAAAAAAGTTTATAAAAATATTTAAAAATCAGGAGTGAGTTTTGTGAGTGTACGTTTTAAGTGAGTTATATAACATTTAAATATTATTAATTTTGACTATTAAGTTTTTTTTTGTTTAGACTTTTTAATTGATTAGACGAGAACTGTATTGATTTTCAAGATGTCGCGTAAACCCAGTGAGGTATGGACTCATTTTGACAAAAAAAGAAAACGCTCTTGAAGTTGCAGTGTGTAAATATTGCAGTCAAAACATATCGTATAAATGAACAACGGGTAACTTAGGAGTTCATTTAAAACGATTTCACGCTTCAATTTATTTGGCGCAAAGGACATGTACCGATTTAGGAAATAATCAGCAAATTGAGACTCTTGAGTGTTTGGCGAGTACATCTAGAAATACGAGTGTCTCAATTCAACCGGCCGCGGTCGCAGACAAGGAGATAATTAAAATTTCAGAAGATCCTAAAATAGAGCAGATTCCCATTCGAAAACGGCAAAGAACTATGCAAAATTGTATAATTAAAAAAACGTCCCCAGAAGAGAGTAAAAGAGTTGATCGTGATTTGTTACAATTATTTATAACAGATTTTCAACCTTTCCGAATTGTTGATGATAAAGAATTTAAAAAATTTGTAAAAAATATCCCGGGATACACGTTGCCTAGTAGGAAAAATATATCTTCTGCTATGATCCCGGCATTGTACCAGACCACTTTAAGTGATGTAAAGACCAGAGTTTCTCTAAACGCTAGCAGTGTTTGTTTGACGGCTGATTGTTGGACATCGTCCCAGACTGAAAGCTATATCGCCGTAACAGTGCATTACATTGATAAAAACTTTGAACCACAACAGGTACTTTTAGAATGTAGAGGTCTTAACGAAACTCACACGAGTGCCAATTTTAAGGAGTTAAAGAGAGTGACGGACGAATGGAACCTAACAAAGTCAATTTCGCTATTTCTGACACTGCTCGAAATATTGTCAAAGCAATAGAGACAGAGCTAGGGTGGAAGCATTATGGCTGTTACGCCCATTCACTTAATTTGATCGTGTCGGGGGCTCTAAGACCATTAGAAAAGAGTTAAAAGAAAACGTAAAAAAAATAGTGGCACATTTTAAATGCAGTACAAATGCAACGGATATGCTTCTTGGTTACCAATTAAAAAACATGATTGAATGTGGAGAACCAAAAAGGTTAATCCAACAAGTACCTACAAGGTGGAACTCTACATATTTTATGTTTCGCCGTTTCATGTTATTAAAGGAAGCTGTTAAACACAGCATGGCTCTTATTGAAAGAGAATGGCCCATTATACGTTCAGAGGACCGGGACATAATGGAAAACGTATGCAAAGTACTCCAGCCATTTGAAGAGGTAACTTCTTCAGTAAGTGGAGATCAGTACCTCACAGGAAGTATGGTCATAGTCATGACCAACTGCTTAAAGGACATTCGTGAAGATTTTCTTAATAAAGAATATTTCGCTTCATTTAATCAAGTTGTGATTGACGTAATACGAAGTTTAAAATATGGATTGAATGATAGATTTCAGGGAATAGAGCAAAAACTTAATAATAGGCCTTATAAAAGGTATAAATAACAATGAAAATTCTGAAGCAAGTACTGGTGAGGTTCAAGAAAGGCCCCGCGAAAATCTTAGTGCTTGGAAGCACAAGGAAGTACTGTACATTGACAACGAGATGCTAGCAAGAAAAAATACTGACGGTAATTGGAATAGCCCCTCACAGTGGTGGCTTGATCATAAAATAATTTATCCGCATTTGTCGGAAATATATCACTCAAAATGCAATATTGTCGCGACATCCATTCCGTGCGAACGAATTTTTTCAAAGACAGAATTAATAATAAATGAAAAGAGGTGTCGTCAAAAGTCGTCAAAAGTGGAGCAAATTGCGTTTTTAAACGCAAATCTTAATCGAAGCAGATTCTGAAATAAAAAAATTAAAAAAAAAACGAAAAGAAACCAAAAAAATATAATAAGAAATCATTGTAAATATACCAATTATTAAATGCGCCGGAAAAGTTCTAATTTCATACAAAATTTTTCTGCTAGCCCTAAGCCTTGAATTAAAGAATGAAGGATAATCTCGCAAATCTGTTTCTGTATTAGTTAGATTTGCGTTTATCGTTTTGTTAACTTATAAAACGAAATCTAAGTACGCAAACGAATTGGCGTGGCTAAGCGATACTGAAATCGGATTTTTAAAAACGGATTTAGAAATCGATTTTGAAATCTGAAATCGGATAAAAATCGGTTTGCGTTCAAATCCAAAAACGCCCATGCCTAATAAGCTGTAATGATGATGATGATTCTCTTTCGATATAGGTGTTAGGTCTGAGAAATTTTTTTTCTTTAATTTTTATTACGTACGAAAAAATTCGATACCTTTAACAGTTTGTCAATAATATAGTCTTTAACCCTCACCTTAGCAAACGCTGAGACTTGCCCTAGTGCTTCCGCGTAATTTTTCCTAACCGTCGGGTTTCTATCGAAAGTTCCGTTCAGCAAATTAGACATTATCTTCCCGGCAAGAGGCTCCAAATCAGATCTTAAGTAGTGCGCCGCCAGCACAATGAAGTGCGCACAGGCTACCTTAGTGCCGAGTTGGGGAGATTTTATGAGCTCAAAGATCTTTGGAAGCATTTCCTTCATGGTTTCGATGTTGATGTGCGGCATACACTGCAAATAAAAATAATTTAGGTATGACAAACAATTATCCCATTAGAACAACTAAAAATTATGCTTGTTTAAGAAGAAATGATATACATAGAACAACAATAGCTCTATGTCTCCTATGTGTCTAAGGCCCGATTCTTTTATTCAAGAAATGTTTCGTTCACCGTAACAATTCATTTTATTACATACGAGATATCGTTTATATTACAAACTATTCATTTAGCAACTTAGGATGACTTCTATGTATTTTGTTTTAAAAAACAGCTCATAAAAGAAAACGAAGCATTTTTAAATACAGAATCCCGTTATTATATTCAATCTCTTAACATTCCTATCAATATCCAGGTCATATTACTACAAATATAAGATGTGAAATTCTTGAATTATCCGCACGCAATATCAATCGGTCAAATGACAATTATCTTCACATTGCGCACTAGATTCAAATCTATTGTGTAAAATATGCAATCGCAAGTTTTATAATATTATTTGATTATTTTAATACGTAATAATAAAAAACGTATGCGAGCACCGTACTAAGATAGAACATGTGCTCGTTACCTTGACGACTGTGTCGGTGGTGTAGTGGTGCCGGGCGGCGTTGGCGCGCATGTCGTCCAGCAGGTCCCGCGAGCCAGAGTCCGCCAGCGCCGTGCTGAGGCAGGACAGATAGAACGTGTGCTCGTTACCTTGACCACTGTGTCGATGGTGTAGTGGTGCCGGGCGGCGTTGGCGCACATGTCGTCCAGCAGGTCCCGCGAGCCGGAGTCCGTCAGCGCCGTGCTGAGGCAGGACAGATAGAACGTGTGCTCGTTACCTTGACGACTGTGTCGGTAGTGTAGTGGTGCCGGGCGGCGTTGGCGCGCATGTCGTCCAGCAGGTCCCGCGAGCCGGAGTCCGCCAGCGCCGTGCTGAGGCAGGACAGATAGAACGTGTGCTCGTTACCTTGACGACTGTGTCGGCGGTGTAGTGGTGCCGGGCGGCGTTGGCACGCATGTCGTTCAGCAGGTCCCGCGAGCCGGAGTCCACTAGCGCCGTGCTAAGACAGGTCAGATAGAACGTGTGCTCGTTACCTTGACGACTGTGTCGGTAGTGTAGTGGTGCCGGGCGGCGTTGGCGCGCATGTCGTCCAGCAGGTCCCGCGAGCCAGAGTCCGCCAGCGCCGTGCTGAGGCAGGACAGATAGAACGTGTGCTCGTTACCTTGACGACTGTGTCGGTAGTGTAGTGGTGCCGGGCGGCGTTGGCGCGCATGTCGTCCAGCAGGTCCCGCGAGCCAGAGTCCGCCAGCGCCGTGCTGAGGCAGGACAGATAGAACGTGTGCTCGTTACCTTGACGACTGTGTCGGTAGTGTAGTGGTGCCGGGCGGCGTTGGCGCGCATGTCGTCCAGCAGGTCCCGCGAGCCAGAGTCCGCCAGCGCCGTGCTGAGGCAGGACAGATAGAACGTGTGCTCGTTACCTTGACGACTGTGTCGGCGGTGTAGTGGTGCCGGGCGGCGTTGGCACGCATGTCGTCCAGCAGGTCCCGCGAGCCGGAGTCCGCCAGCGCCGTGCTGAGGCAGGACAGATAGAACGTGTGCTCGTTACCTTGACGACGGTGTCGGTGGTGTAGTGGTGCCGGGCGGCGTTGGCGCGCATGTCGTCCAGCAGGTCCCGCGAACCGGAGTCCGTCAGCGCCGTGCTGAGGAAGGACAGATAGAACGTGTGCTCGTTACCTTAACGACGGTGTCGGTGGTGTAGTGGTGCCGGGCGGCGTTGGCGCGCATGTCATCGAGCAGGTCCCGCGAGCTAGAGTCCGCCAGCGCCGTGCTCAGGTAGGACAGGCGCGCGGACTCCAGCTCGCCGGCCGCACCCAGCAGCGCAGGCACCAGCCGCGACAGGAACGGTGCGAGCCGCTCGCCCGCAGCACTCACTAGCCTCGACACCGTCTGCAGGCTAGACAAACGAGTAAATATCTATATTAGTGCTCGCCTGGTGGTCAAAGTTCAAACACAATTCATTAAATTTGTGTAATAAGTGAACTTACTTATTACATAAATTTGTGTATTTCACTATCAACTGCACATCTTTAACGAGGCCATGCTACAGCTATTTTATGGTTGTAGCACTAATGGATCGGCTCGACCAGGGTAGGACGGTACTCTCACAGAACACCAGCGTAAAATAGCAGCTCAATGTTGCTGTGTTTCGTATGGTAGGTGTAGAGAACCGGAGACCCTTTTCACTGGAATCGAGGCATTCCATCTTAGTAATCAGGGGTAAAAATGCATCTGCATTTTGATACTTAATCGATGATAGATGTAGATAATATCTATAAACTGACTTCAATGAAATTGTGTCTGTTTGCACTGTGTGCAGTTTGGTTCAACTTGGGAGATAGGATAGTTTTTATCCCGATAACACATTGATGTATCTTATATATTCAAATTCACACATATCGAGATGTTAGTTTTCAATGGAATAAGAATAAGAAGTTAAAAATAAGAAGTTCAAATAAATAAATTAATATGTACCGATGTTCAATTTTTTGAAAATACGAGTAAATAAGGCTTCTACTATTATTTGAAATTATCCCAAATTAAATGTTATTTATAGGCAATAACTACTCTTACGCCCACGCTTGTGTGTGTGATTCAATTCACGTTTACATTTCTCAAGCTTTGCCCTAATGTTTACTCTCTTAGTGACACGCTTACTACTAATGCCTACTACATGTTGCAAATTATGATTCCAGTTTTCCTTTTACACTTTTAACGCGCTTAGGATCGTCATAGTAAATAAAATTAAAAAATATATTTCTGCTTATCAATGACGTAACCGACGACTGTCCTTATTAGTCTATATAAAAATTGAAATAAACTATTTACAATTAAATCACGCAAGTAGTTTCTCTAATATTGGTATGTCCAAATGGATGACGGCGATAATATCGACAGGCGAGACGAGAAAAACCGAACTGGTTGCTTCTGCGCCGGGGGCGTCCGAAGATTGCCGAACGGTCTCGTGTCAACGGGCCACATTCTTTATGCATAGACGAGCACGTTTTGTTAAAATATTTTTTACACTTATGACCTGTGTTCTTGAGCACTTTTAACTTCCGTGAACGCAGTAATAATTTTACTGTAGCGTTCGTCATAACTTTGGACCAGTTTGACGTAAACACGACTTTTTATAGGCAAATAAAAGACTAACGGTGAAAGTTCCGCCGATTTTGCAGATTCACTATTTAAGTTATCGCTCACTGCACTTGGAATTTGATTCAATTGGAAGGTTAATTACGACACGTATGCTAATTTCTCACCGTGGTAAAGACTCACTTTAGTATCTTTGTATGTATCACATAATCTTGTATTGCAAAAATATAATATTCACATGTAATATCATTATATCACTATTTCAGTTTCATAGTCTCCGCGGATCGAATATTTTCGTTACGTCATTGGCAATGAAGCGTACGTAATGAGGTCACGGTCAACACTGTCAGTTGCCGGGCGGGCGAGCAGACATAGGTACTTACGATGTGTAGTAGACTAACAGTAGAAGGGCGCAGGAAGAGGTTTACATGCGCGCGTGCGTGCGTGCGTGCGTGCGTGCGTGCGTGCGTGTGTGTGTGTGTGTGTGTGTGTGTGTGTGTGTGTGTGTATGTGTGTGTGTGTGTGTATGAATACACAGTGAAAAAACAGTTGGCCATTCATATAAACACAAAAAATGTTTCATTTATCGATAATAACAGCCCCCCATAGATTGTCTCTAGGCGGGAATATTTGCTATGGTTGCTACGATTGGCAGGCAGATTGACAACCGTATATTTTATGTTTTTGAGCCCTTATCAGGAAGATGCTGCTGCCCATCTCCTGATTTAGTTCGTTATGTTACTTCATATGACACCTACAGGATTATATAGGGCATTGGGTGTTCATATGTTGTCACTACAAAACGCAATTAAATGTACTGACCTGACGCTTCTAACTTCTTTGACCAAGTTCGTAATACCCGTGTCGAGCAACACGGGCAGTATCGCTGACACAACTTCTTTGCCATCTTTACCCTGACCCGCATCCGCTGCATGAATACACAACTAAAACAACGTATTTAAAACTTTTTATTTACATAAGTGATACTTTTACGAGCTGGATGGTAATGACAATTTATGAGGAAATCCGACCAAATTTTGAAAATAGTAGATGTAACATAATCAAGTAAAGTGAAGTAGTCATTTATTTACGACAGTGTCAATTACACAGAAATCGTAATACTAAGACAATAGAAGTCGCATAGACGCGTGACCTTGTCGCCGCTATGATGTGTTGACGAACACCATTTACTATTTTGTGATTTAGTTGCGCGGGTAACGTTTTACGTACGAAATTTATGTTATTATAATGGTGAACTGCAGCATAGTCAGTTGTAAGAACTCATCAAGGACATGTTATCCAACTAATAAAGGCATAAAATTTCATCGGTAAATTGATTTTTTACTAATTATCAACTTACTGATGAAATGTTGTTTTAACTAATTTACATCTAGATGAATACTTTACTATGATATTAAAATTCTACACCATTGGTACAATTACCATTGCTGCTTTTGTTCTATCGTAATAACGCAACGCACGCGACGTTGACAAACTCGTCAAGCAATGTAATGTAAAACATTAGATATCATTGTGCATTGCGTATGTTTATAATAGGGCTGCAGAGATCGATCGCTTAATGCGTATGTGTAATGATGCCGCGACATTTGTTTTGGAAGTAATCGAGCGCTAATTTATTTCTATTGTCTTATTATTACTATTTCTGTGGTCAATTACCCACACAACTGCAAGACCACACAATATATGTATTAGAACAGTATCCACTTCATCTCACTGCGGGTTATTTTGTCATGGTATAATACTCGTAATTTTAGCAATAATTTTTCTAAATTTTATACTAAGATATTTCCACATTTTCTATGAGACTATACTATATATAACAGGTTCTAATTAACTCTTATTTACTTTACAAAAACAAAAAAAACACTATTCCGCACCAAAAAAAACACCCTACCTAACAATATATTCCAGTAGAGTATATTTTTGAAACTTGTTAACAAGGAGGATATCAGATGAACTACGTGCGCACAGCTACACATAATTTCCTGCAGTTGGATCTGACTGTGCGTCGTAATAGAAGTCAAATACCTAAACGAGAAAGGTGGATGTATTTTAATGTTACTATACAAATTTTACAACTACTACAGCATTTCCATTACTGCTTTTGATCAATGGAGTAATATTTTAAAAGTATCTGTATCTCATGAAGACACTACCATGACGCTATATTCTGAACTTTAATGTTTCTTAATGCTGACTTTATTTTTATTAAAGAAATAAACATCAGTTTCAAAATACTCAGTTTTAATTCATCAAAACAAATAATCTGTCCAAAAGAAGTACTTACTACTACTACTTTTTGAATAACGTTTATTAACTGCACACTAACTGTACGCGGCCAAAAATGAAATGCCGGGGTCCACATCACACGACAACCAACGACGTGCAGTTGAAATCACTACTACATGGAATCTAATGTCTTAACTACAAACATGTCTGATTTTAGCTTAAGCCACACTAAAATAAATAAATTAAAGGAAAATACTGAATTACATTTCTAAAAAAATAGTAAGAAAAGTTTACAGTACCTTAGAGAGAACATTTGCAGTAGTGGTGGCGGCTTGGCGCGTCCCTTCATGAACGTCGTCCATCACTCGGAACAATTGCGCCCATATTGTCGGCAACTGCTCTAATGAATCGTGGAGACTTTTTGCACCTCTAAAATTAAGCAATTATACAAATAAATAGAAAATATGCGATTTCTCTACATGTATGTTGTTAAGTCATTTATTGTAACGAGCCACAACTACGTTTTTTTAATACTATTACAAAGAGAGCCGATCGGTAGCGGCCCCATCCACAACCATCACCTTGCACAGTTAGTGTGATATTATTAAAAGCCAATTTAATCAAATGCTACGAAAATATTGTAGGATATGCAAGATAGCAATCCTACATCTACATCTCAGCTATTAACTAACTTAAAAATCCAAACCCATGAGCGCGAAGCCTAAGCGAGAAGGAGTGAGGTGGTTGCGGGGCTAGCTAAGATGACATTCTACGATCGCTCCGTACTATAGAAAACTATAATAATGTCCTCCAGACCGAATTTCGGTCACGTGGACCTGTCTCAACGGAGACTATACGTATGCACAAGCACAGGTGCACTCTTTATTCTCTCACTCTCATAATCCGATGGGACGGTAAACCGACACGACCGGAAAAGGATCAGGCACAGGACCAACGGTTTTCCGAGGCATGGGGGTGAGACACCGCCAACTTCCTCTGGACAGCTACAGAGAATTTCTTGACGAAAAAACTCAATAATTGATTTTTTGGCCCGAGCCGGGATTCGAACCCAGGACCTCATGATCAGCTGTCGCACTACTACAACCACTAGACCAACGAGGCAGTCAAAGAAAACTATAATAATGAATGAAATCAACGTTTAGTGACGTGACTGTCATGTGACTTAACATTCAGATATTATGTAATTCATATCCGTTTTTTAGTTGTTTTTACAGTGTTACCAATCGTAGAATGTCACCATAGCTAGCCCCGCTAGTACTATAATTATTAACAATCCATCTACAAATATTAATGATTATGGCAATCACAAGTAGTGAACAGGTTGTTACAAATTGTTCAATAACTTGAAAACAGTAACCGTATGCTGACGAGCTATCAAATTCCATCAGTGTTCAGAATGTATAAAAATATAGTTTACTATATATTTATATGAAGCCTTAATAGCTCAGGAGCTAAGCGGTCGCCGTAAACTTCACAGTACTCAGGAGCTAAGCGGTCGCCGTAAACTTCACAGTAAGCGAGTAACCCGGGTTTCCATACCTGCTGGCACCAAAAAAAATTGTAAAATGCAATTTTAGGTGCTGATTTGACTACTGACTGACTGACTACTGGCTCGATCGTGAGGAAAACAGCATGTGGGCATTAAAAAAAACTGGAAGACAATATGTCGTCCCGCATTGGGTTATCGCGGCGAACATTCTTTTGCCCTAAAGCCCTATCAAAAATGAGAGGAAGCACTGTGCTATCAGTGGGACGTATATTGGTTATAACTTTATTTTACCTAGTAGTTTTTACCTTAATAAATCGGCTAAAGCATTGCAACATGACATTCTCACACGCCACTGGTTGGAAGTTAAGTTCGCCACAAGGTCTTCTAATATTTCTTTGTGGTATTTTTGAACCTAGAAAGAACAAATTAATTACTTTCAAACTACTAAGTATACTTAGATAGTTAATTTTTTTTAAGATTTTAATAAACGGTGTATACTCTCACCTTATGTTTTGGGTTATTATTATGGAGCGATAGGCAGTTCTGTTTTTTTTTTTTTTATGTAAACCTTTTCAAAACACTACTTTGACGAAGCCGTTTTATGAACCAATTTTTTATTTTAAATGGTAATGCCAAAAACAAGGAACATGTTACAAAACTTTTAACATAATTGTTTTAAAATTTATCAGCTTATTTGTTGTAAAATTTTTGAATAACATGACTTTTATATGAAATATTAAATGTCTATAGTTTGTTAATACTTTTTTATGCTTTACAAAGGCGGCAAAATCTTATTCTAGGACAACGCTTATTCTAGGACAACATGATTAGTAAAAGTTTGAGAAGGTATGAAATATTAACTTTAACTTAGAAAGTCAAAATAATTAAAATTAATGTTTGAAATAACTTTATGTATTAAAAAAAGAAAAAGAAGAGAAAACACTCGAATTGAGAACCTCTTTTTTATGAAATCTGTTAATAAGTAGCTTTGTAACATTGAAATAATATGTATTACATACTAGAATAGACACCTCGAACAAAATCTGTGCCGCAATTCACGGCCACGTGGCAAAAGAGCCCCAGAGTACCTTTATATGGCACAGATTAAGTTTGAACTCGTGCGCTGTGACGTGTGTTGCAAACAATCAAATGTCGGCGTCTCTTCTAGCACGTAGCAGTTGGAACAAAGGTGGTGTACTAACGGTGTGTTGCGTGTTGGGCACGATGGCGTGCCAGATGGCGGCCATGGAGTGCTGGATGCGCGGCGTGGGGTCGAACCGGTAGCGGTAGAGGCGCGGCACGATGCGCGGCAGCTGCGCCGCCAGCGCCGCGCCGCCCGCGCGCGCCACCGCACTGAACCCGAACGCCGCGCCTGCGCACGCACACACGCACGTCTGATATTCACTCACTACTGATATACGATCACATAGTTCCTCTTTTTTTATAGAATATGAGTGACAAACGAGCACACAGTTCACCTGATGGTAAGTGTAATGTGTGCTGTGGCCCATAGACATCTACATTTATCCTCGATTAAGGATCAAAACTCAGATGCGTTGTCATCCCTGAGGACTAAGATGGAATGCCTCGATTCCAGTAAAAATAGGTCTCCCGTTCTCTAGACTCACCATACGAAACACAGCAGTATTAAGCTACTATTTAACGCTGGTATTCTGTGAGAGCGTGGTTCTTCCCCGGTCGAGCCGACCTATTCATGCTACAACCCATATAGCTGCAGCGTGGCTCTACCACGTACAAAACCTGATAGTGAGTGGATACTGTGTCCCATACACATCCACATTCATCATCCAATCTGTGGTAAAGGCATGCTGCAGCTATATTATGGTTGCAGCACGAATGGCTCGGCTCGACCGAGGTAGAACAACGCTCTCACTCAATACAAGCGTGAAATAGCAGCTCAATGCTGCTGTGTTTTGTTAGGTAATTAGAGGGAACCGGAATTAGGAGGAACCCTTTTACTGGAAACGTGGTATTCCATCTTAATCCTCAGGGATAACAACGCATCTGCATTTTGATACTTAATCGATGAACTTTTTTATAGGATAAGGGTGATAAACGAGCAGTCCACATGATGGTAAGTGAATACTGTGTCCCATAGCCAAGGTCTACATTTATCCTCTAATAAAAATCAATATGCAGATGTATGTCACCCCTAAAGACTAAGATGGAATGCCTCGTATCCATTAAAAGGTCTCCGATTCTCTACACTCACTAGCTAGTATTCTGTGAGAGCGTCGTCTTTCCCCGGCTTTGATAGTCTCTTATGATGATTATGATATTATGGTAAAATACTAATCAGCAATGCGGACGCATCATCAGGCCTTACGTTAGACCAGTAAGTACAAGCGGGAGCACAATATCATCGTTACCCTTCACGCGTTTTATAACAGTGATTGACATAAACATTGACGTCTACTATAAAAGCTCGCTTAGTCATAATTTTTACATCGTACCCCACACCACCTCGTTCACGTACCTCATGTGCCTTCGTGCTCCCGTCCCTCACATACATACGTGCATCTCGGTCGTTTTATATGTACAAAAGACCTCGTTCCGTTAAGTCCTATTTCCCCACACCTACGCTAAGCGAGATTGAAAAATAGAAGTACCTACTAACAATTATAGTAGTTCGGACGAAATAGAGATTTTTTATAATTTTCTTCTATCTTTTTTACACTTTTTTTTCACATCGCTTAGCTAACTCGCACAGTACTGGTGAAAACGCAGTGAAAGTCAATGACAGCCTCAATAGCAGTGGTCTTGTTCTTTAGGAAAAACGACAGTGTTCTATTAAAGACCTATAGACCGTTTTCCCTTCTGATCGATTCTGTTGAGGCCAAATTGACTGTCGGTATACCAAGGTTCAGAATTTTTTGTATAATAGGTTTATGAAGACTATACGAGTACAGGACCAGAGTACAAGTTTTCCAATTGTCGTGTAAGACAGGGGATTTTTATATATCCGAAACTCTTCATAGCTGCGTTGCAAGACCTATTCAAGCTACTGGACTAGAAAAAATAGATTATAACAGAATTACTGAAGGACCTAAGCACTATGCTGAATGAGCTCAATAATGACAGATAGATCTTAAGATGAACTAAAAGAACACAATGGTCATGTCTAACATTTATATCACATCTTTGCCGGTAGTTATTGGGTAAAAGTTGACGAGTATATTTACCAAGGGTCATTTGTCTGACTATCTCCTCCCTTGTTCGAATTATGATACATATGAAAATATAATTTACCTTTTTTAGAGTTCCATACAGAGTTATGATGCGCGAGGTGCATGAACTTGTACAAAAGGTCTGGTTGATTTAGATCCGATGCCAGGGAACACAGCTCTTTGTATGTTGATAAATTTCCACTGAAAAAAGACAGCACGATATTATGTCAATATCATAAAATTTATAACCGATTTATTAAAATTTTATTCATGTAAATTGGCACTATAGCATCCATCTTAATCACCCAAAATCTAAAATCTTTAATATTCAAAATTTCATGAAACTAGGGATGGTTAGCAAGGCTTTTGCAAAAAAAATAGTCCAAATGTCATTTAAGAATATGGCTATATCGTGTTTCATAATATGCATTACATTGCATAATATGCTTGGGGTTGTAAAATAAATAAAAGCAAGTTAACTCATTCTACGTCGATCTAATCGAAATTAACATTTTTGAATTTCAAAACCTAAGCAACCTCAGGTTTTCGTTTTATTTAACATTTCTCGATTTCATAATCATATAAAATAAACGCAAGAACTACACGAAATCATTATAACATTTTAGTTTCATAATCCCTATGAATTCAATTGACACCACATACTGCTAACGAACTCCTTAAAACTATGTTCTTTAAAAAATTTGTTAAAGCAAGAAATAAACATAACCAACCCAGTTGGCGCCTTTCCCAGCTGCCCTTCTTCGAATATCTTTGTATCTTCGGTGACTTGCGTGACGGATCTCTTTCCGCTGGTTAGTTGCTCTATGATATCTCCCACTAGTGCTTGTTTTCGACTTTCGTCTGAGTTCTGATATACAAGACTAAGACCCTTGCTGGCTACGTCTTGTACTATATCTGTAGAGATGAAATAAAGACTTACTTCATAATCACCATAATATACACAAGCTAGTTAAGCTGAATATAGAAATAGAAAAGGCATTTCTTTGTTATTAAATAGAAATTAATGCAAAGAATCCCCTAATGGATGGAGTGACGTTAGAAGACGAAGAGATAATAGAAGTCGATGGATGCAGGTGTCTAAGGACTGTGCCTTGTGGCTTGGGGGAGGCCTATGCTGAGCAGTGAACTTGTAAAGGGCTGTAATGATGATGAAGATATATAATCTCGTGAGTGTTCTAAGAGGCAACAAAAGGAAAAAATATAGGAGATTGGCAGCAAAATCTTCCTGATAACATTTGAAAATAATCAAAAACTTAAGTGGCCAATGTGTCTGCCAAGCGTGGCAACTGTAGCACACATCCCCCCCTATGAGGCAATCTGTGACATGATTTTGATAGGTGATGATGATAGATATTGGTGAAATGACGAATCAATTACTATAACACTCGTTAAAATAATAACAGCAACATTATGTTATAGGTCGCGCCACGAAAGATGAAATTAAATAGCGTCCACTGCGCATGTACAATCAAGCAGAAATTTAAATTTTTTTATGGCATTTTAATATGTAAAAAGTCAAAGGTCAACATTATAACTACACATCAAAGTCTCCACGAAAATGGAACGATATACTTATATATCATCGTTAGGTTTTAACTGCTTCTAAATAATAATCTGCATTTTATGTACACTTAGTTAAAGAAATAAAATATTTTGTATTTGTAATTGCTGTTTAAACTATGCGATAGCCTTCGATTATAAGGATATTTTACATGAAATAATTTGCAAAAAAAAAATCATCTTGTAGAAAATAACAAAATTACACTATTTTAAATAGTCCCAAAATAATTTACAAAGTAATATATTTGCACACTATTTGAAAATATTATAGAACAATATTTTTAAAAGTACAAAAATAATCGCAAAAATTTAAAATATATAACAGGTAGACGCTAACGCTTTCGATATCGATAGTACACAAGATGACACAAGACTTTCAAGTGCGCGGGCGACGGGACGCAGGGAGAAACTACGTGGGAGTAGTGGGTCGCTTCCCCGTACTTCACACCTCACCGTGCCGACACCTATTTTTCGCTTCTGCGCACTTCCATGACTCGTGGCGTTGGCCTATACAACTGTAGTTACATAACTCACCGCTATTCTCCGAAAGGAAATCCATGAACATATTTTGCAAGGCCTGCAAACTGTTTTTGATTGGTTCTCTTTCAGGACAGTTCTTCAGGAGCGCAAGCAACCAAATACTTGTTGCCTATAAAAATTTAATAAAGCCAATTTAAAACTATATTATTACTTTTTAATCATATCAACATGAACAAGTCGAGTTTTGGTTTGCAGAAATTAACATTTTTTTTATAGAATATGAGTGACAAACGAGCAGCCCTGAGGACTAGGATGGAATGTCTCGTTTCCAGCAAAAAGGGTCTCCGAATCTCTACACTCACCATACGAAACACAGCAGCATTACACTGCTATTTTACGAGAGTCTGGTCCTTCCCCGGTCGAGCCGACCCATTCGTGCCACAACCATAATATTGCTGCAGCGTGGCTCTACCACGTATAATTTTAATCGCTTTTGACTTTATTTAACTCAAAAACAAACACTTACCTGTCTTGAATGTGGGTGAGGATGTTTGCCGATCTTGAACAACTCCTGTAGTAGCCATTCAAGCAATGTATCATTTTCTTGCAAGGCCTCTCTATCTCTTATTTTTGCTTCACCCTATTTAAATATTTAAAAAATGTCATTTAAAGGAAACAAAACGTTTTTTTTTTAATATAAAACTGAAGTGACATACGAACGGGTACTGCAATTCATGGGCACCTGCTGCTAACTTCAAACAAAGATGGTTACTGCGGACTAAGATGGAATGTCTCTCAGTTTTTAATTATACTGGCTCTTTTTACCCTTCAAGCGGAAACACAGTAGTGCAATTTCTGCGATTTAGCGGCGGAAATAATAGATAAAGGGTTGGTACCTAGACCAAAGGGTTGGTACCTAGACCAAAGGGTTGGTACCTAGACCAAAGGGTTGGTACCTAGACCGAAGGATTGCTAGGTAAGCAAGGAGTCCCACCATCTCGAATAAGTTCTACTTGAATTGTATACAGGGACCTGGTTGTAAATATTACACAGATGAATGAAATTACTACACATCATTTTACAGAGGAGACCGAACCCAAATACTTAAGAGGGGTTTTACTCATTTTAATTGTTTGAGATTTAAATGAGTGCTTAAAAAGCTTCTTTAGTGAAATCTTAACTTCCACATATTATAATTGTTTAAACTAAATAAGATTGATTTTAATATCATATTATAGAGTTAGCCAAGCTTTGGTCGGTTCAGTTTTTTTAATGTAATTATCTGTACTAAATTTACTGTCCACACTAAACCAATATTTAGTTTTAGGCAACGAAATATCACATAATTTAAATCTATTTCATTGAAATATATACATTAATGACGTCTAAAATTTTGGACTTTTATGTGCTTACGTAAAAAAATCGAACTTTTACTTTCTTTTAGATTTATGACTCAATTTCGAAAAAAATTACCTCTTTTGGCAACTCCGTCCAAAGATCCCGGTTCTCGTTAGAGTTTACACCTTCCACGCATAGCACTAGCGACTCGCCTATTTGCAGATGAATTTCAAACTCTTTGCTCTAAAAATGATGAAAATTGTATCTTCTTTCATAATATACAAATACAACAGTATGTTTTTAAATACACAAACAAAGCCGGTTCCAAATGATATTCGGCAAAACGAAACACTTGTGGAATTATCTCGGTATTTGTCTTTCTGTTTTTGAGCCATGGCAGCTCAGATGGTTACCGCTCGCTTGACATTTTGTTATTTTAGTCGTTTTAATCATAAATATTATTATCTCGTTATTTTATAGTTTGTAAGATTTTCATGTCATTAATAATGTGCGTACCTTAATCAAACACAAATAAATAAATATTTCAATATTTCTGTGAATTTCAAAGTATGCGAGCAACCCGTGTTTAATCTCCAGCGGCACCAATGAAATTATTAATTGTAAGTTTAAGTGCTGATTTACCAAGCGCTCATCGGTGAAAGAAAACATCGTGAGAAATCCTGTATGTCTGAGAAATAAAAAATTAAATTTTTTTCGAAGGCGAGGCCTGTGTCCAGCTGTGGGACGTATAATAGGCTATAACTTTTCTCTTCTTTCTGCTAATCATAGAAGCTTTGCTTTGAGAGAGTTTTAAGTATGTGATAATAACTTTGATATACATTAGTAGACAATAAAATTAGGCCACCTACCAAACCGGTTGTCGAGACTGTTTCAAAATAAAATTTTTATTGATTATGTATTAATTCTGAAATTAAATAATGTATTTTTATATTAACCAACTTTATTTTATTAGCAATACACAAAAAAATCAAAAATGGAGAAAAATTTACAATGACTTCACACTGATAAAACAAATTAAAATGGTTTCACTGATTATCCTTTTGTATATGGATCGTATCAAGTTTTTAATGGTAGATTTCCCATTCCTCCAATAAAGCCGCTTTCAACCGTTACATGTTCTCCGAAGCTGGATCTCGCTGACTGACTCGCCGTTTTAGCTCGTCACATAAATGTTATATGGGATTAAGGTTTGGACTTCATGCTGGCCAGTCAGGAATCTGTATCCCCACTTCTCGCAAGTATTCTCTAAGGCCTCTGCCTCGAATCTTGCGGGCAGCGGAGCGACGGCGACGGCGGCGCGGGAGCGGAGCGGGCAACGCAGACCCGTTCACGAAACTAGCGGGCAGATCGCGCGACACTATAGCGGCGTTGTGATGTGTTCATGGTTGTGTTGTCGAGATGTTTGTTTTTATTTGCGAATGAAATGTCTGAACAACGGCGACAACATCTTTTTTGATTCAAATTTATTTCTAACGCTCGATTTACTGTGGGCAAAAGAAGAAGTGAATCCCTACTACTTATAGGGCAAGGAAAAGAAAAGGTGAGTTTTATCGAAATTACGAAGAACAGAGACAATGTGTGATCTGTGAGACCAGAATGAGCGTAGAAACTTTTGACTATATTCTTGAAGCTATCAAGGGCGATTTAGAGTCTGTATTCAGTTCGTTTTTAATTTCTTCCCATAACTGGTTAATTACTCTTCTATTTTTATGGTTCACATCTTTGCTGTTCCATATCGGTGTTCTCTCAAAAATTGCTGAAATAATTTGCTCTTGCACGTCCGAGGACATTTCGAAACGTCACAAAAATTAATTGCACAGCACTGCAATGCAGACGCGCGGGCGGTCACCGCTTGACTGGAGTACACCGCTCGTTGCCCGCCCCCCGCGCCGCTGCCAAGCCGCTGTTTTCGAGAGTCGGTCCATTTGATTTTACGCATAAGATCCTGCCGCTCCCGCGCCGCCACCGCTGCCGTCCCGCTGCCCGCAAGATTCGAGGCAGAGGCCTAACACACGCATTAATTGAAATTCTTTACCGATAAAGCCCGAGTATGGCACTACATGCTCTTCGAGAAAGTCAGTGATGTATGAATCACAGTCACAGTTCTCTACCTACGATAACCAGCTCTATACGGGCTTCAAAGCTTATACCTTTCCAGAACAAAACTGAACCACCTCCAAAGCTTACTTTTACAGATATGACCCGGTCTACGATCTACTCTTTTGCGACCATCAGCACCATATAGACATACAAGACTCACCAGAAAAGAGTACTTGCCCCCATTGTGTCACAGTCCAATCACTGTTTTCACGAGCAAAATTTAACCTGGCTGCCTTATGAGCTGTGCTAAGCTTAAGACCTGTTGCGAGTCTGTATGGTTTTACACCACGTTCTTTAATGCGTCTTCTTATTGTCCTATCACTTGCAGCGACACTTCGGACATCTCTAAGCAGGTGTTACAATTCAACTCAAGAACGATGACGAATTTGGAGTCTTGTTGACACTAAAAATCGATCATCCCATTCAGATGTATTTGTTCTCCGACCTGATCCAGGTCTCCAGGTATCTTTTTTAAACATATTGAACCGTTGATCGACTTACTTCACATTGACGGGCGACATTTCGTTGGTACATTGCAGTTTGTAACAACATTACGATTCGAACAACTTTTGCTTCGCGTAGATCTATATTTATCAGTGAAAAGAAAGTGGGAGGCACAGCAAATATGAATTTAATGATAGTTTTAAATAGCATCCTAGCAACAGGACATTAAACATAAAAGAATAAAAGTGTGGGTACCTACAAAAACTGATTAATGACATTTGACACACTTACACTTGATAATTTTATCACTATACCCCTCTACTAAGATTGCAAATGAACGTTCAAAAACGTATTTTATTTTAATTTTTAAACATACCGTAATTATTGAATAAATCATAAAAATAGGAGTACGATAATTTTATTGTCCACCAGCATAGTTAAAAATGCGGTTACCCAAATTTTGACCTGAGGTTTAAAATTCGAATTTATTAAACTCATACAACATTTTGGGGATATAATGGCAATGGTGGCACAGAAAACTAACTGTGAAATAGCATGTACTTGAGCGATATTATTTCAGTTATCAAATACTTACATCTTTCGCCATTTGCAACAATCCTTTTACGATTTGTTTCGCGAATGGCAACCTTTCACCACAACACATCAATCCCAATGTAAACAACGCCCTCTCTTTAACTTTCGATGGCAATGTGTGGTTGCCAACTATTCTAAACAATCTCTCCGCAACAGTGTATTTTGTGACAACTTGATCAGGATTATAATCTTTTTGGTTTATATTGAATGGATTGTCCGCTTGTAGCATTGAATCTTGTCCGGTGTTTGTATTCGGTAGAGGCAATGCGCTGCATCGCACCAACAGTGACACTGAGTTACATGATGTACTAACAAGTAATGTTAGGGGACTGGCAAGAAAGTTAGCTGAAAATAAATATTTAAAAATATAATATGTATAGGATGTTGTATTATTAATATAATATGCACAGGATGTTGTATTTTTAGCATTTTCCTAGACGTCCGTAACACGATCGGACTGACGTCAACTTTGATTACAAATAGACTAATGCCAAAATGATGAAGCGAAACAAGACATTACACGGTCAACGACTAACGAATCATGCATCTGTCCGAGCGATTATAAACAATAAATATATGTGTTGCTATAATATTAACCTAGACTATTAAGAAACGCACAAAAAGAAAGCGGTAGTGTAAACAATGGTTGATATAAAACAATTGTACACACAACATTATTTAATAAAAACCATCATTACAAAATATAGGCCTCACATATAGATTGTCTCATAGGATAATATCCCCTTATTTGTCATAGTTGACACACTCCACATTCAGGTTAGCCTCTAGACAAAACCCCCAAAGCAATCACATAAGCATCTTAGTCACTGAACACCAGTCATGCAAACCTTTTATTTATTTGTTTATATACATTCTTATTAATACCTACAGTATGAAATGGATTAAACACCTTAAGAATATAAAATCTAAAAATAAAAATAGTTGCAATTCTGTCTTCTCGCACTATTAAATTATCATTTGCATTCTCACATAATAATAATAATAAAGTAATATTTAGCGAAAAGTTATTCAGATGTTTTAAATTTACGCGTCAAATAAAATTTATTTGTCATCATATCAACAGAGGTTTTGTTCTCGATATATTATTTCGCTAACATACAAAAATCCTTTGGAAGCAATTGCTTTACAGACATATTACAACAAAATTACATAGTCAATAAACCTTACCCAAACATAGCGCTCCTTCTTGATATGGTTCCCAATTAGATGCATTAAAACCTTTCCCGCCAAATTTGCCCCGTTTCGACAACGCTATACATCGTTCACACAAATGACTGAAGGCAGAGGTATATCCACATTGAGCCTCTAAGCCCTTGTTACCTTGACTTTGAGCAACAAATTCTTTTATTTCTTTATCTATTGCAGACTTATTGCTGGTATTTGCGGTGATTATTGCATAAATAACGGCAGCTATGTCCCTGATATCTTCTTTCGTACTAGTCGTGAATAGGTTCATAAAGAATGGCAGTAGGGATACATATTTCGGAGCCATTATCTCAGGTACGCAGCCAACAATATCCAAAAAGCAGGTAAGAGGCATCATTTCTATAAAATATTTTTCAATTGTTATAATGGTTCTAATTACTAAAAACTTGATTAACAATTTTGCTAAATAAATATATTTTTTAAATTAGGTTCAGTATATTTTCCGTAACTTAGGTGCAAAAATTACGGACTCTTTGGAATCGAGTAACTGCTATTACTAGCTAGGTTGTGCTTATTCCTAGTACAGTGGACCCCTGGTACTCCGGCCCTGTCTACATGGTCTATAATTTATTATTGAATTTTTTTGACCATATATTTTTGACGCATGATTGAACAAGTTATAACTTATACGCCACACTACTATTGTACTCGACGCATAGGGTATTGTTTTGATTCTGATTGAAAAAATTGGTTCTGTAAATGGTTGAAAGATCATAATTTTCCTCAAAAAGCGTTGTTGCTTCTTGATAACGCTCTTAAATTAATGCTTCCTAAAATTGATTGATTCATAATTTTTGATTATTTTAGTATGCACATTTGTTTGTACACAATTATTTCTTAATGTAAAGTTATTGCATATTTTTTGTAAGTTATATAGCATTAATGACGTTAATTTTATAATAAAACGTAAGCTAGCTCTCTATTGTGTTATTTAATTTACTAAATTTGAGATGCAAATGTAATGAAGTATGATTTGTACTCCAGAGTACATACTTTATATATAATTTTATTAGTACGTGCGATGGACCCCTAAAAAAAAAACCCAATAACATATAGAATCTTGTCATTGGATCTGTAATTTGTTGGATTACAAGGTACTCTTTTGTAAAAAATTCCGGACTATAGGGGCTTCTGACAAATTCCATAGTCCGACACTGCCCTGCAAAATGTTTGTAGGATTACAGGGGGTCCACTGTATTTACAGAATGTATATCACTATTTTTACTGAACCTATTTTGTACGTACAATAAACTTTAATAAACATACGGAGAGACCCTTAAGTTTTCTCTAACAGATATGATCTAAGGCTTCTAAATAATATGTTTAATAATCACAACATCCCTATTAAACCATTAAGAGAATTGTATAACGATACGTGACGCGAGTAGGTATTTTGAAAAATACTCTCTGTTTTATACCGCTTGCTCTCGTATCGACAGAGAGAGTTTAAGTCTTGGAAGAAATTGCCTATATTGTGTTTTTGAAATATTGTTTTGGGCGATAACGTTTTCACATCACCTTTAGGAAATGAAGGAGATGAAGTTTTGAAGTCAAAAATGTAGATATTTAGATGCTAATAACCTTATATCATACGCAATATTTCTTTAAAACAAAAACGTATGGACATAGCTTTTAGTTATATCTACAACATTTCAAACAATTATGAACATTACAAAATGTTTACGGAGGGGAGCGTAGAATGTTATAGTTTTTTGTATGAACATTTACAGCTTCACAATCCTCTTAAATAATATAGCTAAAATTTGTTATGTTTGTAATAATAATTATAACAACAAAACACAATTCAAGAGGAACTAAGAATTTTCTACGCATATGATAAATACCTGGACAAGCACTGAGTAACGAGGTTATCATAGTTAGGTATCTTTCTAGCACTTCAGTTTTGAGCAAATTCTCGCGGAAATACTTAGCGAGTAGAGGCGAGGTGCAGTTGGGATGATTAGAGCAGTCTTTCAGATTTGCATCGCGGTTCAGACACATTCTCATATACCTCAATATCTGAAATAAGTAATCAAAAGTGAAAATTAAAAAAAGAAAATGACAGAACGAGATAGAGGGAGGTAATTTCTTTAAAAGGCGATACAAGCAGTCTGTTTCGTGTTTGCTGTCAGTCAGTTTGGCTTGTTCTCTCCTCGTACTGTTTCCTGCCGCGCCTCAAACGTCAGCATCGATAGCATCGCTTCCACATACTTTGCATGTCCTTAAGCAATCTTAGGCGTTATCGAAATTTTCAGCCATTTTAGTCTGTTTATTTACATTCCCGCGACTTTGTTCGCGTGGAATTTATTACGATTGGTTTCATGTTTTTTTTTTTTTTTTTTGGGCGGAACCCTATTTCTTTTTCTAAAATAAAAGTAGCCGAAGTTACTCCTAATAACATCAGCTATGTGCCTGTGAAACTCCCGTGAAAATAGATCTAGCTTAGGCTTGGGTAAAAAATATTAATATATCGATATTCGATATTTATTTTGGAGTATCACATTCTTATGAATTTCGATATAAGTATTATAAAATGTTGTATTAATCGACAAAATATTAAGCAACAAAAGTAGCTACAAAAACATTTATATGCTATTTTCGTTGTTTTTTGTCGTTCAGTCATCCTGTCATCAGCACATCAAGCAAAACGTTACGATAATATATCGATATTTATCACGCGATATATGTAGATGTTTAAAAATATCGATACGATATATATCGACATATTTTTTTCTCTTGTGCATCCCTAGTCCAGTTATTTCGGAGATTAGCTGGAACAAACGGACAGACAGACAAAAATTGTATAACTAGTTTTTTATTATATACCGTTAATACTTTCATATGCATTTAGTAAAAAGCTGTTATTTCGACATTACAAACAGACACTTAAATTTTATTTGTTTGTATAGATTATTATATGATATATGTTATAGTTATTTAATCAATAATACTAATTTAATTTTAACATTAGATATATAGACTAAATATTTATAGATAGACTAAAAAAGCATTTTTTCTATGGTCAAGGTTACCCATAGCTGTGGTGTAATGACGGTCGAATTCAGGAACGAAAGCAAAGATTATACATGGGGACAAGTAAAGACTTTTTGGACTAGAATCTAAATTTGATCTATATTTTTTCAGCCACATTACAATGGACAGATATGATATACCGAGATAGAACACAAGCTATCTCCAAAATGGCAGATGCTAAGCTACGGCATAGCACTTGTGGATAATCTTTATTAATCACACGAATACTAGGCATAAGATGAAACGTCCAAAAGTCTGGATTTAAAAAGTTTAAATTAAACGCGATAAAATCCCAAAAATTAGTTTATGTAATAGGCTGAGAACTGTTAGAGCATTTTTCCACTGATAATTAAATGTCGTCCATATATATTACTCGGACTTTAAAGAATAATTAATTAAGTGAGGAGAATTTTGGAAAATCTCCACACCTAACCCTAAGCGACAACCGCTTTAGACGTCATTGCGTGAGGAATAAAGGACAATCGGAAGAAGCCGTCATGATTAAATCTGACAAAAAGGAAACGATGCTTACTTCCTGGTAAGTTCGTGGGTGAAATTGCAGCACCTGATTGCCTATCACGAATCTATGTTTCGAATTTGAACCTTTCTTTCTCTTGTCTATTTGCTCCCAAACGTAATTGACCACGTCTTTGAAACTGGGAACTTTTAATTCCTCTTCATTCACTTTGTCCTTGTCTTTCCTTGGGGCATCCTCTTCCAAGTTCACGACGGTTGTCTCGCTCTTTGTCACGTTGTTTACCACATCCTCTATTTCGCTTGGACGTGACGTTCCGTATAGACATTTTTGCGCTTCAGTCACTATATCGTCTTGACTTAAATAAAAGAAAATAAAATCCATTAGTTCCTAACCCATCAACGCTATCGCTAATGTTGTAGGTGAAACTCTATCATACCACGAAGGTACTGATATTTCTCTAGAATAGGTCCTTAGCAGATTTTTACAACTTCAGGACATGATGGAGACTTCACATGTCTAGTACATGTTTATTATTTATATTACATTACATTATTTAATTTTCAGTACATGACTACAATACCATTTAATAGTAAGTGGTGATGAATCGCACCTAGGTGGTAAATCGTACTGTCTTAGCGTAACAAAAGCCTTTGAAAGCCGCCGAAATTCTTATCGAACGGAAAGGCGTGAAGTTGTGTTTTCTCTACCGCCAAGCTCGTGGTGAATCAGCATATAAAATTGCAATTAACAATTTCAATGGTGCCTGTACTTGTGAACTGAAAAATTTACTGCGTGCGTGGAGCTACTAGATCTTTATGATAGAAGTAAGGGTAACAAATGAGGCTTATAATCCATTTGATGTCAAGTCACCCATCTTCGCTTAAGGCCAGTATTCAAAGACGAGTTTAAACTCAAACTTCACAATATAAACATATGTGTATATATGTGTTTATACAGAATGGGTACCACAGATATTCAATAAATGAAACTTACTTGTTATCGTCTTTGCTGACGATATACAAAAAATGAACGAAATCGGTCCAGTAATTAGGTCAAAAAGTAGCGTGTTTTAAAGAGCTAATTTGAACTCTCTGTAGAATTAGGTCACTAGGTCAATGTTTCAATGAACTTGAATACTTGAACATTAAAAAGCGACGTTGCCACACAGTGCAAACTATCACAATGTGAGACTATGTTCGTCGACAGCGGTGTCTTTGGCGGCGTCCTTCAAAGGAGACGCACTTGCGCTCACCCCTATGCCGTAGAGTATTAATGTTTTCCACATTTTGGAAGTTGGAAGTTTCGCTTTCAGTTCACGACGAATCTTCCGGGATAGTGTGTGTGCGCATTGCTTCAAGTGATTTATTTTAAGTAAGATAAATACAAATAGTTAAATAATTTTCTTACGGTGAAATGGACACTTATTAGCTAATTGACTCTGTGTGTGTAATGAGTTTTTAAGTCATTTTTTATTTTTAGTGTGATATTGACACTACTTAACTCTTGTGTTTACGGATGTTTTTTTAACAAAATACCAAGACAACAGTATTTTTACAGTGCGGTAGAGTATACATACACGATAGTTGGCTTTATTGTATGGCGAATGCGGCATAAATAAACGAAATTTGTTAAGCAGGCTTCGAGACAACATTATAATATAGATATAATTTGTGTATTTAAGAACATGGCGGACATTTTGAAAATTTAAAGTTTCGATTCCAATTAATTTTTTACCTTATGTTCAATAATATTTATTTCGTTCAGTTTCGTTATCGCGAAATAAAAAAGTGGCGGTAAAAATAAACAGTTTAGTGAAAAGTTTAGGCCATTGCCGGGCTCCATGCCGCCCGCGTGCATTGTTGCCACTCTTCCAAGAGGTCAAAGTACGTTTTCTAAACAGAGTGTTTACTTTTACTGAATTTATTTAGATATTTATTTTGTTTGAAAATTAAAATTTTTTAATTTACGGTTTTTAAATTAATATTTAATTTTACTACACTTCTATGGACTGGTATTACTTGTGGTTTCATTTATTGGCAGGATACCACATCCTTACTGTAAATGTATATGTGTGTATATATGTTTAAGTATATATTTATGTTTATAGACTATAAATAAAATGGAGTAGACATTTAAAGGCAAAGCTTTGTAAAGTCAGCCGTGCACCAATTCTGTTTTTGTTAATATGTGTATATGGCTCTCACGATACAGGTCTCCGTGCCAAGTGTTAAAACCGCTGCTAAATTATTTGTAAAGGTGCCAAACGTCAAATAAAGTATTTTTCAATTTTTATTTTCATTTCAAACATATATGTCATATAGTATTGCCTAGATTAACTCAGATTTTGAAATTGTGGAGCTCGAATTTAAATTCTAAATTGTATTTGAATACAGGCCTAAGAATCGAAGCTTAGATGCGTTATCACATCTGAGACATTAGGTGAAAAGCCTCGTTGCGAATATAAGGGTATCTAGCACTCGTCACTGACCATACGAAACACAGCAGCATTATGTTGCTATTTTATTTTACGCTGGTATTGTGGCGGAGTGGTCCATCCTCGGTCGAGCCACCTACTTGTACTGCATCAATAATACATTGCACCATGCGTCTACTGCTTACATAACACACCTTAAAACATCCAAAAGCCGAGACTGTAAAAGTCAAATTACCTGTCCCCGCTGGCAAGCAGCAAGAGATATCGAGACGGCACGTAGTCCTGAGCGAACACGACGGACGAATACCGCATAGCGATGTAACGTATCATCGAGTCCTCGCTGTGCATGTAGCTGTCGGACATACAAAATCAAATGAACGAACTAACGTGGAAATAACATAGAAAAATGAAAGAAAGATCTAAATAATTAAGTCAATAACAAACGGTGATTGCTATAAGGTACATTATTTATAAAAGTGTCATTAAATGTACTTAAAGTATTTTAATAGTGTCCACCAGACCGAATCTCGGGCACAAGACAAGATTATAGTGCCCGAGTGTATGCGCTAAGCCCAAGTATACTCTATTCTCTCACTTTTATAGTTCGATAGGATGGTAATGAGAGACGATCAGAGGCACGAGGGTGAAACACCGCCAACTTCCTTACACCGGCCTGCTACTTAGAATTTCTTGTCAAAACAACCCAATAAATAAATGATTTTTGCCCCTCCCGGGATTTGAACCCGGTCCTGGGTCAACATTTCTTCAATTCTTTTTTATTTTCCGATCAATTCATGATTAGCTATCACGTAACAACCACAAGACCAACGCAGTAAAGTATTTTATTACAAAAATAAATAGCACACATCGGACATGTGTAAAAACTGCGATTCTTAATCGTCAAAAACAGAGAGACACTAAATGAATTCAACTCATAGATAATCGGAGGTAATTTAAACAAAAATGAAGACGTTTCCTATTTCTTTAACTGCGCCAACAACTTCAAAATAACCAAGGCTATAAATTGCTTAAGAGATAGTGCCACAAGTGTTAACACGGAATTACTTACGTTATAATTGACCCGTATCCGAGGTAACGCTTAGCATGGGAACATTCACAACACAACCAAACCCAAAAACCAATAATTAATATAAAAAATTGTTAAATGTTAGCTATAATTTGAATGAATTCAAATTTACGGAACTACAATACAATAACCACACAACACAATGAGTCTCTATTTTCTTTTCGGTTGTTTTATACTGTGTTGACATTTAAAAACTAATTATTTAATGTTTATTCCATCCTTAACCAATGGGTTCGTGCTCTTGCCAATAAGCTATTCTTTCATCTTAACTTTATTAAAAAAAATTAAGTCCCAAAAGTGCACACTTACTGGTCCAATAAAGCGAACAGTGCCAGAGCCTGGGGTTCGTCAAAGGGATTCGGTCGCGATTTTTTGCTCTCCGACGCTTCGTCCACTTCCATATTTTGCGACGTGCTCGCGTCAACTGATGACGAAGTCTCTTTTGTTTCCTCTTTATCTAAATCAAAAGAAGAAACAGTATCAGACATTTTTTACTAATTTTATAGATAAATCCACGGTTGAGCTTCCGTAAAGACGCTTAGACGAGTTACACTAGGGAACATCACATCTACCGTTGGTGTTACCCGAATCTTAAAACCGTCTTCTCCAATTAATTTTCCTGGACTGGGTGAAAAGATTCTCCTAAGCGCCACTACACTACTTTTTCAATGTCATATTTCAAATGTTTCATATTTATTGAACCATCGCTTTTTACATACTACTTAGCTGTTCCTTGCGACTTTGCCCGCGAGGATTAAATTTCATGGGTTTTAATTTATTGCGCGGAACCCTAATTATTTTTCCTAAATTAAAGTAGCCTAAGTTACTCTTTATAACATCAGCTATTTGCTAGTTAATCTCGTCAAAATCGGGCCAGCTTTTTTTAGCCAGAAAAACGGACAAAATTTTTAAAAATTGTTTTTTTTTGTTATTGGCACCGTATATACGTTCATTAACATTTAGATAATGAAAGCTGTTATTTTAACATTACAACACTCCAGTTTTTTTTTTAAATTTGTATAGATAAGCCAATGCCTACAATCGTACCTCATGGCAAGTGTAGATAGACAAACGGTAAGTGCAATTTTTTCGCGTTTATATATTAGCGCGGGTGGAAAGACGGACGAATGCAGGATGACACGACAGAAGACAGGAATTTGTTTTTTGTTAATTTATATCCACATTAAACACGCACACACACACACACACACGCGCGCGCGCGCGCACACGCACGCACGCACGCACGCACGTACGAGCAAGCGCACGCGCACACGCACACGCACACGCACACGCGTTCAACAATATCAAATTATTTAAAATAAGAATTCCTTAGATAAATAGTACTAAAATGTAAATTGATAGCAAGTTGTGATTACCTTTAAGTGATTGTACATTTAGAAATAACGAAACCGTAAATTTTAGTTAACGATGTAATAATGTATCAATCGATGGTAATCCTAATAAAGAGAAAAAAAAACATATTCAACATGAAGAAATAACAACATACTCCTAAACGAGAAAGAATGACATTATAAAAATTATACTAGTGGCATTAACAGACAATAATTTACCTTCAGTCTTCATGGTGTAAGCTCCAGACATATCTAGTAAGGCATCACGAATGGCAGTCTTCATCTCAGGTGTAGCCTCAGGTATCTTTTTAACCAACTCCTCCAATAAAGAGAACTGTCTGTTTATACTCTCTGGGCACTTCATTGCCAAACGCCCTGAAAAGGAACAAGTTTCAAGACGAACAAATCATCTCAGATAGTTACAATAGGGTATTTTGCACCGTGTAAAAACCATCAACAAATCCATAATAATTATAATAGGTTTTATAAAAAGTAAGCGAGAAATTTTGATTTTTATTCATAAAAATGCATCATATATTTATGTTCTTAAAAAAATATGGTAGAGCCATGATGCAGTTTTATTAGAAGTATAGTTGTAGCACGAATGGGTCGGCTCGACCGGGAAGGACCACGCTCTCACAGAATACCAGCGTAAAATAGCAGCTTAATGCTGCTGTGTTTCGTATGGTGACTGTAGAGAACCGGAGACCCTTTTTACTGGAAACGAGGCATTCCATCTTAGTCCTCACGGGTGACAACGCATCTGCATTCTGATTCGTAATCGAAGATAGATGTAGATATCTATAGGCCACAGCAACCACTAACCATCAGGTGGACTGTGTACTCGTTTGTCACCCTATCCTATAAAAAAAAACTTTGGAGGAGGAATAAAGAGAACATCTACATGTACTACTACTACCACTATCGGCATTTTAGTCAATTTTAATAGGTATAATCAGTTCGAACTGCAGTTGCCTCATTTGATTTCATAACTCGGTAGTGTAGACACAGAGCAACAGCAATAGACCGTTAAAAACCTGTTTCTCAATGTTCCTGCAGTCTGAATATACTCTGAAGTATTCACACGTAGTGTAATCTGAAGGGTTCGACGTCTGTTTTTGAAGTTATTTTAAATGAGCGAAAAGTAAAAGACACAAATCGAAATCAGTTTGCGGCAACCACAATTAAGTATTTTATTCGGGTATTTATCAAAATCAAAACCTTTTTTCTAACCTACTACTTTTAAAATATTAACATAATATCTAAGCTAAGCGTTTTTCAAACGATTATTCAGTTATGTGATGGTGGTAAAACATTCAGCGTCGAAATCACAGATTATAGAATAAATTAAGACAATGTAACATAATACTGATCTGATATATATTATGTTATAATTTTTAATAATCACCGTCAACTATTAACAAGATATAACTCAAGTTGTTTCTTGAGGAAATTCCATTTCTCTTCCCTATTTTGTCCAAAAAAAGAGTTTAAGGATACTCACCTAAGCACATGTAAGCTTTGGGCTGATGTTCCGCATACTCGTCAGATCTGATTAGTTTGAGTAATCCTTGTAAGAACACCGTAGCTACCTTCTTCAACTGTACCTCGTCTCCGCTATATTAGTACAAAAATATATGGTTCGTCAGTTTTTGATATTATAAGCTAATTACATGTTCATCGAAACCATTTTTATTACTGGAGTAAAGTGTACTGTGTAAAATTTTACACAGTGTAACAATTACAAATATTTAAGAGAAACCCGAGGTTTCAGCATCACTTCACTTGGATTGTTACCAGCAATAAAAAGATTAATTTAATTTTAAAGTAGAGAACTTACTTATTAATAACGTTTATTAAAAACATTAATGCCATATTCCGAAGACGGGAGTTTGTGTTAGGGTCAAACAATGATGAAAACACAACCTGAAAATAAAAATAAAAGAAACGGAAATAGATTTTTTTTTCAATATAGATTATAAAGAATATTTATTGAAAGTCAGTCTAACGCCCCATTTACATTCAGCCCTGTTGGGCAGGGAAGTGAGCAGGGCAGTGGGCAGGGCAGTATGTAAACAGGCTACTCGCGCTGACACTGCCGCTGCCGCTGCCACTGCCCCACGCTCCCTCAAATGTCGGTTTTTGGTGCGGAAGTCAAAGGACGGGCAGCGCGAGCGGCAGTGAGTGTTCACATTCTGCTCCATCGCTCACTTCGCGCCAAGCGCCTGGATGAACGGACGTGCGTGCCGTCTTGTTATTAAATAAGTACGATCTACCAAAATGCCTTTCGAGTGGAATAATGAAAATACAATAAAGTTTTTAGAAATGCTAAAATCAGAAAAAGCTATAGGAAATTACAACGACAAAAACCATAATTCATCATCTTCAACGAAAACGAATTTTCTTTTTGAGATAACGTAATACCTATGTACATAATTAATTACAAATTCATCAAATTTATTATAATAATATGAAATTTAGTTTAAGGAATTAATGAACATTGACATTTTATTTCTAAAAACGATTAGTAACTCATATTGATTTATTTATTAAAATGTAAAATAAGTTAAATGGTTAATATTTGGATAATAGCATGAGATTTTTAAGTTATAATTTTATTGTAATTAAAATTATGAATTAATTTATACTGTAGTGTAATTATTAAAATAATAACAGCTTAACTAATCTCATATAATATTTAATATTATTTATGTAACAATAATGTAATAATTCAATTAATAATTTATGAACAAATTACTGTATAAGAATTCAAATAGAGTGGATCTGTATATGTATTTAATTGTACATACTAATATTTGATTTCAAAAAGAATGTTTGTACCTAACTTTTAAGCAATGCATAATTTTAAAATGTTACATTGGGTTTGTGTAATTAGCTGTATTTCATATCATTTTTGCATACCAATTATGACAAAACATGTGAGTTCCACGTCTTTGATCATCTTATGTACTATGTTTTAAGCAAATAAAATTTTCTATCTATCTTCTTTTGAACTTGATATCTTTTTAAATTATAAACATAATTTTGTATTGCAAGAAGACACAGCGCGGACGCTGTAATTATTTCGACGTCTGCCATAGTCGAAAGCCGAAAGTGATGTGAGTGGCAAGGCAGAGTGTAACACACTTCCCGCGATCCTGCTACGACAGTATTTAGCGAAGTGTTGCCGGCAGCGCGAGGAGCAGTGGCAGGGGCTGAATGTAAATGAGGCTTTAAGTTAAATTTAACACTGGTTCGCTTTAAAAAAGAACACTTTAAAATCATGTTATGTTGTACAATTAAAAAATATAACCTAACATGTGTACCATTTAATGTATATTATAACTTTATCATAAAATAGTATATTTAATGACGTACCTGTACGCAATGCGGGAACATGATAGCTGCACCAGTAGCCTTGTTTAAGTATTGGATTAACTTTAAACGTAATCTGGTGCAAGCAGGTACCTAAAAAGGTAACCTTTGAATTTAAACAGTAACAAACACATAAGTAAAAAACAATGAAAATATAATGGTAATTGGTGGCAATTTTGAAATAAATTAATTATTTACCTTGCGATCATCCGGCGGTACTTTCAAGCCGCCCCACGTTCCTAAATACAGGGAATATAAAGGCGCCACGACAGACGCCTGGGACCAATCCACGGAACTGTGTGATAAAAACAATTTATTATTAGTATGTAATGTCCTCTCTAAACCGAATTTCGGTCACGGCGGCCAGCCTCAACGGAGACTAGCCATCGGCGCAGGACAGGATTATATTGCCCAAGTGTTTGCGCAAGCACAGGTGCACTCTCTATTCCCTCACTCTCATAATCCGATGGGATGGTAAGCCGACAGGATCGGAGAGAGATCAGGCGCAGGACCAATGGATTTACGTGCTTTCCCAGGCAGGAGTGTGACGGTGTTCCAGACTCCAGGCAGCTACTGAGAATTTCTTGACAGAAAAACTCAATAACTGTTTTTTTTGCCCGACCCGGGTTTCGAACCCGGTAACTTATGATCAGCAGTCGCGTTTACAACCACTGGACCAACTAAACTAAACTAAACTAAAAGGCAGTCCGATTAGTACATACTACGAGCTTGAAAAATAACATACGTATTTCTTAATTTATTTTATTTTACGGAATCCTTTCACGTTGCAAGGATTGATATAAAAAGAGCTAATTTTACGGGTTTTTAATGTTAAATATTTATGTTTGCAGTAAAACGCGGTATTATTTAGCAGCATTTTTTTTATTTAACCGACTATACGGTTCTAGCCCTTCTGAGCCTATCATTTCTTTCGGAATCTTCGTTTTTATATGTTTTTTCTTTAAAACAAGCCGATGTGTCACATTGTGAAGTTTTTGGGCGATTTTGACGACAGCTCAACCCAGCGGACAGTTGATGACGACAGCCACTCAAGTTCATAAGGCGCCCAAGCGATCAAAATCACTTGAGGTTTATATCGACATCAAAGCACTTTTTTCGTCGCTTTCTATAATAGTCCACACGCACAGACAATTCACAAAATGGCATCACTTTTACGAATCGAAATCCACTTAAAACCATTATTCAAGCGACAAAACAGGAGCGACTTTCCGTCGACGGATCAGTTCCCGCCAAAACTCCTATTATGAGACTTCACAGACCACAGAATATTTTTATTTCTCAGACATTATATTTCATTATTCATTATTTAGTGTGTGTTGCCAGTGATGACATATGGATCTAAGACGTGTTCCTTCGCTGCTGGCCATATGAATGAGTTCAAGGTCACTCAGCGAGCTATGGAGAGGGCTATGCTCGAAGTTTCTTTGCGAGACAGACTTAAAAACAAGGATATCCGCAGTAGAACAAGAGTAATCGATATGTATGTATATAATAGGATAAGTAAGCTGAAGTGGCAATGCTTATAGCCGGCCATATAGCTTGAAGAACCGACAACCGATGGGTAAGAAAAGTTCTACTAACCTAATGTAGGGCGCCCATCCACAAGAGTCGATGAATGTAGGTGGCTCAAGACCATGCTTTGTGGGATTCCTTGGGGGAAGCTTATGTTCAAAAGTGTACTTGTGAAGGGCAGTAATAATGATGACCTTAGGTCTTACATTGGATGCACTTAATGCCTTGTAGCATTAAGAAGAATAAGGAAGCTTTGGCAAGTGGTGATTTTGACGAAAAGAAAGGGACATATGCACATATAAATAAATAAATATACAAACACATTAAAAATAAAATGAAAGGTGAATAATATGTCAGACGATATGCCAGTTTCCTCACAATATTCTCCTATCTTATTGGATTGATTCAATGACCTAGCAGAGATGTTGCCTTTCTTTGCGTGTGTGTCGAGTGTTTCGAGGAATTGTAAGGACTGTTGTTGTTGTTGGTAAAATTTTACCATCTGGCACAACACTAAGGTCTACCCACATCACCATAATACACTTGGCAAAATGCTAAGATGAACCAGCATCATAAGTTATCATTCCACCACTGCATTTTCCAGGACTTTTCCACCCTTCTGGACCACATTGTGGTATTTACTGTCTCACTAGTAATCTTTCCAGTCTGATGCAGCTTAGGGATCTAGAAGAAAAGAGCCTACTCCTTTTTGATAGGTTAGCAATGCACTAACAATTACTCCGGTATTGAGGATGGTTATTTGCGGCAGTAGTCACTTACCATCAGGTGAGCTGGTTGCTTGTTTGTACTCTCTTCGATAATTAACAATTAATATAACTTTTAGAGTTATAATAAAAAACAAATCCATATAAATTATGAACTTACCTATTAACTCTGATCAGAGGACTGTTCGCGTGGTTGGCAACACTGAATCTTGAGTCAGCCGCGGCCACAATGAGCGTCAACAGAATATCATTCATATTGAAAATATCCTTACTGATAAAATTCACTATGGATAACTTCATCTGTAAGTACATTGCATTTTCAAAAAAAGTTTATTTTAATCAAAGTGCATTTAGCAATTATGTTTAGAATTTTGTTGGAAATATATTTGTTGTTATAGCCCCTACAATATTTTAAACCCAAAATGAGAAAATAATATAAGAGATAGAATACAATTTTTTTTAATATTGACTAAATTAAGGTACTTTAATTTAATTAAATATTAACAACTTGTGTATTTTTATTAAATCTAAAAATCAAATAAAAGGCTACAAATAATAAGCGGGAGTTTATAATCCTAATTTATTTATTTCTTAAGCAGATACGGAAAATATTTAATTTTTTGTAGTTAAATACTAGTGGCTATTTTTTTGATTTTATTTTATACTACATCTAACAACTTTGTTGTATAAACTTTTATAGTACACGTTGACTAAAAGGCACGTTTAGGTCATGCTCATGCGAGACATAACTAGCCGATTAATGTATGGTATCATGTGTCACACATAAAATTTATAATATTTTTTATAGTACACGTAGACCTAAAACCGCATTTACGTGATAGAGCCATGCTGCAGCTATATTAGTAATATAGTTGTAGCACCAATAGTTCGGCTCGACCGGGGAAGGACCACTCTCTCACAAGAGTACCAGCGTAAAATAACAGCTGAGCGCAAAGCTTAAAGAAAGCATTCCATCCTAGTCCTCACGTGTGACAACGCATTCGCATTTTGATTCGTAATCGAAGATAGATGTAGATATGTATGTGCCAGAGCATCCACTTACCATCGGGTGGACTGTGTGCTCGTTTGTCACCCTCTCCTATAAAAAACGCTCATGCGGGACTTAACAGGTATGTTTTAAGTCGCATTAAATTTCTAATACTTTATAATTTTTAAGCTTTAAGGCTACGGTCTCCTATTAAATGCAATACGCGACGTCTGACTTCAGCGTAAGCGTTCCGATCGGCGTCTGAACGCCAGGCACAGCGTCAGCAGTCAATACATATCTTAGCAGCGGATGACGTCTAGACTTTCGATGAAACAACAATTAAGTAGCCGACAGTGCTTGCGTGTGGTTGTGTGTGATATTTGTATATAAAATGGATATAAATTAAACACTTTTGGCTGCGCTTGTGTTACTTGAAGAAGAGGCACAGGACAACTGTATATGAAGAAAAATAAAGGCAACAAGGCATCGATTATTTATGAAGAAAAATGAAGAAGGGTGTTTCCAGCTATTGATAATGAAACACTTAAAAGACAGCAATTCTAAATTTACTGAATATTTTCGTATTAATCAAGAACAATTTAAACATAATAATAAATCAATTACTCGTCGTTTTCTTTATTAAATTTTGTCATTTAGTACTGAAGCTAGACACGACCTTCACGCTGCAATGGTTCGAAATAACTAGAGACGCAGCGCAAAGCGTCTTTACGCCGCCTACGACGTCCATCCATACGCCGACATCAGCGTGTGAGAGACCATAACAGTACATTTCTATAGTAAGCGGCCGATGGCGTTTATAGGAAACCACCGCCTTAAAATTTTTTTAAAAATCTATTAAGATACTTTAAATTACAAACAAAACATTAATCACTTGATCAAGAAATTTAAAAAAAATACTTGAAATTGTCATTTCAATTTTTGTACATTTTTAAATTGATGTTGTAATTCTTGTAAAGAGAGATTACTGCTACCTTGCTTGCTCTAACACGATTTTTATCTTTATAATAATTTAGTATTCTACAATTTTTCAATTACAAAAGTGGTTTTAAGTTGCTCATGCGCTAACTTCATACAGTTCAATAATCGGATACTTAAGTCCCTTGTAATTTAATATTTTTGCCTCTATTATTTTGAAGCAACACTAACCTCCTCTAATTGATTGGGATTTAACTGATTTTTGTCCACAATCCTTTTGTATGTCTTCATGCTCATGCCGGGCGGTACTTGAAAGTCGCTCTCTCCTGCATTTGGTAGCGCTCTACAGAGAAAAAAATAATTACCTCCGAATGCTAATATTTGTGGTATTTTATAAATATTATGTATATGACTTTGATATCTAAAAGCATACACTTAAAACTATTTAATAAAAAATGTTTTTTATTGTTAGATTACTTACAATTTAAAAAAAAAGCTTTAAAAATATAATATGTAACATGGGGTTAGCTTTAAAAAACAGCTGTTAAACCTGCCTGTAAGGTAGAAGTAGTACATCAGTAGCAAATTTCAGTATTAATGCTGATGCTTTAGGTTTTTCCTTCAAGTTCAGATCTGATTCCTTAATATCACCCAATAGAGGCATCACAAGCATTAATATCCTGAAAAAATATTGTACAAATATGAAAAATATGCGTAATGAAAAAAAATTCATAGTACTGCTATAAATAGTTTCCTTTTCTTTTTACAGGACCTACCAATAGCACGGACCACAGGCAAGCTTTTCGCCATATCAGACTGATATTGAATCAGCACTAAAATTGCAATTAACAATTTCAGGACTGCCGGCGGGGATAGTACTCAGGTATTAACTTATTTAGAAATTTAAGGCCAACATTCTGCACCTAAACTACCATGGCTTACATTTATTTATACACATTACATAATGCAATGCACATGTAATGTGTGAAAGATTATCACTTGAGAATGTCTGCACGGATTTCATAAATTTTTTTGTCTGTTTGTGTGGATTTGACCCTTGATGGTTTAGATCATAATTAGACCCGGTCGGTGAAGCTGTTGTTGAGATCCATCGCAAGTTCATTATCAAATGAATTTGCTTTAATAGGATGACCCTCGATTATGAAACTAGTTTCTACCCAAAAAGGTATTTTATATGTCTTAAGATTTTTATATTTGTTACAGATAGCATACTTTTACATACCAATATAACATACTAAAGTTACACAGTTGTAATCAAATATCAAATGCAAAAAGGTATATCCTACTTATGTAGTATACAGATAGACAAAAGAACAAATGCAGTAAAGCAACCATAAGTTTCGACCATACTTACAAACAAAAAGTTGTTTTAAATAGTAACAACAAACATGTTACACAATTTTATTTTCGAGGGCTGTAATCACTTTTTTAATATAAGTATGATGAACGGGCTGGAGTCTGACTGACGATAGGTAATTTCCACATCAATTTGAAGGACAGTCTAACTATAACTTCCCAAGTATGTTACTTGGAACCTATTTAAGGTTTGAAATTTTTATAAAATAGGAAAAACATGATATATAGGTAAAATATAATGATTTTTTAAGCATTTTACATGAAACCAATGCAGTTTCATAAGTGACTTTTATACAGAAGACTTAAACTACTGATTGTGCCATGTATCAAGTTTTAAATTATAAAATACTGAGAAAATTTAATATAAGAGAAATAACATTCCTAACTTTTTTAATATTAACATTTAAAAATTTGAGTTTTGGTATCAAGTATATTAGAACAATTTAATTTTCATACCCATCCTGATGTCCTTGTGGTTTATTTTCAATGGCTTCAAGCAGTGAAGGAGCCAAAGCAATTTGTTTATCTCGAGGCATTCTTGGAAACCCCATTGTTATATATATAATGGTAAAATTCTAAAACAAATTAAAACAACAAATACAAAAAGTTGCTTTAAAACTTAATTATGATTTTTTTTATAGAGAAACAAACTAGCATGCAGCTCATGTTATGTTAATAATTAGTTATTACAACATTTTGATTATTTTCTCATAGTATCAGAATCCAATAATATATGGAAGTATACTTTCCATCAGGCATTCATTGATCCTTTATTGCCCAAGATAACATTTATGCTTTAAAATCTAACTTAGAATTGGATACAATGATTGAGAGGTAACGAAAATTATTTCAACAGGCCTGAAAACCAACCTGGGTTCCCCTTATCATATCAAAAGTTACCATCAATTGTTTCAATATAATATCAGTAATAATACTGCTTCTCAATATGCTTTGGACTGGAACACAGTGCTGTTTTACCTAATTAGATAAATTCCTAAGCAAAAGTATAAGATAAGAGTCCTATCTCACATAAACTGAAGAATACTTACAATAATAAAACTATTGGCAGATGGGTCACTATAGAGCTGCAGCAAAGTCTGCACAGGGAGCTGAACATAAGAGCGGCATTTTACACGCTTATTCACGTGCACTAACAACTCCATTACTTTTGTACGAACCTGTTTAGCAAAGGGAATATTTATTATAAAAGGATCAAACAATTTTGTGTTGTGTTAATTTTATTTTCTTAACATTAAAGCAAGAAAATCAAACTGAATAATTATATATAATAATAGTTAAACTTGTGGCCGTGGAAGGAAAAGGGGAGATCTCCCACCGGGCAAGGTGTTCTGCCCGGGGAGCGGCAAACACTCCGTGTTATGATTCGGAGATGTTCTATATATGCAGTTTATGATTCGGAATATTGATAGTGTGATTTAGGCTTCGGTATGTTTCGCTTGAGGCGCGACGACAGCGCCGCCATAAACTGACTAACTGAAACATAACAGAGGATCACAAAATATAATTGTCCAGTACTGAGAATGCACTCTTGATTAGCAACAGAAATAGCTAATAAGGTACCAAACCAGACTGACTCTTAGACTGAAAGACCCTTCCACCTAATATACACAAAAAGTAAAAATTGCTAGTTTCTCTCCAATAATAGATTATTATTGACCATGTAGTGGCTGTGTAAGAATATCCACTACCCCATATCATCCCATCGGCGAAGTAAATGACGACAAAGGAAAACAAACCAGTAAAATAAAAAATTATGGTTGCCAACAGGCCTGTCACTCGAATCGACGGGAATTAATCAATATAAAATTAAACACAATGAACTCCATAAATTTAGTTTAATTCAATGTGTACTTACTCCGTACTTGCGTATTTTATGTAAATTATATTCGCTTATAAGTTCAGTAACAAGTCGGTAAAACAACACTGGGACGAAGGATTACAAGTAATGTTAGAATAGAATAAGTGTACAAGATCAAACCTGCTCATATGGCGAAGATAACTTAAGAATAACGGGTGGCAGAAATCTGTTGAGGCAACTCTCTAATTGTTCATCGCTGTCAGCATTTCCAAGTCTTAAGAAAACTCGATCAAGTAGAACTGCAAGAACACAAACAAGCGGTGTAAAATATTAAGCCGCAAAAAGAATGTTTTATTATTTTTATCACCCGATGTTTAGTACTTACGTAAATCATTTCCACAATCATTACTACTTTCTGATACTTCCATTTCAGACATTTTTAAGATATATCATTAAATTCCTCGTTAACAATAACTAAGAAATATACAATACACGAAGTGAAGTACAACCAATTTTTAATCTATGACAAAATGACAGACAAAAACTCACTTGACAGTTGACAATTTGCCAAATGACAAAGTGATGACAATTTGCCAAATTACAAAGTGATTTATGTAAGTCCATAGAGCCTATAATAAGTCGTAGTCTAATTTATATTTCGTTCAGTGAATCCTTCACAAATGCTGATGCGTCACATTGCGAAGTATTTGGGAGATTTTTATGGCTTGGAGACTGTTAATGACAATAATATCTTAAAGTACGGATAAAATACTTATTATTAATAACAACATCTTACCATCAGGTGAACTGTGTGCTCGTTTGTCAGCCTTATTCTATAAAAAAAAGCATAAGACAAAGCCAATTGTTTCTCAGCGAGACTCTGTCCGCCCTTTTCTTCTAGGTCCATATTTGTATCTTTTTCGTCATCATGAATACGTTAAAAATTCGAGTAATTATGGAATATGAGTACCGTCGTGGCATCAAGCGGCACGCAACATCAACGACGTTTACGGAGCGAATACTACTAACAGTGTGGCCATCTTCAAAATACAGAACCTGCCTTACTTTGATTAAAAACCTGCCAAATAGTTGATAGAATCAGGCGTTACTTTGCTGAAATCCATTATAATAAAAAATAAAAATATAAATTTCTTCGCAACCTTCCGCTAAATGAAGTGTCTTACCTGCATTGAAGAGCACATCACCACTAGTCCCAGCACCACTACTCCCAACACCCCTATTCCAGGTAAGACACTAATACGACACGTGTTTCGCCTCTACACGAGGCATCCTCAGATAATGTAGACTCTACGGCGGCTGACCGCTAAGTGAGCGGCAAGTTTTTTTTTTTTGCGCCCGAAGCAAATATGGGCAACCCTCCGGAAAGCGGGGGGAGGGAGGCGGTGAATGCTCATAGCATACCACGCAGCCGGCTGCGTGGTTATGTGGAGACTATTACCCACTAAACACCGCCTTTTAGGAAATGGCTTAACGATCTGACTAGAGATCTCTAAGCCGTATACGAACGCGACCCTCCTTGGCAGAAAGGAGGGCGCAGGCAGAAAGGAGGGCGCAACGAGCGGCAAGCCGAAACAGCTGCTATTTATACACGCCGACACAATCGCTCCCCACCAAAGTAGCGAGTGACCGCGCCGTGCGATAACAAATCTGCGACTAAATATCATTATTGTTATGATTAATATTTTTAAGTACTATTATTATTATTGCTTAATTATATTATTATAGTTATTTATTATTATTAATCTTAAAATTATTATTAAAGATTAGCCTTAAAGATGAATTAGAATTATTTGTTTGTTCATTCCGCAGTGCATAATTACCATTATTACTTTTTAAAATCTTCAACTGCTCCAGCACACACAATCGCAGACCCTTATTACAAGTATGTAAGACTTCAAAGGAATAGTCGCTAGCTAGGTTGTGTCCAATGTCCAAGAGATGTTTAGCAAAATGGGATTTATCATGATTGCAATTTCTGCTCTTTATAGCGCGTCCCGAAATTGAGACCAGTCTGACCCACGTAAATGGCGTGGCATTCGTCATAAACAAGTTTATAAACACCCGATTTTTGACTAATATTTAACTTATCTTTATTATTACAAATATTCCTAAGCGAATTGTTTGTTTTGAATGCCACGTTAATGCCGTTTTTCCTAAGAGTATTACCCCGGCAATACATGTTGGCCGGCCGGTTGGGTTGGCCTACATTGTTGGAATATATTATGTGTGTGATAGAATATCTACAAAAAGAAGGGTTAGCTATGGGTATATATATATATATATATATATATATATATATATATATATACCCCATAGCATAGCATTTTGGTTAACAACTATATTATGTTGTGTTCACTGACCTGGTGGAGCGTCGAGCCTAAGGTTGCCGAAGTCTAATTCCCCGGTCGAACCTTAAAACCCATTACGCGAGCTATTAATCTAAGTGGACTGTATCTACAAAATGTTTATACACTTATATAAACGGCAACTATAGCATGCGGTACAATGCACTCGCTCTTCCCCAAAAACGAACTATTATTTGCCAAATCGATGAAAGGAATCCTGCTTGATTAGGAGAAAACAAAATTGGAGCGGATTAAACACAGTTATATCAAGCAGGCAATACAGGCAATATTATTAGGAATATTGACTCACCGGGGTTCAGTCTTCTATACTGTTGAGCACTATAGCTGCGACCTCTGGAACCTCTTCTGGACAGACACTCTGGGGCCCCAGAGGTACGTCGGGAGAGAAGCGGTGTGGTTTCAACGACGAGCGCGGCGGGAAGAGAGCGCGCGTCGGTCGCGCGTGCCTTTTATATCTTCGGTTGCGATGATTACGTGATATTCTAGAATCATCTTCTTTCCCCTCCCACCCCACCACCCCGATGTGTCGATAGGAGGGTATGAATGATATCGTTTTGGAAAGGGATAACCGATTTGGCAGCCTACCGTCAAATTAAATAAATACGAATGGTTTTCCGCGCAACCATCTCCCCCGCCCTTGAAGGATTTCCTTCAAAAAATAACTAAAACAACTAGAGCTAAGATCAAACTAACAAAATAACTAACTAACGCTAAGATTACCTAAATTCAACTACAATTTCTAATCTAGAAAGCTAATTTAAATTATGGAAGAGGCAGGGGGCACAAACGGACAACAGGACGCAGGTAAGACCCAACCGTGGTCTTAACGCGAGCTACCCTAATTACTCCGTCGGAACCGGGAAAGACCTCTTCGACAATTCCTAACGGCCAGTGGAGAGGCGGCGTATTCTCTTTGGTGAGCACAACTACAGTTCCTACAGCTAAAGGCTCAGTTGCTGTTCCATTTTTGCCGAGACTGCAAAGTATGCAAGTATTCCATCCTCCATCGTTTCCAAAACGATTGCACTAACCGGTCTAATAATTTGTGGCGTGCGGAAATGCTAAGTCTGTTCTCATCCATGTCTACGGCGGGCAAATACTTTAAAGGCGTTAAATTTAAAAAATGTGCTGGAGTTAGAGCCAGCGGTTCCGAGGGGTCACTAGACAACGTACGACAAAGTGGGCGGCTATTCATTACGCATTCAATTTGAGCGAGCACCGTACTTAGCTCTTCGAAGGACAAAATTTGATCTCCTATTACTCGGTATAAGTGACTCTTTAGACTCTTAATATTAGTCTCCCAATTGCCCCCAAAATGACTCGCGGCTTGGACGTTCAGAGACCACTCAATGCGGTTCTCGGCTAGAATGTGAGCGAACTCCGAATTATAATACTTGCTAGCTAAGAGCTCATGAAGTTCTGATAAAATAAGTTTTGCACCGACGTAGTTCGTACCGTTATCCGAATATAATTTACTTACAGGGCCACGGCGGGATAGAAATCTTTTAAATGCACCCATAAAGCCTGCTGTGCTTAGATCACCAACGAGTTCTATATGCACCGCTCGAGTAGTTAGACATACGAAAATGCAGACGTAAGCCTTTGTGGATCTTATACCACGCCCGCGAGTGAGCGTGACCTTAAACGGACCAGCGAAATCAGACCCGGTGTGCGTAAAGGGCTTTACCGATTGTATTACTCTACAAGATCTAAGTTCCGCCATTTCCGGAAATGACTGCTTGGGGCGTGCCCGAAAGCAAGCTATACATCTGTGCACCCGATTGCGTATTAAACTACGTGCAGAAAGAATCTAATAATTCTGACGCAAGATCGACATCAGCAAGTCAGGGCCAGCGTGCGAATTCAATTTATGATGGTAATCGACTAATAAATTCATGATATGGTCTTTGCGCGGTAAAACTATAGGGTGCCGTTGGTCGAAACTCAACTGCGAGTTGGACAAGCGTCCACCTACCCTTACAATCCCATCCTGTAAAAATGGCTTAAGGCGTTGAAAGGCGCGACTACAAGCTCTTCGATTGTAATCTTGTAATTTCTTCAGAGAAGTGTGCACGTTGAAGTTCACGTACAAGCGACTCGGCATAGTTGTAATCGGACGCTAAGTCATACGAACGTCGCGGTAAAAGCTTCGCGAATCGACAAACGTAAATTACGCTACGCAATAATTTCGACCAAGAGGACAAGCGGTTCGCCAAAACAATGATTGGAGAAACCTCGCTCGAAACGTTCGCCACTAGAGCGTGTCTCTTCTCTTCCGGTGTTTGTGACACTGACGAAGGTTCGAAATCGATTATTGGCCATTGCGAGGGATCCAAGTGAACCCAAGAAGGTCCGTGGAACCAAAGCGGGTGGTCCATTATTTGCATCGGGGTGAGTCCACGGGATAGATAATCGGCAGGGTTTTCCGTACCGGACACGTGATAAAAGTTCCGCGTTTCTAACTCGTCTTGGATCTTGGCCACTCGGTTCGGGACAAACGTATCCCTACGGTGGGGTGAAGAATGAACCCAGCATAAGGCGACGGTGGAGTCGGAAAAGGCAAATATCCTTTCTATGTGAACTCTATCCCTACATGCGCTGATAACTGCGGTAATAAGCTTGGTGAGTACTAATATTGCGCAAAGCTCTAAGCGCGCCAGAGAGACAACCTTACGTGGGGAGACTCTCGATTTAGAACTAATGAGGCTAATCGAATTTCTACCACTATTCTGAACGTGGAAATATACAACGCCCTCGTAAGCCTTCTCGCTGGCGTCTGCAAACCCAACGACCGTTATGACGCTATTTCTATGGAGGTTTATATGACGCGGTATTTTAATTTCTCTTAGTAAAGGAAGTTCCTCTCTAAAATGCTGCCACAACCGAAAAATGCTGTCAGGCGGCGAATCATCCCAATCGCATTCAAATAACCAAAGTTGTTTAATCAAAAGCTTAGCGTATAATACCACCGGAGCTACGAAACCCATGACATCATGTAATCTAGCAACGCATGACAGTATTGTGCGCTTTGTGCATTTCTT